GTTTAGGAGATCACCCACGACGTCTGTAGGATTTCCGAGCAAGCCACCAGGCAGCGCTCCCCCAAGAATATCAGTCGGGTTGCTGAGAAGGCTATCAAGAGCTGGGATACCGCCGGGAAGCGTGGGACCAACTTGGGCGATGAGATTCCTCAGCTGGTTGTTGATGTCGTTCGCTGTGTTCTGGACATCTTCAGGGAGATACCTAGAAAGTCTGCGAACAACTGGGCAGAGGTTGCAAGTGTCGATGAGACCGCCGAGATCCTGTCGCTTGTAGACGAGCCTATCGACATTTTTGAAGGCCTTGAGTTCGAGTTTGGTTCCAGAAGGAACAGCATTGACGCTTGGTACAATAACAGAAAGAATGGACAAGGCGTGGAACACCTTAAGCGTGGAACCCATTGTAACGAGTGTGTGCCTGTCGAAGGCTTGTGTTGCCGAGACATTGTTCTGATCTTTCCGTTATATATTTCAGACCGTCGCACTTGCATCCTCTGTTCGTGATCATCGATACGGTCGGAGTACAGTCGAGCCTGGTCCATTCCAGGTCTTTCTCTGTGGAATTCAAAGGCACGTTACAGATTGGTGTGCAAAAGCGCCTTAGAATCATTCCGGAGGGTAGTCCGGCGCATTCTTGGTGCAACCACCATCCTATACAAGTCCCTTACTTTTACTCGAAATTGAAAGATGTAGTATCTGGCGAGGAGATCCTCTCGTTCATAAGCCTGGCCAAAAGGGCACGGGTGACATATTGCGCGACCGTAATATGAGCGAAGGAATGCGCGAACGGGACTTTTGACCTCACTACATCGGTGACCGAGTATTGCTTTGGCGAGAATTGACAAAGTGGGCTAGCCGGAACGCCGCGGGACGATGGTTTACCTCCCGGACGGTACTTGACAACTCAGTCACCCTCGAGGCCTGTCTTGGCAAACCCTTGGTATGGCTTGACACCAGTCGACCCCATCGCTACAATCGACGCGTGAAGCTCGTTGAGTTTGTGAAGTCAGCGACTCATGAAGTCCGAGCTCAGATATCGAGCAGCTACCAAAAGATCGTAGCGGATAGAGGTCTAGATGCGTTGGGCCGTTCGAAAATTATATCTGTCGTAGAGAGAATGCTGGGCGGCGTGATGACAAGCCTCATGCAAGTCGATGGATCTGGATTTTGACCTGGAAGGTGAGCATGCTGAGACGCTGCTTATCCTCATCGTTATAATTTATTTTTATAGTCATCTCTTAGGACATCGTTCGCATTCCACCCTGGGCCGAGCGACGAAGAGTACTCAAAAATTCAGGTATGGCGTTGCAATAGTGTATGTGCAAACACCAAGGGCAGCCGGACCTGAAGTCTATGTTGGATGTCGAGAAGCCCAGCCCATGGTCCTCAGATGTACCTACCGATAAGTATTAATAAGATCACAGAAGGCAGAACAGCAGAGCTGATCTTCTGAAGGGCCTATTTGACTGGAGGCTCTCGACAGATTGAGCTTTTCTACGTGGGTGACTATCAGTAACATTAGCCGTAGTAATGACGCGTCCAGTCCGCCAGGAGAAGCCTCTGACCGACTGAATTGTCTCGAAGCTCGTTAATCGAGGGCGAAGACGAGACCGGATCCTCGACAGGATGAAATTTGAATAGCTCCGTGAATTTACTTTCAAGCGTACTGTCCTACTGGTTAGTACCGAATGCGTTGAAGAGCGGTACCCGTTGGCTCACATGTGAGGCCGAGAACTGGTGAAGTCGTGACGGCAGAGATGCATGCCTCAAGCCTCTCGTAAGGTATATGAAACACGTGCAAATCCTCCATCAGCGTTGCACCGACTATATGCATGAATTCCCTAGACGAGTGGGCGTGTATTGTGTGAATTTGCAATACACCAGAATAGGAGCTGACCTGTCTGTACAACAAACTGTGCGCGGTTTGCTCATTCCAAGGATTGTCCTGAGTTGCGTCAAGTCACGCCTCATTTTCAACATCGTCGACCTCGGTGACAGGTTGTTGTTCTTCCTCCTTCTCCTCACCTAGCTTTGCTGCAGCTAGGTCTGCGTCGTAGTTTGGGCGTTTGACTTCAAAGTCTTCCTTGCTAAGAACAGATTCGAGGAGTGGCGCCGTGGTGAGGAGTGCGTTGTACTGGTCTAGCGAGAGGGAAACGCCCTGTTGGTTGTGAGTTGGTCGGTCCCTGACTGAATAAGGTCGCATTGTACCTTCTTCCCAGGCTTCAATTCGCCTGCATCGTTGGTATAGTACTCTCGAATACTGACTAGCGTCATGCCTTTGAAGTCGCTTACTGTGACACGTCGCTTGCCGCTATTGTTGAGCTGAATTCGTCAATCACCAGCTAAAGGCAGGATTCACGAGGCCTACCGCAACGAATTGGTTCTTTCCATTATCTGTCTCTAGTTTTTGAACGAACGGAACTGCGTCGTCCTCTTCGTCGTCATCGTCTTTCGACTGCTTGCTCGCACGAGGCGTGGCGTGGCGTCTTCGTCTTCAGGTGAGCGTTTCTTAGCGTAGCTTTTCTTGACGCCTCCACCGCGGAATCCGCCACGCTTGAGGCTCACCATGTTTGGTGATGAGAATTGGCTACTTTGTGATGCGTGAATGGGGTTGGAAGCATTGTGTTGGTGCTCGAAGTGCAATGACGACGACGCGTCTGCCAGCGTGTCTTCTGAACGCGTCGATCACGTGCTAGAAAAGGAAATTTGGAGAAGTAACGATAGCCTCACTCACTGATCAACAGGGTGCTCCCTAAGACCTTCCTGCCAAGTGAGCTTGCCACAACTATACACTACAGCTCACTCTGCAGGTAGAATCAAAGTCTGATGACTTGCTTTTGCTGACAGGTGGGTATCTTTGGTTTCGTGGGCGTTCGAACACACGCGCAAGTCGCTCGCTAGCAAGCTCAGATCGCCAGCCTTCCATTGCCAGTCCAGCCGATCCAGACACCGCCGATCTCGGTGGCGTAGTCCTCCGCAGACTTGCCATTCGCATCCTTAAGACTTCTGATGTCCACCTTATCCTCTGTAAGTCCCCTCATGATACCCATCGATGCTGCTTCCTGGAAGACCAAGGGCGGGAACTCCATCAGATCGAGATTACTCGCCAATAGCAACAGCAGCCACGCGACTTCCCTGCTCTGAGCCTGGACAGCAGCGTGCAACCCTGACTGCAACTTGCCAATCGGGTCCTGGTATCTCAGCAGTCGGTCAATCCCAATATCCTTCTGAGGCTGGCCATCATCAGCCATCTCCTCGTCCTCGTCCTCATCCTCGTCTTCATCGTTCTCCTCCACCTCATCGTCCTGCAGCATGCCAACGATGGCCTTGTAGTCGCCCTCACGGCAGAATTCGAGGAATGCACGGCATTTGCGGTCCTCGGGGTATGCTTTGAGGTAGCTTTCTTCGATGAGCAAGGGCAAGAGGTCAAGGTTCTCTTGCAGACCTCCCTCGTTGTTGAGGTTGCAGAGAACCTGCTGTTCGCCGCTTGCTGGAGTGGACGCAATGTTCTTGCCGCAGTTGGGACATTCGGTGACGTGGTACGCTTCTAAGAGGCAGTTCCTGTGTCCTGTCAGTTCACAGAACGTAAATTTCCCACGGTTCTCTGCCTTTACCAGTGAAAGTGGCATCCACAGTTCAGCTGTACGTCATCTGGGACAGTTTCCGGCTCTGTTGCTGGAGCTTTTCCTGACGAAGAGCCGGCCATCTCGTACTGCTCCTCATCGTCCGCCTCGATCTCGACTACCAGGGGCTTGTTACATGCGACACAGAGAGACATTTCGGGTTTTAGATCGAAGAAGTTAGGGAACGCTGTGCTGTTTTGCGGGGTCCAGAATTAATTTCTTATCGATACCTTATTGATAACAATAACCGAAAAGCTTCTGCGAAGGGCGGAGTGGCCGGCCGCGGGGCCGATCCCAGAGCCACCTACAAAGCTACTCTCTGTGTGCGGGTGTGCGGGTGGTCGACGACATGGACGCAATGTAAGTGCAGCGACCCAAAACAACAACGCTCGCGCACTTGAGTATTGTAATAAACGTCATCATGGTATGGAGACGGCTTTTACCGTATACGTCTTGGAACAAGACGGGCCATTTGTGTGAGTGTACATGACAACGCTGTAGTGATTGAGCGCATATACCGCAGTCACCAAATGCACCCGCACTCAGCTTTCGTCACCTCGAGAAGACCTTCTTCCACCTCTTCTTCAAGCTCTTCGATATATCCCTGAGACAGCGCCTTATCCTGTACCTCTTCCCACTTCCTGGCCTCTTTCCAAGCATTTCTTCGAATGCTTGCCCCTCGAGTCGACACGTTTGTGCCACTTCTGCTGGTGTAGCCGGATATAGATTCCAATCTCCCCAATTCGACCATTTTCCGCTGGTCGTGCTCCACAACGTCTGTCTCTCCAGCTCGTGGAATCGCTTCACGATCTCAACGACTCTTTTTTGGTTCTTCTTACTCTTGTCTTGGCTCGCGTAATCCGCCACCAGTTTTCTGTGGTCGACAAGAAGAACCTCCCAGTGAGGGTCCCATCTGATGATCGCACTTCTGCAGATCTTATACTGCCATCTGTTGCTGATAGTGCATCTGACGGTGCATGGAGATCGCATCCGTGGAAAGCCGTTGCGCCAGCGACAACGGACGCTGGGTAAACAGCGACCTCGGTTAGGCCCGTTGAACCACACCATCTTACTTGTTTTCTTAGTGGTCGTAAACATGGCGAGAGGCGCATCTCCAGGGATAATACAGGCGAAGCGGAGATTGTATTGTTTCTTCCATGTTCCAAGGTCTGAAGTGAGGAGTACACGACTGAGGATTGGTAAGTAGTGCTCCGTCAAGGCCGAATCCTCAGTAAGGTATTCGTGAGTTGTCGATGTCGTTGTAGTTGTTGTGGACAGTACAGGACCCCAACGTGAGTAACAGCTTGAGTTCCACATCAAGTCTCCAGCCGGTACCGGCGCCTCTGGCAGGCCGCCCAGAGGCGGGGGAACCGTCTCTCGTTTTCGCTTCCAGCATGGGAAGAATGGCATTGTGATTGAGGTTGAGTCAGAACTGACTTTGTAGCCGCAACTCGTTTGCAGCAGCGTGAGAGAAAGGCGATGGCGAGAAAACAGCAGACACAAAAAGTACGGTTTGAACCCCGCAGAGCTTGTGCAGGTACGACGCCTAGAACGCTTTAATGATTTGTTACCACAGAAGGAAGTTTGGTTATTAAGAAGGACCGGCCCGCGACCTGATTTTGGTAGCGCAAATTACTTCATCACGTCCTGTTGCCAGGCTATCGAAGACCGGAGCTCCCTCCCGATTTGCAAGATCAATGAAGTGCTATGAAGTGCTACGTAGTAGATGATCCAAGTATCGCTGATCTTACCATCTACTTCGGCAAGATAGAGCCACAAATATTACATCACATATCCATGCGAGCAGCTCGTAGCGTACCCATGGTCGGTAGCTCGGAAGTAAGCGACTGAGTACAACAAGCCCCCGACTATTCCCGAAGACAAGCTAACTCAGAAGCTCTTTTGTCTTCGCTGCTTGTCTTTTCCCCAGGTGAATGCGCGGCTCTTCGATCTATGACTCAAGAAGACCACCTTAAGCAATCCGTGTGACTCAAACCTGTTCTCGAAGCGTCTTAGCGGATTAGCGGGTATTACGTGGGCTCAGAAGAAGATATAATTCCTCGTCATTGCAGGCTCTCCACCCCGAGCCCAACCTCGGAATGACGGTGACAACCTAGCCCTTTCCAGAAAGCAGTACGCCCTTTGTCAGCGACTTGCTTTGCTTGTCTTCCGCAACTTAGGCTCCATGTTACATCATTGATGAGCTGCGCAGACATTGTCAAAATATGCTCCTAGTTGTAGGGCGACAGCCGGTGTTAAGAGCACAGGGTCGGTGGCCCTTTCCACTATGCGTACTGATGGCGACAGGCGTAAGGTACGGCCTTTGCTGCAAGAATTAGTCGCTCCATTTGCGACCCATTTTCACTACCATTCGGCAGGAGATGTACAATGGCAGGAGTTGTTCGCTCGAGACCATCAGCCAGGACTTTGGGAGGTAGAGTCACTGGAGACTTCCTGTGCACCTGCGCCGGCGTGTCTGAGCGTCGAGGTGTAGACTACTCGCTATGTCAATCAAAATACCTGAAGATAGCGTCAGTACTAACCTTTGAAGTCGAGGTCTGCGATCTCTTGCGCTTGTTTCAAACGAGCAGCGCTTTCCGGCCTTCGTAGCTCCAGCAGACCTGTAGGATGAAGGTAGATCTGCTTTCCCCCTGCATAATCGCCGATTGGAGTTTCCCATCCGATAGTGTTTGTTGACATGGCTGATGTTTTTTTTCGGACTGGCTGTCCAGGTGCGAGCTTCTGAGCCTCTGTTACATCGTCATTAAGGTGTTGGGATTCGGGCGGTGGCTTGCGAGCTCTCTCCATCCGACGGAGCCGGGGTACCGTGGCTGCTACTGATGCTGCACTTTTGAAAGGATATGCACCATTTTGAGGGTGCACCAATAGTTTTGGAGGCGTTTCTGGCGATACTACTGAAGTCCTGTTGTCTGAGCGGATCCGAGAAGATTGTGGCCTCGAGGTCAGACCTGATACTGACACATTGGGTATGAATTGTGCTACTTCAGTGGCATCGGCAGCGGGTTTGTTCCTGATGCAGAGCAAGCGTAGTCTGTCAATCGTCTTCCGTAGCCAGTCACGCTTCTCGCCGGACATAGTGCAGAGCGCTCCTGACGCGCGGGGATACCGGAAGAAGACTACGGAAGCGAGTCTAGAGATGATCAGGTCAATGAGGCGAGCCAGTAGGGGTCACGAACGCATCTACCCTTTATATACCTTCCGCACGTCTATGCATGCTCAAAATAGCAACAATTTGCATTTAACCTATCTAGTTAGTGCAGGTCACTTACAGGGTCGTGGTGCGAGCCTCAGCCAAGCATCTGAAGAGTGGTTGAGGGTCTAGCAAACATGGAATCGTCGGTATCAACAAACCACCCAAAACGGTCAGTCATGACCTGTACGACTCTACGACGCCCCTAAGGAGGTCCGAGGAGGGGATATACCCTCTGCGTCAAAGGGTATTTGCAGTGAGCATCTGAGAGCTCTCAGCCTCGCGGATCAGCTCCGTAGGCTGCGAAGCGTCCAGGGTGTGCAGATGGTCAGATGATCAGATCCTCGTCAGAAAGATCTTGATCTTTCAGAACTGTAGTCATGACAAGGTCAATATTGCAACATGCTCTACGGAGTGATGACCAAGGGGTTGACGCGTGAGATGAAGGGCTTCACGAGATCTCAGATGACCTCGAAAGGGCTTTAGAAAGGCTGAGAGGAATTCGTTATTGCTTATGAAGTGCAAGAGTCTCTTGTGTCGCCGGATAGAGGATTCGAACATTGAGTGTTCACACTTGAAAGTAAATTAGAAGCATGAACACCGAAGGACGACCATGATCTCGGTTTAGCCTAACTAATAGCTAGCCAAGACACTAAAATCGATGCGCCCCCATCATCATTTCGTAGTCATTAGGTATTAAACTGAACCTCGCTGAATTGGTCGACAACGTCATCATTGCTTTTATAGGATCCAAGACAAACGCATACTGCGCCAGTGGATAGCCACGAGAACCCAGAGCAAGCACCCATTCCAACACGTCATATTTGCTTCTTGAACACCACGAGCGTATCCCCATAATTGGCAGGCACTTCTGCGTGTATCCCAATTGACGCAATTAAATGAAAATCTGTCAATTTTCGAAGGACCCAGATAACTGGATTGTCGAAGCTTGCTTTAACAAGCCTGCGGTGCTCTATTATAACACAACCCACGATAACCGTTTCATACGGCAGCCATCCGACAATGCTGCCTCAGGTGGCGTCGCATCCAACCGCATCTGATCAAAACTGACACACGACCCGACAAATCGGGTCTGCTCGAAGCCTAAGAGCTTTCAATCGCGTTCCTGTCATACCAAGCGTGACAGCTCGTGATCGGCCTCGTAGTCTTCTGGGCTGCGCGCAGATTGCCTGGGTGCTTCGGTTGCGGTATTTCCGAGTCATGATGTTGCTTTTTGTGGTGAAGCTTTGTATATTAGATTCCTTGCCACGCTGAGAGAATGATTAAGTATGCGTCCATGGGAATTCTGTGCAGTATTACACACATTTGTTTTTTTACCGCTCACTGAGCGTCCACCAGCTGGGCTGGGTTGATCAACTTCATCACTCTCATTTGTCGCTCCCGTCCATGTAGTTCGCCATGATTAACTCAAAGACAGTCCTGACAGTCCTGAGATCGCTTGCCTTAGCGAGTACGGTCGCGGGTTTCGTACTCGGAATGTGGTGTGCGTGCCAGCACTCGTACCTGCATCCAGTTTAATGCTGACTCATGCACAGCTTTGATCATTGTTCAAACTATTGACAGCAGCCGCGGACAGAGGGTTCTCAAAACGCTCGATAGCACGCTCGATGTTTCCGGTCCGTCGTGGACTCACTTCATTACTGCAGCGACACAAGGCATTGCGCGAATGTGGATTCTGATCGTCGCTGTAAGTGTCCTGCCTGTTCATTGCTCTTTTACTGACCACAATAGAGCCTAATAACCATCTTCACGGTTGTGACAGTGATCATGTCAAACCGCTACTACTGGCTGCGCATCTCGCCCCCCGGAGCCCTCCTTCTCATTGAAACAGCGTCCGTAACCTTCACTATTACAGCTTTCGCCTGCGCCCTAAGTCTGTCTCTCACTCTTGAAGCCTTCAACGCACGCCCGTGGCCTGCGATATACTTCACCGACCTGTCCTTCTTCTCGACCCTCATACCCCTCAGCAAATGCCTCATAATCGTCGCCTCCACCTCCCTCGGCCTACTTCTAACGACGCTCGTCGCACATCTCACCAGCTTCCTCCGCCACCGGGCCAAAGCAAAAGACATACGGTCTTTCGAGCCCACCGTCTCGGCGCTGGGCATGAGCCACGGTTTCCACGCCCTCCACCCTCCACCGCGGACAGCCCGTGCACCCATACCGACTATGTACGACCCATACCGCGCGTTTAAGAAGGGGCCTGGAGTGCAGCGACAAGGATCGTTACCGGATTTCCTAGCTCCCCCGCCAGACCTTCGATCTGGGACTCTGCGATTAGGGTCTTCACGGGGAGATGTGGCGTCGAAGCGTGTTGGATTTACGGACGAGGGGGCGTGGATGGCGCGCACGTCTGATTCGCGGTGGAGCGTGAGCACGGCGAGTCCGAGAAGGATCGAGGGGGACATTATGAGGTTGTTGGAAGTAAGGAAGTCGAAGGACGTGAAGAAGTCGCGGAGAGCGGTGTCGGTGAGGCCGGCGAGCGTTGTATGGTACGGAACAGAGATTGTGCATGCTTTGTAGCTCTTGTTGCTGTCGCGGCTCATACTACCACCAATAAGACTTGTTCGAGAACCTTGACGTTGGTGAACGCTTCAAATTTCAATGCTAGCTTTTGGCCATGCCAGACCGTACTATATTCTACATACCTCGCATTGCTGATGGGATATCTTTCATTCCAGGGCAAAATTTCCCGTGGATACATACAACTCATTGCGAGCCGTCTACTGTGTCTTCTTCACGCTCTTCTCCGCCGGCGCGCTGTACAGCCAGACAGCGACGAAAGCCAGCCATCCAGCAATCGTGACCCAGATACCGCCGATCCAAACCCAGGCACCGCTGATCTGCCAGCTCCTCGGCCACTCGTCGTGGGCAAAGTGCCTGACTGTGACTTGCCTCTTCTCGTCGATGTTTGTAACGAAGGGGCGGCGGTAATTGACGCGGAAGTTGAAGATTCCGTGCTGATCAGGGGTCTTGATGGCGACGCCGAAGATGGTGGAGTTGGCGGTCTGCGAGATCGGGGAGAGGTTGAGGCGGTGGAACGGCGACAACATGCTGAACTCGAGCTGGATGTTGTCGTTCGTCTCAGGGACGAAGGGAGCGAGGTGGTTCTCTATCCATTCCGAGATCTCAACCTCATAGTGCTGCTTGAAGTCAGCATGAGTCAAACTTGATTGGTAGGCTGGAAACTTACGACATCGCTCTTAATGCGGTAGATAGTGGGGTTGCTCTCAGGAACGCTAGAGTTGAGCTTTACGCTGGCGCCCTCATCCTGGTAGTGGATGACCTTGCCAACCTTGAGCACACCAGCCTCTTTGAAGGCCCATGCGGACAGCTTCGCAGCAAAGTCGCGGTTGGCAGTTGTGACAGCCTTGTCGCCGAGCTTGGCCTTCTCGGCGAACCACTTGTTCTGCAGCAGCTCGGCAGATCCAAGAACAGTTAGGCGCGCCGAGTTGTGTGCCTGCATGGCAGAGACAAGGCTCAGCTGCTGGCCGACTGCGAAGGGATCCTCCACAGCGTCGGTCTCATCCTTCGAGTCATAGCTGTATGCCGTGCTGGGTGCTCGGAGGATAGGCGAGAGGAGCGGCGAGTCGTTTCCGAGGACCTGGCCAACAGCGCGAGGAACAGCGATGTACCCCTCTCCGCCAAAGTAGTTCTTGACACCTGACCTCAGCGCAGCGGGGAATGGGAGCAGCAGAACATCGTGCTTCTCCGACGCGGAGGTAGAGTCGTAGTTGAAGTGGTCGACGACCAAGGCACCCTTGTTGTTGGGAATGCTGATGTCGAGCTCAAGGAGGAGGGACTGAACGGCGGTTGGGGTGGTCTGCTCGCTTGAGAGCGCGACGAGGATGTTGCCGTCCTTCTTGACGAACTCAAGGAGATTGTTGGCGGTCAGGGCTGGGCCGAGGCCTTTCGACTTCGCGGGGAGTAGGAGGACGTGGTCGTATGTTCGCTCGTCGTGCTTGAAGAGTGCAACTTTGTCGCTCTTGGGCGACTCGACAGTTGTGTAGAAGCCGCGAGCTACAACGGATGTCAGTAGTGTTTCTCTCAAGCTCTGATGCCGGAGGACGTGATCAGAAGCTCCATCTGAGCTATCTCTAGGCCAACTTGCTAGCTGACACGGCTGCCTATCAAAAGAGCACAGCAGTCAATCGTATGCAAGTGGAGGTTCCAGAGTCTCTTGGATTTGACTGGAGATTCCCAAGTGTCCAAATCGTAACGGAAAGCACTTACCCTCAAGATCCTCGAGGAATACGCTGTACTTCTCGCGCTCGGCCTGCTCGTCCAGCACTACCAGGAGCCTGTTCCCTGTAAAACTCGCCGCCTGCACAACGGCAACGATGGCCAAGACCAAGAAAGAAAGCAGCCACCTCATGATCATGAATTGGCGAAGTAGCACTCGAACCCTCGATGCGTACGTAGACAGCTACACGTAACGTATCCACGCCAAGACACCGGCGCGGAGTATCCTCAACCGCCGATAACGGGCGAGCCCCGGGCAACCTCACATCGCGAGTCGCAGCTTCACGAGCAGCTAAAGAGCCATTGAGGCCGTTGTACATACCGTAAGCAATCGGAACCTCCTGCGCATACTCCAAAGCTTCGATTTGCTGACAACCCGCAGCGCAATCGTACGCCCGCCGCACCGCCCAATCACAACACCGCTGATTCCTCACAGCACAGCACCTACGCCATGTCCGCCGCGAATCCGCGCTTCTACAGCCAGCCGCTGCGCTACCTCAAGTGGGCCTCGATCAACAAGCCCGCCTATTTCTACAGCATCATCGTTGGATGTGCGGGTCCGGCTCTCGTCTTCACTGTCCCGGGCATCAGGCGGTACTTTGGCGAGGAGCCGATTGCGAAGATCCCTCTCACATACCCGGTTCCCAGGGGACAGAGGCCGAGGCCGACTGGGTTCGAAGACGAGTAAAGGGAACGAGTAAAGGGAAAGAACAGGGGGGAGGAGAGCGCTGAATACCAATGAGGGAGAGCGCATGAGAACGAGAGCGAGGGGACCCGAACAGGAGAATACAGTATATTGTGCAAAGATCAGTTTCATTCCGTCAAGCCATTATTCCTGAAGTAAGTTGTGCTACTAAAGTCCGCAAGGTCGTCATACATACCAAAACTAGGAGCCATCCGCCCACACCGGGCTGTTCATCTGAACTTTTCAAATCCAGCCTGGAGGACTTCTTGCCCACCAGAACTGCAAAACCGACTCCCAAATCCGCACTCGATGGCTGCAATGCGCGCAGAAACCCCGAACCAACGTCCAAAGCCAGACAAGAACACCAAAATCACTCATACCTCATCCGCTTCGTCACATCACACTTGTACTCAGCATGCATCTCCTCATCTTCATACTCCAGCTCATTCTGCTCCTCCGCACTAGGTCCCCTCTGAAACCTCCTTGCAGTCTCCAGATTCAACCTCGCAATCTCATTGCCTCCCGGCTTAAACGCCCTCTTGGCGGGCAGCTTCCTCGCCTCCCTCTCCTCCTTGAGCCACGGAAAGTCCTCTCTCGCGAACTCCGTGCACGTCAAATACTTGACCGGAAAGCGATGCACATCTAGCTGACACTGGCTTCTCAGCACCTTGGAGTCGTTGACGACGCCTTTGATGCATTCTTTGATCTCGAATAGGTGATTTTCCAGCACATTCATGGCTTTCTTGGTCATGGGAAAGCGTGTGTGGAATTGGTTGATCACAGACTTGTCCATGTATCTGTCGCCGCCCGCGCCGAGAGAGGAGAACAAGTCGAAGCCGCAGTCCGGGGCGTCGCGGCCTCTGCCTGTGATTAGGCGCTGCGAGACCCAGTGCCGGAAGAAGCTGAGCGCCATCCAGACTAGGATGTCCTTTGCGTAGGACTCGCGCTTGATAGGCAGGTCTTCGGAGGGCAGCCGCATGGCTTGCGGGTAATGTGAAAGAATGCTCAGTTCGAGGGACCTGGCTTTGTCCAGGAGGGCGCGATGGTATTTCTCGATCAGAGCGCGCATGCTGGGTACGTCGCGTAGACGCTCGGTGATGTCGGGACGGGTCTTGAGGTTCTTCCAGTCACCGACCAGGTGGACGATGCATTCTTTGAAGATTAGCTCACTGCGGATGCGGTACGCCATCTCAATCCACGCATGTGGTACGCCCTGAATCGCGCGAAAGAGGTCCTGGCCGTGCTTGAAGAGGGCGACTTCGATGGGTTTAGAGATCAGGCCAGTGCATCCTAGATAGTCCGAGATCTGGAGGAGCTGGTAGCAATCAGATAGCGCTGCGGACATTTCCGTATCATCCACAGTGAGCTGCTTGTTGTAGAAGGCGTAGAGGATGGATTCGTAATTTTGGTATGCTTTATCAGCTTGAGGGATGCGGCCATTCTCATTCACGACCAAGCCGTTGCGGTTGTCCGCGCGCTCACCAGTAGGTGTCATTTCCTATCAGTGGTCAGCTTCCAACTGCGCCAAGTTGCTGAATACTCCAGCGCCGGATCTGCATACCACAAGCTCAAGACAACCGGCTGGAAATTGCTTGCTAGGTAGGCGCGTGAGCTCGATCATCCAGCGAATCTCGATGCCAGCGCTCCTCGCGCGACTGTTCAGCTTAGCTGCGTTGCGCTCGCTCAGTATCTCAGCGAACAGCGTGGAGTTCCTTGCGAGTGTGCCAGAGTGGAACTTGTAGCGGCGTTTGTGGCCAAGAATAATCTCGACGTCTTCTGCTTGATTCATATTGATACGCTGAGAATCACCACGAACCAATTAGAGCTTAGGATGGTTTCTCGCGGTGTTGATGGTACAGACGTTCGGGTGGAGAGGTAGTCGCAAGCTTTGTGTAAGTGAAGTCGATTCGCAAAGTAAAAGAGCGAAATGTGCCTCTCGTTTGTAGGCGCGAACACGTATTAAGAGTGAATCGTCATGCGCAATATCGATTGCAAGGTGACCGCGGGTCACTCAGAACTCGGAAGTGAAGTGCGCGAGAGGAATGGAGGCGAAAAATGACTCGAGCGAGTGTAACGTCTACTGCAAAAGCTTCTGTAGTCGTCAGGCAGCAGGCACGATTTTGGTTTTGAGGACAGTTAGGCAGGAGCGATGATGAAAGCGCACAGGCAGAAAGTGAGCATTTCATGATCGCGCAGGCTCTATCATCACAGGTAGAAGATTCATGCATTCAAGGTCTTCAAATACAAGCAATTGGACCAAGCTGATATTATGACATCTCAAGTCTGTTCTGGGGAGATTGGGAATGCGGATGGCTAGGCTTCAACCTTAATTTCTTCTTCACTGCTCTGCTCACCAGCCACGGTCCTCGTCTTGCCTTTTCACGTCCTGTTGCCATTCTTCTTGGACTCAGTCCTGGCATCTAAAGCCTCTCAGAAGCAAAGCCCTGGATGAAAGAGGCTCAGTGATAGGACCGCAGCCAAGACGACCGCGCCCTCAAGCCCAATGAAGTATCGTTGGGTCTTAATCAAGTGCCCACTCCAGCCCTCACTCAACTCAGCGACTCTGTATACGAATCGAGGGAGAATACACAGCGTTGTGAAGGACAAAGCTACGATGAAGCCCTTGGGCTGCCACGAGTTGGGCAGCTTTGCGTGTCGTGGGTCAAGCGCATCGTGGCCAAGCCTGCAAATGCGGCCGATAATACGACTTGCGAAGTCCAGAGCAAGGATGATGAAGATAAGTAGGGTAATAACCGGGAAGGCGGGACCTGCTATCATGATGTTGTTGGCAACAGTTGGGTCCTCGTTCTGTTGGTTCTTTACACTTGCGATACCAATGCCGAGTGCTTGGAGGACCAAAGATGCAATGTCGCATAGAATGAAGATGCAAGGACAGGACAGTTGCTTGATGTGCGAGTTCTCAGTGCCGAAGGTGCTGACAATACGAAATAGGTAGAGGTATATACCAGCTGCGAGAAAAGCCGGGGCGATCTGAGGCAGATGATCTGGATCAAGAAAGGGTTCTATGTAGATTGTCAGTACAAGCTAGCGAAGAAAAGCCATAATGACCTACCTCTGTGAAGCCGTCGTTATCGCAAACACTCTGCCAACGTAGCCAATCACTTCCAGCGCGCAGCCGCACCCCATCGCGATTGTAAAGCCAAGCCATGCTTTGTTGAGGAAGCCTTGACCGGCGTACGCCAGGGTCGATAATCTGAATAGAATCAGAAACGTACGGTTGGCACCCAAAGGTGGTCGGTACCCCCAGTAATATGCGCTGAGCGGACAGGTGTCGTGGGTGCAGTACTGGCGATATTCCTGAATCGCAGTGCGGTCGCGGTCACTCGCTCGAGCGAGCAGAAAGGAAGCCTCAACTACTGCCCTGGAGGCAAGAGATTCCATGACTCGCGTGGTCGATGTTGATGTTGTTAGACTCTGTCAAGTTGTTCCTGTGACAGGGGTCGTAAGTAGACGAATGTGCTCCGTAGAAGCAACGTGTAGGACGATGAACTAGAAAAGCACTTGAAAAGCACCTCAAAGTGTGAGAATCGAACCAGAGACTCAAAAATTAGACTAAAGTCAAAACAGACCGAAGAACGCAAACCTGCGACGCGTAGATAAGACGTCTACCGAGCTTCTGGAACGTGGTTAAGCACATTAAAGCTCTTGCACAAGCTTTGTAAATCTGAGAAGTGCCACATCGATGAGCACTTCGATCCCGCACTTCTGTAACTGAGATCTATTCTCGCCCCATTATTGATACGGTCAAAACGGCCAAATCGACGCGGTCATTGGTGCGCTGGTCAAATTCTGAAGGCCTAAACACGCCGCGCCTGAGGCGTCATGTCGACCGACCGTCCAGGTGGACCAGTCGTGGAGAGCTTCGTTCCAAATACACCGCTGAAAATGGCAATTTGATCGACAGACCAGCAAATTGTGATTAGTAATGAGCTGGACGCAATAGATGTTATCTGGGGACGTTACCTAGAGTGTCCAAGGACCAAGGCTGTCCTCGCTTCACAACTCGACAACTGCAGGAAGCGACACTGCAGGTATGCGCATCGTCGCTAGACAGCCTTTGCGAAACTCGCAATGCTTGACAATACCCCCAGGCGTGATTTTGGCACAGCGCATAGTGTTGTGAAAGAGTACGACCGTGCGACTCACAGGACGTTGGATCGGCGAGGCTCAACCCACATGGGATTGACAGCGGCAGGCGCCCTCCAGAACTCTAGGTAGCCCTTCATCAAAATACATAATCCACTCGTATTTTCCATCACCCAGATACCTGCAGCTACTCTCCTCGCCTCGATCGTTGTCGCATTCACTCCAGTTTGGTCGACGCTTAAGGAACATTAGTCCATCCTCAACTCAGACCCTCTCTAGTGAGCTTTCGACTGCATGCGCTCGGTTTGCGCATCGAGACACTGTCCTGAAAACTGTCATGGCCTGACGGCATCGCTCACCTGCGAAATGGTGTACTGTATCGTCTCAAGTTCAGGAGTCTGCGCGGATCGCCTGCTGTCGTGACACATAAGAGACGAGAGAAAAGAGAAGGGGCTGGTCGCTAGCTGGGTCTTGCGCCGTGGAAAAAGGGTGGAATTGTACATAAGGGCGCCATGGTGGGCCTTTGCCTAGCAATAACGATTCCTCCAGTCTACGAAGTATTTTGCGATCACGACATTCGGCATGTTGTCCGTCAGCAGGCCAATCACCCTGAGAGGAGTTGTCAGCTCCCTGTAAGATCCGTGGCGCTCAAAGCTGAGGCAAACTAGGTACGGTACGAACTTGAGGGGTCAGCCCGAGCGGTCCGTCCGACCCAACCGCCATCGTCTGCTTCGCCTAGAGCAGGTTGACATGTATCATGATGACACAGTCCTGGGTTCTTGGACAACAAGCATTGTATCACCACTGCGCAGATCTTGGTATCGTAGGCTACAGTCGCGAGGTAAGTGCGTGCATGGAGGTGACATCGTATCAATACTCAGCCCCAGACTATGTGTGGCTTGCAGTCTTCTAGAAAGGCTGCCCTTGAAGGCACGATTGAGTGAGAAGCTAGGCCCCAGATCTCCTACACTTCTGGTGCTTGCACACTAGAGCACCTCTAGTTCAGGCGCCGGCTTGATGAGGTCGATAGCACCTGCAGACTCAGCGGTACCTGAATCAATGCGGCCGTAGGTGTGTCGAATCGCTGGCGAGTTGATAGTAATGTTGCAAGTCAGAGCTGAGATGCATAATCCCAGGCTGACCCGAACCTCAGCTTATACCCCTGCCTAAACAGGCTGACTCCTCGGTGGAAAGGTCATTATGACCCAATGAAAATCGCTTCGGTACCTGCTGACATACCGAATGCCCTGCGATAGCTCGCCATGATACTGAGAGGCGTCAGCAACCCGAAATACGATGCTACAGCCAGCCACAAATGGCTTTTTGGACGGCCGCAGTATACCATCGCCAGTGTCCTTCACTGGGTGGGGGTACATGTTTGGAGACTGAAGGTATGGCCCCGGGGACAGCATCAGCCACTCCCCTTACGACTTACCAACCTCGGAAACTATCTCAACGTGCAGTCGTACGGTAGTGAGCAGTGTAGTCTGCTGCAGACCCCGGTACCATCTGATCGGCTAGGAGTGCCGGGTTGTAATTGTCAGCTCGATATCTGACAGTGTGAGCTCATAAATAGCTAAGGTACGCTTGCTTACTCTGGTGTCAGCTTTCTCTTCCACTTCCAATCTGAAACTTACTGCTCAAGCCATTTGCAACCTCCTCTTCTATCACTTTCTTCACTCAACAGGCTATACCATGAGCTCTCTCAAGATCGAAGACCTTAGCGGGATCCAAGGAGACATTCTTCTCAATGGCTTCCCCAAGAAGGCCGAGGTGTTCTGCTTTTTCACCATCAGAGCTGCGCAGGCATTCTGTCAGAACATACAAGCTGTAGCAAACTCAAAGATTGCGACAGGGAAGGACATCAAGGATCTTCGTGAGCAGATTAGCAAACTGCCCAAAGGTCAGATCATTGATGTGGCGAAGACCAATATCGCCTTTACGTCCAGAGGCTTGACCAAGGTGTGTACTACAGCCTGCTTCAACTCTGACACAAGCTTACGGATAGCAGTTGAGCAATGCTCAGTCCTCGCTGCAGAAAGGTCTTAACGGTCTGCAGAGCTCCGCGCCATCTTTTGTTGGCGGTATGCAGAACGAGAGTGAACGACAACAGCTGGGTGATCCAGTATTCAATGGCTGGAACCTCAACCAAAATGGTGGTGGCCCAATCGACGGTGTCCTGCTCGTGGCCGGAATCAACATGAAGACAGTGGAGGCCGAATTGCAGAATGTGCTGAAGCAGCTAAATGTCGGTGGCGAAGTTGTTGTTGAGTTGTTCAGGGAAGCTGGTGTTGAGAGAGCGAGTCAACCGGGTCATGAGCAGTAAGTCACACAAATGCGCTCGTGCTGTATGGTGTTAATCCACATCTCAGCTTCGGTTTCAACGACGGCATCTCCCACCCACAGGTCTTCGGCATCAATGACAGCCCTAGCTTGAACTTCCAAATCGACGATGTCGTTCAGTCAACGGACAACAGCAATTTTGTCGACCCAGGTGTGATAGTAGTCGGTAGACATGGCGACGAGAATAGCCCTAAGCCTCAGTGGATGAACGACGGTAGCTTCCTGGTTTTCCGCAAACTGGAGCAGCACGTTGGCAAGTGGAACGACTTCGTTATAAACCAGTGGAAAAATGCAGGCTCAAAAGGTCCGGCTCAGTTCAGCGCCCAGCTTGTTGGTCGATGGCAGAGTGGTCAGTATATTCCATTCTACTGTATAGCGATGGCTTACTGTGCTTATCAGGTTGTCCGATTTTCCTAGAGGACCAGTTTGATGACAGCAAGTTAGCTCTGAAGAACGACTTCGTATACGGAGGTTTCACTGCGCAGGGCAAATGCCCTCTGGCAGCGCACGTTCGCAAGGCCCACATCCGTACTGGCTTCAATACTTCTCGCATTATGCGCCGCGGCATTCCATATGGAGAGGACTTCCTGCCTGGCAAACCAGATGTTGGCCGAGGCCTACTGTTTGCTTGCTACCAGTCAACCATCGAGGACGGATACAGATTTATTCAGACTGCCTGGGCCAATCAGCGAAGCTTCCCTTCGCAAGATGCTGGTCTAGATGTCACCATCGGTCAGGGCAAGGCAACAGATCCCCCGAGTCCGTTCCAGATCGGCACCAAGTCTGTCAATATCAACCCCATCAACGACTTCGTCACAGCCAAGGGAGGCGAGTACTTCTTTGCGCCTTCTATGGCAGTCTTGAAGGCTGGGTTCAATATTGGTAATTTCGGAGCCAGATTGTGAGACAGAACCAAGCTGTCGAAAAACATCTTCGCAGCCTCACTAGACCAGAGGTCTTAACAGGATGAGCTTCAATGGCGCAGGAATCAATACTCTCTCTTTAATGCCAATGGATCTTGCTGCATTCACGTGTTGTTATCACCCAGCTCTTTGCCCATAGAGCCGTAGCTTGTGAGGCGTGTGATGGCTTTGCTTGGCTCAAGATCACCACTTTGACAGCTGGCGTAGCGCTCAGCTGCTTCGCCGCATACTGTCGTCTTCGGGTTGGTGCAAGTTGCTTCCCCGTACGAGGGAAGTCTGGCTTCGATGCCATCATTGGCCAGGAAGCAGGAATTACTGCAAACCCTTTCTGCATTGGTAATAGGTCGGCACCTATCAATCCTGCCATTGACTTCGTCATGACCAAAGAAGGCGAGCATTTTTGTCCATTCCATCAATCTTTTGAAAAAATGGATTCGACGGCAGCCAGCTTCTGAAGGGTCTCCAGTCTAACCTATGAGATGTATAGCAGAGTTCTCAGTCCTTGCAGAGCATTGAAATCACCAAATAGTAATCTAATGACGACTTTTTGGATTCCTCATATCCTGCTGAGCTTACCATCTGTGTCGTACGAGCTTGGTCTGTGATGTCGCTGAACCGAGGTGCGAGAAACATGACCTTCACAGTACAGCGAGGTGATCGAGGGCAGCTGTCCTGGAGGCTGGACGAAAACACGGGGCGTTCTCGCAGCCATTGCCCGATGTGGTAGAACAGGTGGATTTCATGATTGAAAAGAGGTCTGTCTGCCTCAGCTTTCAGGTTTCTCGTTTGGACACCAGGAAGTTGATAGCAGCACAGCGGGTGTTCATTTGTCAGGCAGGAGATACGAAGTAGTCAAGAGGAAGTACCAAGCCGTTTTGCCCTAGTGCTGCACGGCCACCACTTCAGGCGGCAAACACGTCGACGTCGTGCTCCTTCAACAGTCTTGTAGATGCAACTCGACTATACGTAGCATAAACACATTACCCCACATAAGCTTCGTTATTGATCTAGTCCCCCTGTTTGCGCATAGCGTCGTGACTTGGCGAGCTCTTAACCACATTACTTGAGTGGTTGTGGCCATTTTGCTTGGCGTTCGTCGACCAGCGCACTCGCCATCCTCGGTATCGACGCCGCCATCTCGTCTGTCATTCCTTCAGATCGACCGTGGATCTCTCTTTGGACTTGTCGAGCTGAGGACGGATGCGCATCCAGCTTGGTAGTTGACTTGTACCTTGTTAGTCAGACAGCCGCGGAGGAAGAGGGGCTCCGTCATCCGCTAACTGCCACCAGCACTGTACCGACCACCGACCTCGTCTGACGCACAACGACTACTCGATATAGGTGCGTAACGTCCCTAAACTGCAGCGCGCACATTGCAAACCCTGAATACCGTCACTGCACATCCGGCAATTGCGGAGCAGCACCACGCGGAGATCTTGGGCTACGGGAGCAGGAGGCTAATGGTGCAAGAGCAGGCGCGATAGACAAACTTTTCGGAATTGTTAAAAGGGACGACGATACGCCTAGATATCTGGCTGAGATAGGCGCCAAACACCACCTGCCAACATGGCAGCGGCGACAGCGGGTAAGTGTCGGAAGTCGCAGTGGAACCCCACAGCGTCTCTCCCCTCTTAATATTCTGCACTCGTACCCTCCCCGCCACCATGTTTCGTTCTGGCCTCTTTCCTGCTCTCTGCACGTATCTGACAGCGCTTCTCCCCTACACAGGCTACGAGTGGAACCGCTCCTCGCCGCTACGCTCCTCGCCGGACACCTCCTCTTCTATGTACCCTGATCGGCCCATACGCCCTCTGCCAGCACGTTCTCTGCGAGCACGACTGTCCCCAGAGCAGGCCGAGTCGATCGTCTTCCCCAACAACCCTCCCTCTACGGGGCCGTTGTTCAATTTCCCGTATACGTCCAGTGAGCGTGGCAACAGGGCTCTGAGAACAGGCGAGAACGACCATCATGCTTGTCATTGTGGCCATACTCACTCTGAAGTAGAAAGCGAAGAGGACGAGGACGAGCGGAGTGCGCCGCTGCCTTCTTCTCCAAGCTATCACTACAGTAGGGGCGCGCCAGGCAGGAACGCAATTGCGGCGTCAAGCTATCACAAGCCAGGTTCTGCCTCTTCTTCAGTGGATGGTTACGAATCGTTTGAGAACACAAATAACAAGAAGAAACGGAAAATTCCAAATATGGGAAGCAATAGCTCGCATCACACGACCCTCTCGGCGGACGTGGCAAGCATGAGCATCGCAAACTACGAGAACGGCGAGGTCAACGATGGCGTTGCACGCTACTGCTCTGAGCCATCGACCCCGCAGCACAACTCAGGGACAGGCATCGCAGGGGCTGGCAGAGGGCGATTCGGCCGTAGTGGTTCAGGACGCTCGTCATACGAACGACGAGTGCTAGGCAATTCGACCAATCTTGCCAACGCCAAAGCAAGCAAACGTACGGTGGCACCTCGGGAAATTTGACTTTCTGGATTAAAGAGTCCGTGCGCTGACTATTTATTCTCTAGGTCCTTCGGAGCAAAGCGGCATCATCTCCACAGCCATTGCCAGCGCACAAGCAACCCCACCGCCCCCAGGCAACGAGAACGTCAGTTTGCTGCATCAGGAGGCCGCAAAGAACAGCGCGACGAAGACACAATTCACCTTCACCTGCGGTTCTGACTCAGCAAACAAGATGGTTTGGCCCGGCCAGGAAAACGGGCCGTACCCTCAGCCCCCGGGCGCGTATCCCAACACGACCGCTCCTCTATCGGCTCATCCCCAGATAGCTCGCGCTCGCCCTCCCGTTCGATCGGACGCCCCTGCTGTGTCGACTCAGGGTACCCAGACCATTCCCAACATGAATGGAGTACATCCTCCTGCAAATAGGGGTGCACCACTTCCAAAGGGTGGCCAGCCTCCACAGCAGGCATCTCCAGCACGCAAGCCGAGACGTAGTGTTTCGAAGCTTTATGCATACGCTGCTCGCAAGCGCCGGACGCAGCAGGAGTACGCTAACTTTCACAACCCTCCCAGCCAGCCCTGGATCTGCGAGTTTTGCGAATACGAAGATATCTTTGGGCGTCCTCCTGAGGCCTTGATCAGACAATACGAGATGAAGGACAGGAAGGAGCGACGCCGGCTCGCAGAAAAACGTCGGCTACTGGAAAAGGCGAGGATGAAGGGGCGAAAGGGAAAGAAGGCAAGTAAGAAGGCGCAGAACAACGTGAGCAACGGCCACAATGCTCAGAACGCGGCGCCTAGCGGCTACGATCGTCACGATGACGGCTCCTTAGACCCTGAGGATGACTACGATTATGACTATGATGATGACGGAGGGACACCACGAGAGGGGACTTGCTGTGGTCATCATTGTTCGCACCATCCTCCACCAAAGGTTCCGCTACTACCTCCCCGAGATCCGCGAATGGGCATGCCGCCCACTAGTAACGGCGCTTAGCATTCGGACAAGACGGGGTGGGCCGTCTTTGTTCTTGCGTTCTGTATTTCTGTATTGTCTTTTTGTATTGCATTCGCGTCCAGAGTGGACGAGCACTGGATCTAGTTGTCAACCTATCCGTCTCATTGCACATATGTTCAATGTCCTGGATACCGGTTTCTCACGATTCTTCCACGGCCATGCTAACGCGACCGTTCTCGCGCGTTTCATTATCCTAGCGTTCAGCATGTCTTCAGCATTTCTCAGCATCGTTCCCGGAGCCATCTGCATAGTTGGGTCCGACTTGTTATTATCACGGCCAATCTCCATACCACGACACACATAATCGATTCACACAACACCAACACCCCACTCAATCATAATTCAACCAAGAAAGATGGATGCCACCCATCTTGCCAGGAGGAGGCAATGTCAAGCTAGACTTGGACTCGTTTGCTCGTACATGAGCTGTATAGCTCCATATGTGCAGAATGTTCCTGTCCCATGTCAATTGGCTATGTTCGCTTTGTGTAGTATTGTGCTCACGGGGCAGTGTCTTGATCGTAAGCTTGCAGTCGTATGTAGCTTCAATCAATTCGAACAGCATTCGCCAATTTCACATCCCCTCAACAATTTGCATATGCTGATAACTGCAGATACTGTGTCGTTGGCTGAAGCAGAGGACGGGGACGATGGTGACAGGATATTCCGTGCTGGCAGGTTCGTCCAATGGGACTTCGAGAAGCTCCGCGACCGCCCTTTGATGACCCCATTCTGCCGGCCTTAACCCCACTCTACAACGATACTCTCTGGGCTGTCATCTTCACCATCGTGGTGTATTAGTGGTAATCGCGTTGACTCCGATCATTTACGACCTTATCGCTGCCTGGGACAGCTGTTCATCTCCTCCCTTACAACCGACATCGTAGTTGTGCACCATGGCGAAGGCAGAGATCCACGAGTATGGTACTGATGACGGGTGGCATGGTGTGATTAAGGAAGGAGGAGAGTTCTCACCTGAGAAACACCGGTATCATCTGTACATTGGTACTCTTCACACTGTCTTCCAGTCATTGAATTCTTGACACTAACCCAGCTAACAGGCCTCTTCTGCCCCTTCGCCCACCGCGCCAACCTCATCCGACACATCAAGCATCTGCAGCCTTTTCTCCCAACATCAATCGTCCGACCCTATCCCAAAGGCGAGGTAGGATGGCGATTTGATGAAAATTACCCCAATGCCACACCAGACCACCTCTTCAACAGCCGCTTCATGCACCAACTTTACTTTCGCGACGACCAAGCCTACAAAGGCAAGTACAGCGTGCCACTCCTCTGGGACAAGAAAACGAACCGCATTGTCAACAATGAGAGTCTTGAGATGCTGCGCTGGCTGCCCCACGCTTTCGACAGCCTCATCGAGGACGAGAAAATCCGCAGCATCGACTTCTACCCTCCAGATCTGAAGGATAAGATCGATGAGATAACTCCCTGGCTCACGTCCCTCATCTGCAGCGGCGTATACAAAGCCGGCTTCCACCCCACACAGGAGGGGTACGATGAGCACGTCGTCCCGCTATTCGCTGCGCTGAATAAGCTCGAGAAGATTCTGCACAATAATGGCGGACCGTATATCCTGGGTGATAAGCTGACGGAGTTGGATCTCTTGGCGTACCCGACGGTGGTCAGGTTCGATACGGTTTATGTTCAGCATTTCAAGACGAATCTGGGGACCATACGCCATGACTATCCGGTCTTGAACAACTGGTTGAAGAATCTGTATCATAATGTTGAAGGCTTCAAGGAGTCGACTGATTTTCAGCACATCAAGGAGAATGTCAGTTCGCATCAATGATTTATGAAGGGTCAAGCTGACAGGTTATAGTACACGAAGAGCCATAAGGATATCAATCCGCTATCCATTACGCCCATGGGTCCGTACCCAGAAGTTGAAGATGGGTATGAGAGTGACTGGAGCAATTTGAAGAGGGGGGAAGTCAGTCATCCTTTGGTTGTGGAAGCGAGTCGTAAGCTGTAGACAGCAGGATGAATGTCGACAATACAGAATATCGCACAGAACCTCCAACCTAGACAATACACAATACACGCTAACACACCGCTCAGGTGAAGAACGTTCGTTACTTACAGCACTTCAGCTCCTCGCAAACACTCCCGCACGGCACCCCGCATTTCTCCGAGCTCGTGCTCGCGGTCGTCACCTGCGATCCCACCTCCATGACCTCATCATCCACCACCCTCTGCTTCGGCAGCTCCGGCTGTAGCGTCACAGAATGAATCCCATACGCATGCAAACACTCAGTAATAACCTTCGCCTTACTCATGAAGCTCTTCACGTCCGGATCACTGACCACCACATGCGCGCTCGCAATCGCCTTACGCTGATCCAAACGCCACACATGCAATTCATGCACACTCAGAACGCCTGGTATACTTTCGAGATCGTGCTTGATATCGTCGATCTTTACACCCAAGGGGGCAGATTGGAGGAGAATTTTGCCGGCGCGTTTTGTGAGCGGGAGCGCGGAGATTAGGATCATAAGTGCGATCCAGAGGGACACTGCGGGGTCGGCATAGAAGCGTGAAGGAGAGTGTGTGAGCCAGATTATTAAGGCGGAGATGATCACGCTGATGTTGTTTATTGCGTCGCCCAAAATATGGATGAGCACGCCTAAGATGCCGAGGTCCATGCCGTGCTTGGAAGGCGTGAGGGAGTGATGAAGATGCAGATGGTGATGGTCGAGGGTGGATGAGGCTGAAAGGTTCTCAACGTCGCTGTGATAATGAGTAGAGTATTCATGACCGTGACCGTGACCGTGTGCATGTTCGTCACCATGATCATGCTCGTGCAAGAAGGCGGCGCTGATGAGGTTGAGAGTCAGACCGATGCAGCCAACTATCAGCACCAGCTTCGGGTTCTCGACGTGCTGGAGGGATATGAAGCGCTCGATGGATTGCAGGAGGATGCTCAGGCCTAGAGCAAGGAGGAAGGCGCCATTGAAGAAAGCGCCGAGAAGCTGCGCACGTGTCCAGCCGAAGGTAAGGTCTTGCGGGGACTCCTTGCGCTCAGTCACTTCGACCGCTACTAGAGCTATGAAGAAACCAACAAGGTCATTGAGCTAGACCATGTCAGCATTGGAGTTCTGCTATTCTACACGCTTGCACTTACATAGTGGAAAGCGTCTGCAATAAGAGCGATGGAGTGAGTGTGGAACCCAATGGAGATTTCAGCAACGAAGAAACAGAACGATATAGCGATCACGGCTCTGAGACGCGCTTTGCGAGATACGTGAGAGTGGTGGTGGCCCATGATGCTGCTAGATGCGTGACGTGCAGAAGAAGCAATAAATACCAACAACAAGGAAATAATCTAGGTGTTAAGAATAGGAACTCATTCAAGGTACAAAGAGAACCGTGATGGCGGAGTACAAACAAATTGGTGTGTGGTTGCACATCATGTAGTAGCGAAGTCGGAAAGTCATCGGTACCATATCGTTCGCTGGCGAGGCGTGACCTTGTCGTGCCTGCCACAAGAGCCTACAACGTGGGCGCCAGACCAATAGCCCATCAGGTATGGACCCGAGCATGGTGACATGACGCGAGTAGCATGCTGAAGCAGGAGGATTGCACGAGAGGAATGCACTTTATCAATTATCAAGTAAGTGTGAGCGACCGAACCCTTGGAAAGGGTCCATGATCTGTCCGCGGATGCCTAACCAAACAAAGGTAGGGTGGCGGCACGTGCTCCACCCTATCAAACGCCCAGAACGCTGGACCCCTCGCCGCCGCAAAATGTCACCCATCACGCTCCTAGAAATCTTCACAAATCGCGCAACCATCACTCACGCTTACCCCCACAATCAACGACTAACCCTCGACTACTAACAACATGGGTAACGGAGCCAAGTACGCCGTCCTACAGTAGAAACAAGCAGGGCCATACTAACAGCATATAGGGCACAGCAGAAGCGCGACCGCAAGGGCGCCGACGGGCCCAAGGAGGCTAAGTCGCAGCTGAAATCCGTACGACTCCATGCCTTGCTCTGCCACAAAGCTGAAGCTCTATCAAGCGCAGATATTGACCGCGAGTAGAACTCCGCCGCCCAGACTGTCAAGTGCAAGACCTGCTTCCAGACTTTCCAGAGCACCACAAACCGCAAGCTGCTCACTGAACACGCCTCGAACAAGCACAGCAAGCAGTTTGCTGATTGCTTTAATGCCGAAGACGGTGTTGCGAAATAAGCGCAAAGGGTGGCCTGACAAGGCTGACGGTGTATATCTGGAGAGGCATTGGAAGGCGTTCAAGTTGTGATGAGAGCATGGGATACCACTAGAAGACAGCGAGGAGTTGAGAGCGACCAGTTGACGAGTCATGAATATTGGGCGTATGGGGTTACACATCAACGCATTGGTCAACAGCAAACTACCTTCTGTCAAACGTGTGAAAACGCTTCTAGAGAGGGCTGTTTCTTTTTTGAAACTCTGTTCAGTGCAGAATCAACGCGGCGCTCCTTCAATAAGTGCTCTTGAGGAACGAATGCGGTCTTCCTGGGAGATGATCATGGTACACCTCGCCTTTGATCCTTCAAAGCGGCCCTAGTCAAAGAAGAATCAAACGTGCGCTTACACTCGGTATTGGACATGACTGCTGCCTACCCTGTCTATGCGGTGTTCATCTCAATCTGCCCGTCCAAAAGGTCCGACTACGGCGAGCATTCGGATTCGACCAAAACTAATCATCAGCCCCGCACTTTAGATACATGCAGAGTTTGACAAACTAGGAGGACATCTTGACAGAGTGGCAGGAAGGAATTTTCCGCTGAGTATATTATATTAATATTTTATTTCTTTTCATGAATCCATCCCAGTCGCTTTAGCTCACTTGGGAGAGCGCCAGACTGAAGTTGTCAGTCATTAAATCTGGAGGTACTGTGTTCGATCCACAGAAGCGACAAATAGCTTCCGTGCCCAGGTAAACTGGGACTGTGAAAATGCTTTTTTGCACATTTTCGCTCAGGAATAGAGGTATCTTAGGAGGCAATGATTTAACTCCTACGACTCGTACACATGTAGTCTTCACTTTTGCGTTAGTGCGAAAAAGAACATGCGAAGTGCATGGATCTAACCAGTACAAATACAAACTTGCTTACGGCCTCGCTGGTTTGAGTTGTACTCCTGTCAATCGCGATGATCTTTGCCACTCAATCTTTCCATAATCCAGATTCATCGGATCAGAAATAAGCTGGTGACATATGGACAAGTTGCCGAGATGGATGCTTGTTACCTGCGAGACTGTATCACCTGAGGTGGCATAAAGGTCCATATTGGAGACGTTGCTATCGTATGTGTAGGTCTGATATAGTTCATGTGTGTTGCTCCAATCTACGACCCGTGTTAGAAGCAATCTAGGCCACGGTATGAATGCATATTGCAGAATGTCGAGGGATCTCAATACCGACGATTTAACGCGCAGTCTCTAGCATCACATCACGCAGGCTAACTGCGGTGTGATGCCGCACCCCACGTCTATTTAGTTTATGAATGCAGATCTTAAGATTATGTTGATAACTACAGGTCGAACTCGCTCGAACATGAGTAGCTCATCCATGCGTAAGAAACCAACACGACGATAAGTATTGCCTCCTCAGTCCTGCACCAACTGAGAGCAGCATGAGTCCTTCAGTCTCGCCTCCACCGTCTAGCTTCTCTTCGACTATACGGGTTGCAAGACATGTAACAGCTACGCCTTCACGCAGCTCAGCATCGAGAGCGTCTATGACAGCCCCACCTTGACGCTCCACCGCTTTGGATGATGATGAGAGGAGATCATCCTCCTCGCAATCTTGGATACTTTCTCGAAGTCGAAGCACCCTTTAAAGATCCTAGAGCTCTTATGCGCTGCCTCTGGCGCAGGAAATATGAATGCAGTGATTCTCACGTCAACCGATGTACAGCTCCATGAAGGAGCCACATACTGCGCAGTCGAGGAGTCAGCGTGACCTCGTCAGTACTAAAATCCTTGTAGGAGAGGCTGCTCCACTGGGAATCATCAAGTAGCCCATATTCCCAAAGCTTAGCACAATACGTCCATCAGTCTGCGCGTCCAAACTCCTCTGCAACAGCTGAGAAAGCCGGCAGCCTATCTGAGGTATGTGAGAGATGTCTGCTGGTGCAATCTTAGCGTAGCTTAAACCAAGCGCGACGCGAGTCGCTCAGCATACTTAGAGATAGGAAGAGATCATTCCGAAGTCTTGCCAGTGGTGAGACCATTTCTGTCAGGGGCGTCAGAACGACCAATCGTTACTATGCTACCGTGTGAGAGCACCACAGCCCTAGAGGAGAGAAGAATTCTTGGAATGTTCACGCACGGTCATTGATGGGATCGCTGAGGCCCATGTATTTTGCCGGCCAGCTCAAGGGAATGAGAGGCGGTGAGCCATCTGGAGTCTGTGCCTGATATGGTACACAGACAGGGTTCAACAAGTAGTGAGGGTCTTCGACCTGATTAAGGAACCCTTCCGTCGCTGCGCTGGCGATCGAGGCAATGAGAAAATTGCAGCTTGTCTGTAAATGACGCCCATCTTCGGGGATTCACGGGCCTTGTCTTTTGCGGAGTACTGTATGATGCATCTAGAATGGTTAGCAATGGCTGTATACGTCCTTACACTTACTCATAATGCATCGATCCAGATCTAGCGAAGCCCAACATAGCATGTTATAGTTATGGCATGTCGAATAGTCTGAGGCAGCTGGCTCGGTTCGAATGACGACACAAGGGAGTCCTTGTTCCTTGACAGGAGGATGAACGTCTGTTTTATTCCCCAGGAACAACTCAGTACTGTGAAATGGATATCATCTTGTGGAGTGTCCGCAGTGTTCATAATATGTAGACCGTTGGTAGGGTCCATGTCTATGAGCCGAGCAGGTAGATCAGAGGCCGATCTACGCTTGGGTGCTTGGAGGGTCAACCCAGATATCCATGTACATATCTTGTTCATGTTTGCCTCTGACCTGAGAGTATCACCGGGGATATTCGTATAGTATATATTGAAGAGGTTCGCTCCTACACACACGAGACTCTCGTATTGCCCAACAGACGTTCCACTTACCGCTGACGTTCACGCGGTAGCCGAGCTCGATACTTTCAAAGGATTGCTCACGCCATACTCGACTCTTCAAGCCTTCGTACACAGCGTCTGCCTCTATATGAGCTGCCAAAGACGTAAAGTGTAAAGTGATCAGCAGTATCCCTCTGAAAGCCTAATCTGACAGCCAATTGGTGGTCGTCCATAAGTAGGTCGTTGTCTTTACGCTTGGGACAGGAACGACTGGTCTCCTTGATGCTTTCTATTTCTAGAACATGCTTCTTCAGCCACTTTCCCATATCGTCGCCGTAGATCAGTGCAGAGCGAGGTCTTCCGTGTTATGTCCAGTCTCCTCCTTCTCTGGCAGCTGGAGATCCGCAACAGGATCAGCAGCAGTCTCGCTCCCATTTGATACATATTGCAGGGAAATGAACCTGGGGGCTACCCTTTTGCGCTTTGTGCTTCCACGTATCCCGTTCGCAATGGTGCAGCAAAGTCCGCACTTAGCAAAGACTGCATTTCGCAATTGCTTCGTGCCCACAGTGTAGGCCCAGGATAGACTCTTTTCTTGCACTTGCCAGATATTCAGTGATTGCAGTGTCTAAATGCCCTTTCGGCAGTTCTCGCAGGAAGTCCTGCGCGGGACAGACTGCAACAGATCGTGGGAGCTCCACGTCCAGCCAAGGGAATGGTGGTCACCATGCACCCCTATCTTGATTATTTCGTTCCTTATAAAGGTTTCAATCTTTTTGTTTATCGTGAGATGTCTGCTAGAGCTAGCGGGAAGGTCTACAACGAGGTTGTCGTGGAATTCGAGCTGGCCGCGCCGGCAGCTCGCTTCGATCCCATGAGCACTTCGACGTCAAATGAACGTCGACTACCATTCGTAGCATTCAAGCCGGCACCATGGAGGCCTCCAGTCATCTCTAGATGGTGCCGTTGAGTTGCGAGGAACAGTTCGTCGATGCAATGTGTGATGTGTAGGCACAAGTCGATGAAGAATCGCGGTTGTGCGAAATTGGGTGACGTCACAATCCGCATTCACACCACACACGCTCTGATAACCTGACAGACTCCGAAACATACCATCCAATACACACGAATCTTTACGGCTGCAGCATGGCAAAAAAGCTCAGATATCCCACCCATCTGAACTACACCTCGAACCGAACAGTCTGGTTCACCCTCGCACCTCGAGGGACTTGAAATGCCTTCACCTCGAACCCATCATCGCCCAGACTTGCCACGACATCGTCACCGAACCCCACAATCTCTTGCAAGAGAGTGATGAAGAAACTGATCCGTAGTAACTTGCTGAGATTGCGCTTGATCAGCTCAAGCACCGCTCTGCGCAGCGCATCGAAGCGCGACTGTGTGTTCCTCCACAGCAAGACGAGCGAGTTGAGGAATCGATCAGTCGGTGCGATCGTTGTTTCACCATCAGCCTGTGCGTTTGGGGGCGGTATAAACGGGAAGCTAGGCATAGGAATCTGGTCATCGCCAAGCTGTCCGCTGGAAATAGCCAGAAAGCCTAACTTTAGCTCATGTTCTGCAATACCAAGATAGGCATTGATTGCGTGATCTTGAAGCGCAACCAGACCGTACTTGCTACCTGCTAAGTAGATATGGACGTGGAAGTCAAGTGCTGTGAGCAGAGGGTACGCTATGAACGCTCGCTGGTCGAACGTATAGTTGCCAGTCTCGATGAAGTGAAATATAGTAGTGATGGCGTATGGGAAGTCGTCGCGGAGTCGAATGCAGTGTGTGAGACCATGGTCCTTGCTCAACGTCAGAAAAGGTAGCAACAACTCAGATGTTTGTGGTACCTACCAAGAAAGGGCCATCAAGCAACTGGGTGAAGAATCGAGAAGCGCTGCAAAGCGGATATTTATCGGCTTTGACAAGGGAATTTCCTTTGTCGAACAACATGATAACTTCGTTAGCATTGATATCCGGAAAATGTCTGCGGCTTTGTAAGTGATTGTAATTGTATCGCAACGAGACAGAGAATACGTACTTGGCGAAAAAGGAGACGGGCATGACCCTAGTTGTTGTCCGACCGCCCTGGCTGCCGTACCGGTGAGGGGACGATGGGAGTGAGCGTCCTTGACTGTGCAGGGTGAGGTCGCCGAAATTCAGTGCGCTTGGTGTCATTGGGCATATCGCAGCAGACGCATTACTCATGGAGGAGAGCTTAGTCTCAGGTTGCGCAAAGGAGTTAGCAATATCCTCCAAAGATGAGCTGAGACCAGTCCGGATGCAGGGCGAAGGGCCAAACATGGACTGTCCGCGAACAATTGGTGGGGTTGGAAGAGAATCATGGCGTATTGAAAACTTAGGCTGTGGATCGCGCAGGACAGGTGGACTGCTTCCAAGCTCATAACCGAGTTCTAGCCCTGGTCCGTTACTATACAGCTTGTACTGCAAGGATGCGTAGTTGTGCAACGCTGGATGGGCAGACTGCAAGTCCACTGGCGCCAGATGACGGATCTGAGTTTCAGGTATCTCATCGAAGGCAGCTGTAGAGTCCAGGTCTAGTGGAACCTCGTTCTCCTGATCAAACTCTTGCTTGTGGAGACCTGCGACGCCGAGTGGGTAGGACAGAATGCGCTTAGTGGGCTGAGCGTTTTGGTCACTGTGCCTGGGCTGATTCGCGCGTTGAAAAGCTTGACTGAACGCTCGTTTACGCTGATCTTGACGGTCCATGGCTGGTTGAGTCGAGACATCAGGATGCATGGGTGAAGTTGAGAAGCTCATGACTCGACCAGAAGAAAGGCCACCTGGGAATCTGGAAGATTTTGTCTATCAAGGTGAGCTGGCAAACGCGAATCAAGCGCGTCGACGCGTTGGAAGACGCGCCGTCTGTTCCGCACGACAGCGGGCCGTGGGGCTATTCTGAGGTGAAGACATTTTTTGGTGACAAGCGATGAGGCCAAAGTCTAAAGCCTGTCTAGCCGCAGCACCTTGTCTCAAAGACAGAAAGCGGCTTTCACTTCCACCGCTTCCCAAGCTCTTCGAAAAGGTCTGACCTGAACTCAGGAACTTCGTCCATCAAGGCAACGATTCCAGAGACCTCTTTGCCAATACCCAGAACTGCACTGCCAAGATGATCTGCGCAACGCTTTACCGCCACGCGTCGCAGCTCGTCTGCTCTCGTCCTCCGTAATGGCGCATACAGATCTTTGACAGCTTGCAAGAACTCCTCCTCATCACCCACTGTTGTCAAAACCGCCACCGCCAGCTTCTCGAACTTTTGTGCTGCAAGCTTCTGCAAGCCAGGCATGCCATATCGTTCAGCTAGGAGGTAAGTGTCGAGATGCGGTCGAAGAGCCACCACGCTGTAGAGAGCGGGATTCGAATCGGGTCGAGTGTCTCCATAGTCTAGCTGATAGCAGTACTGGATCATCGCGGACACAGCGCCCGGATCATCTGCGCTCAGATCTACAATGCGTTTCGACATTTTCTGTTCCGTGTCAGTCTGCTGCCATCTTTCACTACGTCTTGTTTGCGTACTGGGTAATTCACTTTCGAATACACCTTCGCGAACCACTGGCTGTGATGGCACAGAATGGAGCGATCCACGTGATAATCGTCATCTCGACATCGCACCAATAGATCGGCTTGCTGGATATCTACAATACGCTCTGGACCAAGTATTGTTACAGGAGTGAGCATTGCCGTGGGTACTGATACTGGATTGCTTTGACGCTGAGGAACATGCTGTGTAGATGGCTTCTTCTGAAGTCGTCGTCCGACATGAATTCCATCAGAGAATGCTCTTAGATGTCGAGTTCGCTTCATTGAGCCTGCAGATGGCGTAGATGAAGCGGCCGTCGATGTAGAACTGTTCCTGCCGTGCTTTGATGATCGTGCAGACTGTGCCGAAGACACTGAACTTGAGTTTGAGGCATTGGACGATGCGCGCGACCGCGTGAGATCGAGAACGGAAGTTGCAGGTGATGAGTCCGCTGAAAAGTGGCTACCTGTTGTGTAGGTTGTGACTGTTCGAGTCGCAAGTCTTGAACATTCTGGTGGTGCGCTGGGGTTGTGAGCACTCAAGATACTGTGCTTCAATCACAGGTAACTCACATATGCACCGGCGCTATGATGGGAGTCGCAAACATGATGACTGCACTCAGCGCAAGGACATCCGCAGGTCAACGCATAAACTAAAGCATGTATAAGTTGAAAAGTGCAAGTGCGTGATCGCGCATATATGGGCTTTAAACCAAATCTCTGGCCACATTGTGCAAAACATCCTGCATGCAGATCTTTCTTTGTAGGGCACTGATGAGCTTCTTCTGGCCAATTGAAGCTGACTGCCAGAACGCAAGATACAGTGCAATGTGCGCAACTGGATACTTTGACCTTGACTCCGACAGCATCAAAGGGGAAGGTGCATCATTTAGATGAGGAAGGTGCTCGGAGCCAATCACGACATTGGTAGTTGATTGTGCGGGGCACTGTGTGACATCCCTACCGATAGTGCGGGGCGCCGTGTGACATCCCTAACGATAGTGATTTTGATGAAATGGACAAAGAAGATTTGGCAGCTGAATACCGTGGGGTAGAAGCTACCGAGCGTGGCGTGTTCCCAAACACCCCAGGACGTGGAGACATGTCTTGCAGAAGAAGCCGTGCGCATTCCAGAACTTTGCCAGATCTTGATCGGAGACACAACAACTTTACGGGTGTGCTTATCCCCAATGGCTAAGCAGCGAGGAGGCACGCTGTCGAGTGCGATTTGCCACTTACCGACCAAGGAGCGAGCGTTTTGAGCCGTGAGGCTGTTGGCTGCGACTTGCGGCTCGAGTGCGGCCTCCGAACAGCGGAAATAATGCCCGTGGCGACAGCATCGAGACAGCGGTTTGAGTAAAAAGTCCATGTTGAATCTCAAATTCCCATCTGAACACGTGGTGATGTCACCGTCCAATCGGTCCGAATTCTGATAAGCCACCGCCATCTTGGTTGCGCTTGACTTCAGGCCCCAAGTACGTCAGCCTGTCAATGCGTCAGAGGACGCGCTATGTTCACGATCTTACGATCGTTGGTAAAGTAAAGCATCTGGCTGGTGCTGAACATGCGGCTAATGGCTTACGCGCGAACATATCGACGCTAGGGAGCCGATCAGAGGCGGGCGCATCGTTTCATCCGAAAAAAGATCAGAGTGGATTGCTGCTTTCGCAGCTAGACTTTGACGCGTTGCCGTGTGTCTGGCCAGAACTCTTCTAGTCGGCATTAGAGACTGGAGCTGTAAGCGTCATCGAGCATATTGTGGAAGCGATGGTGGCAGATTCCCACGATCAATAGCCTGACGATGCCTGCTAACGTCCGCCACACGATTTTGTATAAAAGTGACAATTGTTGCAGGATATTAGATCGTGTCAAATCCAAATCATACCTTTAACAACTTCAAGATGACGCACCAAACGAACGGGAGCGACAATCATGCCAATGGAAACGGCCTTCCCGAGGGACTCAATCCCAATGGGCACACTGCGCATGCTCCCGACGGGAAGCACAATGGAGATATGTACCGCGACTACGTCGACGACAGGAACGCTACAGATGAGGAAGTGATCTACACCACGTCGAATGGAGTGCCATACCCCCATCCTTACGAGTCACAACGGGTGGGTGAGAACGGACCTCTTTTGCTCCAAGACTTCCACCTCGTAGATCTCCTTTCGCACTTCGACCGCGAGCGCATTCCAGAACGAGTTGTAAGTTTTCAGCCTGCTCCCTGTAAACCAGAACAAGCTTAATGCCCAAAAGGTTCACAGTAAAGGAGCCGGAGCTCATGGCTACTACACTACCACAGACTCTCTCGAAGATCTTTGCTTAGCGGATGTTTTCAAGCAGGGCAAGGCTTGCCCTATCACCGTCCGGTTCTCGACTGTTGGTGGTGAGTCTGGCTCGCATGACTGCGCTCGTGACCCTCGTGGATTCTCCGTGAAGTTCAGGACCGCCGAAGGCAACTGGGATGTTGTTGCCAACAACACACCTGTCTTCTTCCTGAGGGATCCAGCCAAGTTTCCTCACTTCGTAAGTAGTATAACTTCAAACCTCTCGGGCGTATAATGACCCTACCAGATCCACACACAGAAGCGTCACCCATCGACACACTTGACACACGCTGATGACTCCACCAACTTCTGGCACTACGCGTCGCAGAACCCCGAATCCATCCATCAATTTCTGATTCTCTTCGGCGACCGTGGAATTCCAGACGGATACCGCAAGATGCATGGCTACATTGGCCACACACACAAGCTGGTAAACAGCAAGGGCGAGTGGGTGTACATGCAGCTCCACTTCAAGACTAAGCAGGGGACCGCATTCATCACACAGGAGGATTCTGCGAATTACTCCCCTGACTACTCGACAAAGGACCTATATCAGGCCATCGAGAAGGGTGACTATCCTGGTTGGGATGTTTGTGTCCAGACCATGACACCGAAAGAGGCCGAGGAACTGTGGGAGAAGCAAAAGATCAACGTGTTCGACATGACACATGTCTGGCCGCAGGACCAGTTCAAGTTGCGCAAGGTTGGAGAGTTTTTTTTGAATGAGAACCCCAAGAATTACTTTGCAGAGGTTGAGCAGGTTGCATTCAACCCTGCACACTTGGTTCCTGGCATCGAACCCTCGGCCGATCCTGTCCTGCAGTCCCGTCTCTTTTCATACCCTGACGCCCATCGCCACCGCATTGGCGTCAACTACCAGCAATTGCCGGTGAACGCACCGCGTGTGCCATACCGTTTCGGCAACTTCCAGCGCGATGGGCAGATGGCCTTTTACAACCAAGGTGCAAGGGCCAATTACCTTTCCTCGATTCAGCCTATCTCGACTAGGAACAGGTCGGTGGAGTTGAATAAGGTGCATACCAACTTCCAGGGTGATGCCATCACTTTTCTATCCGAGATCAGACCTGAAGACTTCAATGCCCCGCGCAAATTATGGGAGAAGGTTATGGATGACGGTGCAAAGGAACGCTTCATCAGTAACATCTCTGGCCACATGGAGACCTGCACTGACGAAGAGACCATTAAGAGGGTAATCTCCATCTTCAGGGAGGTATCAGACGATATTGCTACCCGCATGGAAAAGGCCACTGGCATCAATGGTTACGATGGTATTTCGAACCTGCAGTTCAACGGCTCTTTTAATGGAATGACAAAGGATGCGAAGAAGGCAGCGGCGAATGGCAAGGAGAAGAAGTTCCACGAGAGAAACGGTGCTCCTCGTCCTGGAGATGTCAAGGCTTGAAGATTGCGTTCGAAAGTTTGTGCACCGTCACTATGACGGGTCAGCGACCACAATAAACCGTAGCATTGAGCTGTCAAATTCATGATTGTAGACTGAGAAGTTCTTCCTAGCTCCATTCGCAGACTGCGTATCAGTGGATTTTTGATCTTATCTAGCTCGAGTGCGCCAAAATTGTGTGAGCACTACATACTGTCAGAAGTATGGAGAGCTGAAGTCCTCTAAGGCTGCTACAGGATTAGCGGCCCAGAGGGCTCTTCCAGAAGCCATCCGCCTCTCCCCCAAATCCGTCGCTGGTGGCACGAGTACGAACTGTCGCTGGTGGCACGAGTACGAACTGTCGTCTCAGCTGGTGACCCAATCTGTCGGTGAGAGGCGCCACTCGCAGGGCCGCGCTTGAAACCCCTCTAACGAAAATCTGGCCCGAGTGGGCGGCCAAGCGCCGTCGCCTGCCGGCTTCGACTTGCAACTTCGTGTTGTCACTTGTTCGCACCTGCCAGGCAGCGTGCCCCTCACCTTCTTTCCTCGACCTGTCGGCAGCGGCTCAGAATATTCGGACACGCCGTGCTCACGTCTATTTCGCGAATCTCGACACTCACGGGCCCTCCCTGATTCCAACCTCGCGAACCAAGGGTCACCAAGCTGCGAAGTCACGTGAGCTGCTCGGTGCGCTTGACGCTATGCCCTCCTCGGCCGCAGCGTTGAATTGCCCGGCGGGCGGGCCATGTCATTCACGCGCTCAGCGGTAGTGAGGAGGCCTCGAGCATTTTCCGTGCCGCCAGGTCCTCTACCTCCGCACCATTGCTCCCGCCCAGCACACCAGACATCCCCTCGACGCCAGAACATGCTGTCTCCGACCCAGATATCCTCTTCACAGTTGCTCGCCTACATTGCCGTCGCTCTTTAGAGCTCTAGAGCTTTTGTCCCGCTCTCCGCATCGGCAGCGTCATCTCTTCGCCCGCCACGCTCGAGCCAGAGGGTTGTACAACATTCATTGCGCTCTTACCCTACTTCTACCATCGAATTGCTGCTTAGCTTCCTGCCAACTCGCTGCCGACGCCAACCCTTTGCTACCACCACGCGCCGCTCTCGTCGCTCAGGCGCTCATAGCAGGCGCACCTTACACAATCGAGCTGTCGACACGTCCTTTACCCTTTAGTCTTGATCATCATCTACTTCAGCGACAGGGACGGTTCTGCGAGCGATGTCCCCGCGCCGCTCGTCGAGGGCTCGTACTACACAGCCTCTATCCAACGCCCAGACAGCACATAGCGTTTCCTCCTCCTCCGTCTCATCAGCACGCACAGATCGTGCAACACGAATCGACCGCAAGCAGACACCACCGCACAAGTCATCAACCCCACACTCGCTCTCCTCCGAGGAGCCAGAAGATCTCGCGCACATGGACCGACCCTTGACACGGCGTCGAACGCGCGAACAGGACGTCGACGATGACGAACTCACCAACCTCGACGGTGATCTCGACGACGAGATGGTCGAGGAAGACGAGGTGACGCGTTGCGTGTGTGGCTACCAGGAATACCCGGGCCCGCCCTCAGATGCGGCAAAGTCGTTGGAAGGCGATGACCTTAGCGGCCTGTTCATTCAATGCGATATCTGCAAAGTCTGGCAACACGGCGGTTGCGTCGGCATCATGGACGAAGCCGCCAGTCCTGACGAGTACTTTTGCGAGGAGTGCCGCAAGGACCTGCACAAGGTATCCATGAGTCCCAAAGGGTACGTCACTGCTCAAGCACAACATATCTCAATTGTCGACACCCGCCATCCAGCAGCCTGCTGATTTGCCCCACCTTAGTCAAAAGTACTCTCGTTACCTCCCCGTGTACGACCAGCAGCACGGCAAGAAAGCCCGCAAGTCGTCCGTCTCCAAGGAGGCACTGTCACCGTCAAGTCGACACAACGATCGCAACGCGAGAGCTAGTGTCGATTCGCTTGGCAAACGCCGATCTACAATGAACAGCAGGGCCGCTTACGACGAAGACGAAGTTCTGCGCAAGGTGCTGGAGGAGAGCAAGCATGAAGGCGGTGCGCCGGCCTCAGAGAACGGCAATCGCAAGAAGCGAAGTCGCGATGATAGTGAAGAGTGAGTCTTGTCCGTTCTTGATCAAACTGCAGGAGCATCTAGAGCTGACAAGCTTTGTTACAGGACCAAACCAGAGGTCAAACGACAGCGTACAAGCTCACGATCCCCAAGCAATTCACCCGTTATCGAGTCAGAGGACGACAGTACAAAAGCTTCAGCACCGAAGCAGAAACCACGCGGTGCAGCTGCAAGAAGTCAACGAGAAAAAGAACAGCGCGAGAAAGAGCGCGAGCAGGAACGCACCGACGCAGCCAACAGACGAAAAGGGCGCGCTGAACGTAGAAAGGCAGACGGTACGACAGACACATCAGTGCGGTTCTGTGCTCGACTGACAGCAAAGCAGAGTCCGAGGCCCCAGAAGTCACCCCGACCCCCACTGAGGAACCAGTTGCATCTCCACCTGTCTCTGCATCCGCGCCACCTGAGGTACTAATGGAGGCTTTAAAGCCCACACTCTTTCCACGACGAGGCGGCCGGCCACCACAAAAGTCGCGGGGTCGTCTCGGCCGCAACCAGTACTCGCGAGACGCACTGTTAGCGGCGAACGGCGCGTCTCCTGCAGACGAGCTTGGGAACTCTCCACAACCGAATGGTACAAATGGCAACAGCAACGGGCACGAGAGTAGCGATGGAGCTACTGGCCTCAATAAGACTGCCAAGTCAAAGAACTCGCGTCTGCACAAGCTGTCGTGGAATGACATCATGCGACCAGCGGGTGCTATGCAAAGTTACATAGCTCAGCGCCAGGTGGAGATGGCTGGTGAGAAGACGAGTCCAGCACCTGCTGTCCAGCCACCAACGAACGGGAAGCAACACCAGGCAGAAACGAAGACAGAAGACGCTGAGCTGTCTTCATTCAAGGACCTCAGCACAACGCAGATGATGGATCATCTCAGTCGCGACTTGGTACACTGGCAGAAGATGATCACCGAACAGAAGGAGAAGTAGGAACATCTTCTACGAGCATCCACACACGGTTATTGCATTGCATCTCTGGCGCATCGGCGTTTTCGTACTTTCAAACGCTTTCCGAAAGCTAAATCACGTTTTGTCTCTGGCGTTTTACAGTACCGGAACTGGATAATCGGCATAGGTTTGCCAGCCAGTACGGATATCCTCCCACTTCTTACAAAGCCGATATGTATGTACAACTCCAACCATCTATCCGCAGCATCGCTGCATATTCTAGTGTATTGTATGGATAGGGACGGCGTTGGATCACACATCGGGTTGGAACGACTCAGCGTCACAAGAAAGCACGTAGATGAACGGCATAGCTTTCATAATGCATTACTCTCACTCTCGTCAACCGTTGAGCCTTGTCCCATCTAACATGTCGAACGATCTAATCATCAGCCTTGCCAACCTTGATCTCCAATACCCCACTCTTCGGATCCTTCTTCAGCAACTCCAGTAGCGCAGGGAAATTTTCATCCGTCACAACTGTGTACTCGGGCCACACCTTCAGGTCGTACTCCTTGCTGCTCCAGTGGATCCGGAACTCCTGGATCTGCTCCTTTGCCTCGGCACTCTTGTACTTGCCCATGAACTCGGCGCAGTTAGGCGATGAGGAGAGCGTAGTAGTAATTTGCTTGTTCAGTGCTTTGAGACTGTGTTTGCTGGACGAGTCGAGCGTAATGAACTCGTGGCGGTTGGAGGGCGGAATCGTGAAGAGCAGGGGGAAGGACATTGTTACGGTTTGTGTTGGTCTGGCAGCTGTCAGTGAGCTGCGCGCATGCGCTTCGACTTTGCAGCGGCCTACAATTTGTCCGAGAGTTGGTGAGCTATACAACGGTTGTTAGTACCAACGGCGCGTGTCAGAAGTATCTACACGAGTCGCCGATCCGGGGCAGCACGACCTAAATCACCTTTCATACGTAAATCGCGGGCAGGATTTCAAGCTTCAGCTGTGATAATAGGTTACGTCATTCAACAAGGATAGCGGCCATTGGCGAAGCTGCAGGGGGGCCATTTGGACAAACGAACATGGATGCGGGGGTGCCACGCGAGGCTCACCGTTCATCACGATGTGCACACGTGGATTTGCGACAGTAATCGTATGCAATCTAGACACAGTAGGGGAGATAACGCCAACATTGCAGATTCACCACCTTCCTCAGAGACCCTTGATTTTCTCCTCCAACGCGCGTTTGATGGCTGTGTTGCGATCAGTAGGCATCTCAATATTATCGCACTTGGGGACTTACCGTTGCAGCTGTCATTGGCGTCGCCGAACAGCATCTTCGTGTTCTCCATGTAAAACATTGGATTTGGCACGTCCGCATATCCACTGGCCATGCCCCTCTTCATAATAATGACCTGCTTGCTCTTCCAAGCGTGCAAGACCGGCATGCCAGCGATGGCAGATCCAGGCTCAAGGGCAATAGGATTGACCGTGTCGTTCGCACCAATTACGAGCGTAACATCGGTTTCAGGGAAGTCATCGTTGATCTCGTCCATTTCCAGCACGATGTCGTACGGCACACTGGCTTCGGCAAGCAGCACGTTGCATTGACCTGGCATGCGACCTGCGACTGGATGGATGGCGAAGCGCACGTTGATACCCTTGGCGCGGAGGGCCTTGACGAAGTCAGAGATCGCGTACTGTGCCTTCGCGACAGCCATTCCGTATCCAACGACCTGTAGTCCGGTGAGTATGTTTCTGCATCTTTGGAGCGAAGTGTTAACTTACGATTATAACATTCTCAGCATTCACTAATGCCTCCGCTGTCTCTTCAGAGGTGGTCCTGGTGATTTCGCCCTCGATCTTTGTCTGTGTCTGAGGTGTTGCAGCTATGCCTCCAAACAGCACATTGGTGAGCGATCTGTTCATGGCCACACACATAATGTACGAGAGAATCGAGCCCGAGACGCCGATAAGGGCGCCGACTGTGGTAAGCAAAGAGTTGTCTAACATGAAGCCCTCAGCAACGAGAGCGAATCCAGAGTATGCGTTCAGCACTGTGATGACGACGGGCATGTCCGCGCCACCGATGGCTGCTGTGGTAGTGTAGCCTTGGATGAAACTCAGTACCGCGTTGCCGCACAGACAAGCTGCGCCAATGAGGGGAGCTCCAGGTGCATATGCCAGGAACGCTCCTAGAGTGGCAAAGTTCGCGCCCAGGAGGGTGCTGTTGACAAGATGTCGTCCAGGAAGAACCAAGGGTTTCGACGACATCTTCGCTGCCAGCTTCAAGAAGGCAACGATACTTCCAGTGAATGTCACACCACCAATCAAAACGCCAAGGTAAGCGCTGACCAAGTGCAGAGTGGAGATATCACCAGTGTGACCGACAACACTACCGATGCTAGTAAGCACAGCCGCGAGACCGACGACTGAGTGCAGCGCGGCAACTGTCTGCGGAAGCGAAGTGGGCGTGATACGCTTGCCGATCGCAAGTCCAGCAATGGTACCAATGGCAGCGACTCCAGCAAACTGTACGAGTACCTCGTTTGAGAAGCCGACTGCGGCCAAAGAAGCGAGGATACCGGACATAACACCGAGTATACCGAGCAAGTTACCGCGACGGGCAGTGACCTGCGAAGCCAGACCAGAGAGCGAAGTCACACAAAGTACGCTGCTGACCAGGTACCCAGCCTGTACCAGTCCAGCCATTCCTGTCGAGACTGCAGCGACATAACCTCCGCCAAAGATGACAGCAGGAATTGCGTATAGCCATGGATACTCAGGAGGGTCCGTTGGGCGTTTGAACATATCCAACATGCGCTTGGTGATCATGAAGCCTCCTGCGACGTTGACAGATGCGAGCAAAACGGACAGAGAACCGAGAGCCTGGGGGATAGTGCCCGGTAAGTAGCCCCCGCCCATGACGAAGAGGCCACCAATCCCGACCATACCAGAGATGGCGTTGGTGACACTCATAAGCGGAGAGTGAAGGGCCGGTGCAACTCCCCAGACGACGCGGTAGCCGATCAGACTAGCCAGGGCGAATGTGAAAGCGTTGGACATGAAGAGTGGCCTGCTTTGCGTGAGTGATTGGACCCGCCGCGATGTGAAAGTGGGCCTTACGAAGTGTACTTGCCGAGAGCAAGGGCAGTAGTCATGCCAGCAGTTAAAGTTGCGACTTGACGAGACTGGGTCTGCCAAGGTGTCAAAGCAACGATGTTTGCGACCTGATCGGCACGCGAAGGCGCAGGCTTGGCTTGCGCTGGTGGACCTGCAGGTCGAGGAGCAGGGGGGAGAATCTTTCCATCATACGTGACAATAGAGCCGCGTGTGACCTCATCGGTCAGATCGATGTCGTAGTACTTCTCTCTCTTGTCTTTTGGCACCAGAGAGAATAGCAGCTTAGTCACATTGTTAGAGTAGAGCGTAGATGACTGCGTAGGCAGACGAGATGGGAGATCAGTATAGCCTACACCGCGATCAATTTTGACTCATGAATGCATTGAAAATACTTACCAATAACAGTTACGTCTTTATATCTGGTCAGCTCTCCGGGCACGGTCGCTTCGCAGTTGCCACCTGCCTCAGCTGCGAGATCCACAACCACGGATCCGGGATGCATTGCTGCCAGCATCTGCTTCGTAATGAGTTTTGGCGCAGGCTTTCCAGGTATAAGAGCAGTGGTGATGACAATATCGACTTCTCGACACTGCTCATAGAAGAGCTTCATCTCGGCCTCGATGAATTCCTTTGACATCACTTTGGCATAGCCGCCAGCTCCGTCTCCGGCTTCTTCGATTTCGACCTCGATGAATTCAGCACCAAGAGATTGGACTTGTTCACGAGCTGCCGAGCGAGTGTCGAATCCACGGACAATGGCGCCCATGCGACGTGCCTAAAATCTTGTCAGTCATCATTCAGCTTTCCCAACTTTCAAGCTCACAGTTGCAATGGCACTTAAGCCTGCGACACCGGCACCGATTACCAGAACTTTGCAAGGTGGGATCTGGGATTAGTCAGTACACTTCTATCGCAGTTACAACAGGGTTTTCACTTTTCCAGCGGCGGTTGTCTGACCGGTCAGGAAACGTCCGAAGTGGTTCGAGGCTTCCAAAACGGCCTTGTATCCAGCAATGTTGGCCATTGAACTATCTCACGGTCAGCGAATCATGTCCATAAGACAGTAAGCTGACACTGACCTCAAAGCATCGAAAACCTGGGCTCGAGAAATACGAGGAACCATATCCATGGCGAATGCAGTAGCCTTTCGCGATGCAATGCGGTCTACAATATGCTTGTTCTGTACAGGGTAGAGAAAAGAAATGACAGTAGCACCTTCACGGATGGCATCGACTTCACTATCTTCTCCATCAATGCTTAGAGGCCTGACCTTTAGCATGATGTCAGCCTCGGAAAAGACGCTCCTACGGTCGACAGTCTTAGCGCCTGCCTGCTCGTACGCCTCGTCGGTGAATTGAGCTTCGGCACCAGCACCACGCTCAATGAGGACGCGTGAGAACCCTTTCTTGAGCAGAAGTTTGACATTTTGCGGTGTGATGGCAACTCTGCGTTCGCCTGGGAAGCTCTCTTTGGGAACACCGATAGTCAGGTTCGAGTAGGGTCCAGCGCTGAATGGCGGTGTGGTAGGGGTCTCCTCGTCGTGCGGCTCCGCTGCAGCATGAGATGCAAAGCGCGTCACGGCTGCACTCTGGACCTTGGTGATACGCTGCTGCAAGCTCAATGGACGTAGACGAGCTAAGCTCCAGATGCTTGCACCCGGCTGTTGGTGATGCTTGGAGTGATACTCATGCTGCAAGACTGGTGCTGCTCGAGCGTTGAAGAAGGAAGCGCAAAGATTGAGGCCACCGTGACTGCCCTGCGTGCGAACAGCAAGCCTATAGCCCGCAATGCAGCTGGCAGGCGCGCTCATGTTGCTATCTCAGGAAGGAACGGGCCAGGAGAGATGTCTAAGGACCCGCATCCGATGGCAGACAGCCGTTGCAACACGTGCTTTGCTGGGGAGTAGGTGCGATGTGGGAGATACCCAAGTGCCACGGGTTGCGAAACTAAGGTACATAAGGGTTGTACCTTTGGGCGCGTCTCGCGTTCTATTTTCCCGCTTAGCCCGGCTTCCCCGCACATCTACCCCATGCTTCGAGCTCCCGCCAACATGCTGCAAAGGCGCTCAGCTCAGGGTCTTGAGCCCCATGAACTCTGCGAGGACCTGGGCTGTTGGGTTTCCCTCGCAATCTTCTCACTTCTTCCATACACTGCAGTCGAACAACGATCGAACGCTAGAGCCCTAGATGACGTCGCCCGCTCGCTACCCCAGACGTTCATACGATGATCACGAGCGGCGGGCCCGGCTGTCGCAAGACCCGCCCTCCTTCCTGAATGAGCGACTTGGGCCCTACACGTGAGGTGGATGCCCAGGCATCCTTCCGCGTGACCCGTCAGCGCAACCCATCAATTTGATGCATTCTGATGAATGCAGTCGTTCAAACGGGTGATTGTCAAATTAATCCGATATGATTGGCGCATTTGTCCCAGAACCTCTCTCGAGTCTCCATGACCATCAGATCAAGACAGCTCTTCCACAGACTAGATGTAAGTTGAGGCTGCTAAACAACCATATTGGCAGGTAGAGGTCTTCGTCGATACAGGAGCTGCAGGCTGTCCAACTGACCCAGGAACCCTTTAAGACCATCACCAGCAATTTCACGTCTACTGTATCAAGCTCCTGTGCGATGCCTTTCATTGGGCATAAGTGAGTCTTGCAGATAAGGTACTTCCATGGCAGACTTTGAGGTGTCTGAAAGCCTCCAGGGTATATGTTGACACAAAAATCACAAAAGGAGTCGAGCCAACAGACTCTCGCATCTTCGAATAGAGAAGATGGCTTTTCGAACATCGATGCACTGAGCGAATGGTGCAGATGTCTCTAGCATATTTTGGAGAGAAATTTGAGCATCTTCAGTGTACATTAAGAACACATGTTGAGCCGAGACCTCAAGAGCCCTTGATTTCCGAGTGGCACATTCGGACTCGGTAGCTTGGCGTCAAAGGTGTCAGTGCGGTGAAGCCAGTCCTCAAGGCTGCTGACGCCGTTGAGGGTGAGGACACACTCGACCTTGCCTACCCTTCGCAGTTGACGGGTTGTTGAGATCCTCATGCTTGTCCATCTCTTAGTGGATGCCTCGCCTCCGGACGTCTTGGAGCCTTCAACCCGCTGCCTTGCTCGTTAATCGGCTCTAATGATGGGCGTTGTGGTCAAGATCTAGGTCACCGCCCCCGTGAACTTGCATTGACAAGCTTGTTCTCGTACTTGTTCAAATATTTTCTGATCTCTCGAGATCATTTCCATGTATCGCTTGACTCTTTTCTGGCTCTTTGGCTTGCACCTGGGTGTTGTGGTTCATCTGCGTCATTTTTGAAATTTTCAGTATGATCCTTGCACCTTGGTGCTCACGTTTATCTGGATTGAAAATTATTTAGTGCCGACGCCTGCTTTGACCCTGATCTCTTGACATCAATTTACTCAAATAAACGCTCACAAGGCGATCCTATCACTCGGCTTTGGCTGTTCCCACTCGGTGGATGAAATGCTCACGACGGGCTTATATTTGTAATGTTGACGTGTGACTTCAATGTGCAGACTGACTGCTTAGTACCTACATATGATATGCTATTGAGAATATTGAATTACTCACTCTGAAGATGCCATCTACTCGATGTGATCGTTCCGTACCACGTGTCAGAGGAAGTGAGGTTGGACCAGGCTGTAACGACTAGTAAGCCCAAGACGAATTACCCTCCAAGACACGCTCCAAGTGATTTCTTATGCTGTTCAAGAAGTGATGATTTATAATTGTCCGTTCAGGATAACGAACTTATACTTCAGGTTGCACCCCTTGCAACTTGGCGCACATTACGCCCAGCGAAGTGCGTTCGTGGATCCGACCGATAGAAGCATATCCAATACAATAATTCAAAGAAGTGTCTTAGTGCATTTTTTCACGATGCGAGCACAAGAAAGATTGCGACAGCTATCAGCACCGTAGGCGCTTGCTGGATCTAGATGAGACCCAGGCGCCTGGGGCTCAGCCAAAGGTCAAATGTCATATAAGTTGCATAACTACTCAAGGTGTGGCTCGGCCGGGTACCGGTATATCGACTGGGCCAAGCGAGGCTAAGGTGAGCATAGTCCTCTATTTTCATTGTTTGGCATTATCTGCAATAGAAGCGAAGGACTGGGCTACAGAGCCATAAGACTGAAATTCAAGCGAAGAGACATCGAGCTTCAATTTTCGCGCTTCGGAGGAAGGATGTTGCCGGGACCTGGGCTTGGAGACCCTGGCGTGACAGTTCTTTGTTCAGTCGCGTGGAGTCGTGTGGCCGGTTGCAGTGCTGCTTTAGCAATCAAGTCAGGGTTCTGAAAGAACACCACAGTGGGTAACGGGAGCACCAGATGAAAGAGTATGCCCGAGACTACTCAACAGAGGGAGGTTGGATTTTTCCTTCGGGAAAAATTCCTTCGAGAAAAAAGAGACGGACAACCTTCTATGTAGTTGTGATGTCAAGCACGCGCAGCAGGTAGAGCAAGCGAAAAAAATCGACATCGTCCTCATGCACTCGTACACTGCCGCTGAATCGAGGACTAATTCCTATCGATAGCGTGCTGGTATGTAAAACAGTTGCTGCAGGTATGGATCGAGAACGATAGGCGGCGCAGCTGAGGAGCGGGTTCGATCTCACGATCGGTACGAAAGGCCTGAATGGAGGCTCTCGTGCCCGCAGCGAGGCTACGGAGACGCTAGTGCGGTCTGAAACTGCACTCTTCCAATTATTCACCGGCCGGCTCGGCAGAATGTGGTCAATAGCTTCTTCGCTAGCCAAGAAAGTTGAGCGGCTAAGGTGTCCGGCAGCATTTCGACGTTCTTAGAGGGACGATGTTATGCATGGCGACGATAGGCGAGCGATAGGCAAACCTCAGCTCCAAGGAATCTCTCCGTAGACACGTGCTGATTGTACGGCCTGCCCAACGTTTGTTTAGTGCGACTTCAGACTGTTGAAACTCTGCGAGGGGTATCGATACTGGGGTAGACCGGTCGTCACTGTTCATGCCATTAGGGAAAATCTCGCTACTGTGGCTGGGCTCTGGTCGGCCTCGCTGTGTATCATGCTGTTCGGCGAGCAGTTCACCAAACTTTGAGTCTACTGGTGCTTTGGACGGCCATAGTCAGGGGGAAGACCATGAGCGGGCGCTAGGCTAAGATCAATGATTTCTGTTTCAGCCGCTAGACTAGTTGGAGCCTCTGGGCCCGCTTTTTGACAGCTTAGCACCTGCAACTCCGAGAGACGATACAGGCCAGCCTCCCTCGGGCCCTTACACTGACGGCACAACAACCGATGTGGGTACACTCGGACTGTTGTTGGCGAACGGTAGGTACGTCTAGTCCCTGACCTAGGAGAGACATCACACGATCGCCGCATCACGGATCTGAGCGCTCAGCCCCAATTGATCAGGGTCGGCTGCTGTGCATATGCACTCACGTATGTAGTCCCATGAGATAACAGCATTGATGCAAACAATAAGCAGGTACTTTTGTCAATTGCCGACTTCGATTCAAGGATCACACGTGTTAGACGAAGATCTCCCGCCTAGCCCCTGTACCAAGACCAGTCACAACGCCAACATCTACCTACCTGAGCGGTCCTTCACTTATGGGAAGATGTTGGGTTTACAAGTCCCGCACGGACAACAACTGCCCCACAAACTACCTTTGGGTCCCGGAGATCGACTCGACGGCTTCGCACGGCGACTGTTCCAGCTTCTGAAAATCAACCACATCAATGAGAGAAAGCCACGAAATAGCCACACGTGTGTAAGCATCGTAGCGCCGGACAAGCCTTGTGAGCTGTCTCCGCTGCTCGCCACCACAGATATATCCAGACCCTAGTCGTGATCCCTTCCAAGATACCTCTTAGTTCCAGATCTTCGCCACTGAGGCTGTCAAGGGTCTTAGCGAGCATAGGTCTATACCACAAACGCAGGATCAAGGGCTCTGTGATACATCAGAACGGCCTCGTGCAATTGCAACCCAGCAAAATTTCTACCGATTTCAAGGTCGTGACAGAAATAACTTCTGCATCTGTGTAGGGCGTGGGCTTCACAACATCAGTAGAACGCCAATGTACAGGATGACGTGCTGATGCCCCCAAGAATAATGCCTCGGCGTTTCAACAGCTCCAATGTACCTATCTCAGAGAGACCACTCTAGGGCAGAAGGTTTGCTTTGCGAGTACAAGTGCCAGAGGAACTATTGATTTGGCAAACAGCGGTTTTGGGGCTACTCGGTTAGCGCAGTCATGAAACATCGAAACAGGATGGCCAAAAATATCCAAAGCCTTCGCTGCTCGGTTCAGCCTTACCGCTAACCCAATCTTTATCGGACTATTCATTCGCTTGAGGTATAATAGCGCTTTGACGGCACGTTATTGGCGACCAGGCCAGGTACCTGCATAAGCGCTGCACGTCGAGAGCTGTTTGTGGCCATTTGTCCCGAAAGCTTGCCTCTTCTGGCCTGTCAGAGATGCGCGCTATTGTACTCGACTACAGCGGGAGTCCACCAGCCACATGGAAGGCCCAGCGTACCGGCGATTTGCGTGCCTCCGCAGTGGCATCAAAATGGAATCAGTCAGTTTGCCCAAGCCAGCTCTGGACTTAGATTCCAAGTATATAAGGATCCCAATTCACCTGGTCATCGATATCATCACTACCGGTCTCACACCACAGTCTCTCACTACTTCCTTCTTCAACCCTCTTTACACAGGCTCAATACCTCAATCACTCGCTATGCGTTACGCAATCGTCCTCGGGGCTGCTGCCCTCGTTGCCGCCAGCCCGGCTCCCCAAGCTTTCGACCCTGCTGGTCTTGATGCCGTCGCCACTATCACTCAGGGTCCTCCTGTCGGTGTCGGCCCTGCTCAGGAGACTGCTTACAAGCAGTCTGTTGCTCAGGTTCAGGCTGCTGCCGCTGTCACCGGCGGCGCCACCGCCCAGGCTGCTAAGATCAAGAGGGACGCCGATGACCTCGAGAAGCGCACCTTCTGGTGGTGGTGGAACCCCGTCAAGCAGAACAACCCTGCCCCCCAGCCCAGCGTGACCACCACCACCACCGCTGCGCAGCAGACTGCCCCGCCCACAACTACATCCGCCGCTACTGGCACCCAGACCACCAAAGCTCCTTCTACCACTGACGGTGTCGTTCCCTCCTCTTGCACTCCTGTCAATTGGGTCAACACATACGCCTTCACCTCCGATCCTGCCTGTCCCACCGCTATCGAGGTCGGCACCTACTGCGGGTTCATCAACCCCGATGACCCATGTGCTCCTCAGCCCGCCGGAAAGGGTACTCCTCCCAAAGATGACACCGTCGATGGCTTCTACAACAACGCCGACTACAAGCAGATGGCTGTCTCGGCCAAGACCCCCACTGGCTACGAGCAGGCTTTTGTCAACCTCCAAGGCTCTGTCACTGGCAACGGTTACCTCTCTTACAAGACTCTCGATAGCTACGACGTCGCTTCTTGCTCCAAGTTCTGCGATGACACCACTACCTGCACTGGCTTCAACATTTTCATTGAGCGTGATCCTAAGTGGAATCCGAGTCAGTGCTCCTGCACCAACCCTCCTTCCACCATCAACTACAAGTGCTCCATCTGGGGACAGAAGGTCTCCAAGGACTCTGCTACCAACACTGGCTCCACCCGTGATGACTTCAAGGTTGTTATCACTGCCTCCAACGGTTACAACAAGGGCACTTACACTCCTCCTACTCCTCCTTCCTGCAGCAAGCCCCAGAACTGCGGTAACAAGATCCACAACCAGCCCCGTTACTGCATGGGTCAGAAGACATTCCCCGGTCCTTTCGATCCTTCTATCTGCGCTGCCTACGCACAGAAGCAGAACGAGGTCAACCGCGCTAAGGGCATAATCGGCTCTTTCCTCTCCCTGCTTGGCTTGAACAAGGGTGGCTGCGTCCAGTTCCAGGCTGCTTACCTTGAGAAGGCCGGCAAGGGTTTCGGTACCCATTGTCGTCTCTTCACCCAGAAGTTCCAGCCTTCCCAGGCTACTCTCGACATTTCTGTCGGCTCCTCCGGCTGGGGTTGCCAGAAGTCGTTCACCTTCGACGTTGATGTCAACGCCAGCTTCAACTGGGGTGGCTGGTCCAAGAAGAAGAACTGAGCACTTCGAGTAGGTTTGCTCGCAAAGCTTAGATGACTTTCAGCAGATACGCATATATTCGGCGCTTGGATTTGATTTTTGGTGGAGCAGTGGTCGAAGTAGGGATCTATGCTTTCTATTATCATGTGTACATATTCATGAGCCCTTGAGCTTATTGGCTCAACTGTCACGACGACATCGTAAAACTGTAGTGTGTGAGCATTTGCTGTTTAATGTATTAGTTTCGTTGAACGTTTGTGCCCTGAAATGCTACACGACTATGCATGCTCCATTGGCTGCTCTTAATGGTTGCGCCTATTTATCGATACTTTTCGTGGTTTCAGGCATCACCTTGTATTGATTCTGAGCACGCATGCCTGAAAGTTCGTCTCATCTTCAATAACACTAGTAATTATTTTCTTGGCACTTGATGGCATCTCAATTGACTTTCAAGCTATCACAAGTTTCGGAGGGCCACGACGTTTTCAACACGTCATTTTAAATGGAATTGCTTGATAGGTACCTTGTTGACGTCAGCCTCACGAAAGTTGCAGGACGCCAATGTATCCCTAAGGTCGCAAAAAGGGTGCTGAACTCAGGTTAGTTCTAGGATGTGCGCTGGTCATAATTTAGATTACGCCATGCTGCTCTATTCAAAGTCACGGAGCCGTCACCGTCATGTGCAAACAAGACATCATTTCCGACCCCATCGCATCCGATGACTCCTCTCTCCGCTCCCTCTGGAGGAGGATCCTACATGAAATACCCTATTAGGAAGCCTCGTGATATTGTGTCCACGTGGAATGCAAAGGATACCGTGTACAGGCTAGTTGGACGCGACAGCACCGCTGCTACCAACGAGGAACGTTATTTAATACAGTCCTCCTCATGTACGCCGGTCGTTCTGTATCCACAAACAACGCCCACTGTCGGACTTTACTCCTTGCGGTGCTTCTCAACTCTATTGGAGGGCTTATAGTTCCCGTCTTCGACAACAACTCTGACATCCGCGTCGTCTCCGTATGCATCTCGGGCACTGCCAGAACATCGCCACGGCCATCAATACCGTTGATACTGGCAGTGAGGAGGACTTCGTGCTCTCTGCCCGAGGGTCTCTTGTCAATTCCTTCCGACAGACTTTATATGCACTTCCTTCTGTCGACGTCACATGCATCAAACGCGGTAGGTCCGTGTCAGCCCACATTGCTGCTATGCAAGGATTTGCTTCGCTAGTCACTTTTCTTGCAAGAAAGAGTATTATAGAGAAAAATCGCGCCGTGATCGCTGTCCGCAGACCTCCCACCATCGAGGAGGAATGTGGCATCGGCCGCGTACCCTGTCTCTTTGTATTTTCGAGATCTTGGCAGAGCACGTGTGTGTACATGATTACGCCTCAGGAGTACAATACCTACTTCGCCACAGTCCATCTGCTTGCGTATGCAGGCTCTACTCATCGAAAAATTCCTTGATAATTGCCCCTGGCGTTCAAGCTTCCCATGTTCCGATCGTTTCTGGGTTGCTACGCATGTTCGCTTCGTGCTCTTGGAAGGATACCTGCGAGCCAGCGCCCACTGACCCTGGCCCAGTATAATCTCTCTGATAATGCCAACGCCATGTGGGCTAACTTCCCGACCCAAATCCGTCTCTACGAGAGCTCCATTCCCATTGAAAAAATCGACCCCACCGAGCGCACTGTCAAAGAGTAGAACGATAATACAACCGAACCGAGTCTCCAGATCAGAGATAATCACGGATCACGGGGTATGCAATAACTGGAAGTTACAATATTTGCGGACAGAAATAATTCTTTCTTCTCCTCACTTTGATCTCAGAGCCGTCTGAACAGACACTGCTTACGCAAGCTCGTTGAGAAACTTTTGTCCGCGAACACCTCGCCAAAGCGGCCCGGAAAATCACAATTGATCGATCATCATGCGGCGAAGAGTACCCACTCGATGCAAGCAGAACGTGTAAAGTGTGGTCCTGGATATACAAAATCTCGCGACTGCTAGGCGATGTTGCGATCCTTGAGAAGTCGGTTGCACGAACAAATCGCGGTACAAGGACGACCATTGTATGGCCATCCATGCTGTCACACCAAGGGCAGTTTTCATTGATAGGGCCCCAGAGGCGTACAATGCATGCTCAGATTATGCAGAACAAAAATCAGGGTTTGACGGATGTGATTTCTTTGTGTAAGATCTAGTCTTCGTGGTATCTTTTTCACATGGCCGGTGTACGAAAGTTCATCATCAGTGACAACATAGTACCGCAACATCTTACATCCTCTCGACAGGGCTGAGGCCAAGTACCCTCATGCCGTTGTTCAACACCTGCCTAGCCGCAACATACAACGCCAGCCTGGGGAGGTTGACCTTCTTATCGCTGGACACTACCTGAAGGTGATCGTAACTTGCGCTGACAGCGTGCGACATCTTAAAGAGGTATGTAAGGACGGTAGTGGGCTCCTGTGTTTTGAAGGTATTGAGAAATGTGTCGGGCCACGAAGCAAGCTGACGGATGAGGTCAACAGCGTGGGGCTCCTGGAGCTCGCTGAGGTCGACTGTGGTAAGGTCGATGTCCTTCAGCGAAGGATCGGCATCGACAGCCTTCCTGTAGATCGAGCACAAACGGGCGTGAGCGTACTGCAGGTACGGCCCTGTGTCACCCTCGAACGAGCACATGCGGTCCATGTCGAAGTTATAGTTGTTGATCCTCTTGCCCTTCATGTCCTGGACCATGACCGCGGAGATACCGAGGGTATCAGATGTCTTCTCTGGGTCCTCGACCTGCTCGTACTTGGCCTGGTTGCCGCGCATGACCTCGTGCATCTTCTCGCCGACGTCGCGAAGGATGTCGTCAAGGAACTTGGCAGTGCCCTTTCGTGTCGACATACCGAGGACCATACCGAAGTTGATGTGCTGAGAGATGGAGGAGATTTCCTTCCAGCCCATGAGCTCTTCGATCTTGAAGAGCTGGGCAAGGTGGAGATCTTGCTGCGACGCAACGACGTACATGAGCTTGTCGGGATGGTATGTCTGCATGCGCTCATACGCAGCACCAATGTCACGGGTGAGGTAGAGCGATGTGCCGTCCTTCTTCTGGACGACCGCCTTTCCGAGCTTCTTCGAGTGCTTGGTGAGGTCGACGATGACAGCGCCCTCAGAGTCCTCGCACACCTTCTTCTCCCACATGACCTTGACACCAAGGCCCATTGACTCGTCCTTAATCTGCGACTCTCCGCTGTATACGTCGTAGTGGATGTTCAGGCGGGCGTATGTCTGCTTGTACTTCTCGATCGACAGTTCCTGTACTTGTTAGTTCTTGGACATTTGACAGTATGATTCAGATTCACTCACTCGGAAACGTTTCCAGATGCCAATGGCCTTGGGCTCACCATCAACCATACCCTTGAAGTACTGCCTAGCCTTTTCGTCGATACCCTCGGTCTCGATCTTAGTGATCTCGGCCTCCTTTGCAGATGTGTCCTTGCCCTCCTCCTTGTCCTTAGCGACCTCGGCCTTGAGAGCCTTGGCCTTGTCTGCCTCATTCTTTTGAATGTTGCTGACCTTGACATAGATGTCGTAAAGGTGGCCAATAGGGTTCTTAACGAGCTCCTCTTCAGAGCCAAAGTAGTCAAAACCGATAGCCAAAACACCATACTGCTTGCCCCAATCACCAAGGTAGTTTAAACGGACGACATCCCAGCCCATGCCCTCGTAAAGGTTCGACAGGAAGCCACCGATGATTGTGGATCGCAAGTGACCGGCGTGGAAGGGCTTGGCGATGTTGGGCGAACTGAAGTCAATGACCATCTTCTTCTTTGTGCCATCTTCCTTTAATCCAAAGCTTTTATTGAAACCATAGCTCTGACCTGCCTTGAAGACCAAGGGGAGAACAATGGATGTGAGCGACTCAGGCTTGAAGAAGAAACCAACGAAAGTGCCGGTGACAACAGGCTTCTTAACAAGAGGGCTCTCAGGGAACTTGTCTGCCAGCTCCTGCGCGTACGCCTTCAGATCCTTGCCCTTGAGCCGTAGCGCAGGAACAGCAAGCTGCAGGTCGCCGTTCTCAGGCTTCGCTGTCCATGCAAGTGTGGGGTATATGATCTTCTTGTCGACGCCAGAGACCTCTGCCAGAAGCTCAGTGATGTGGCTTCGGTAAATGTCAAAAGGGTTCAGTTCAGGGTATGTGTTCGGCTCCTGGGGAACCTGCTCAAGGCCGAGGCCCTTGAGTGTCTTGCTGAGCTCCTCCATACTGAGTGCTGAGAGCGTTGACGCGTCGATATTGCCAAAAGGCGCGAAGGGTCGAGTGTCGGTTTGAGAGTAGTGGCGACGGGCTGTGCCGGCGATAAGCGGTCCGCGACTTTTGTATGCGCGTAATGAGAGGCGAGAGTGCGCGAGAGGATTGGTTCGCGAGCTATTTCGTGGGGAAGCTGCGACTGTGGTAGTGGATGTGACTGCCCAGGACTGAGTCAAGGAAAGGAAAATGCAATGAGTCGCCCACGGCCTACTGAAAGAGTGGGAGGAAGAACTGAAAAGATTGAGAGGGCCGCGAGTAAGGGCACGCATGCAGAGCAGAAAACCACTTGGTGGGGGCTATGCGTCAATGGAGGGGAACGCAGCAGACAAACGCGCTAACCACAAAAATTAATTAAGGCAAATGCCAAGGCGAGACTGGGGCTGATCTTTGGAGGCGAAGAGACGACAGCGCACATCCTTAACAGTTCCATAATCACGACCAATTGGTAAGTCTACAAGGGTTGCTGTATGCTTCGCCATCCTTGGTGATCGGCATCTCAGCGGCAACATCGTAGTATTTGTTGAGGTCATCAATGCCCCGGAATTGCGGAAAAGCACATTCAACTTCCCTGGCAATCCATCGAAGGTGTTACAACCGCATCGTGGAGTCCATGCTTGACATGGTATCTCGGATTCCCTTCTAGACTCCTAAGTACGCGCCCGCTTGTTGTCAACCCTGCTCGTGCATGTCTTCCTGCAGCCACCCCGGAACGTTGGCCCGCCGCATCTGATGGATCAAATTTCGTACAATCTCGTATGATGAAACGGCGTCGTTCTCGGATCGGCACGCAAAAGCAGATGTCAGTTCAGGTGCTTCTCGATGTCCGCTTGGCTTTGGTGGAAACTCGTTTTGGACATCCGGACGGACAGATTGGTTGGCTGTTCATCTACCAGGCCCGTTTCTCAAGAAGTAGAAACGACGACCGTTAGCGCTGTCCTTTCTAGACCATAAAGCGCAATCAAAGCTGGCGCCTCGGTATTCTACCGCGCTGGAGGCCCATCTCTGTCCCTTGCCTGCTATTCTTGGCTACAGAGCAGCAGGATTGTCTGGTTTCTGTCTTCTTTCAGGCAGTTCTTCAGTGTGCTTACTCATGTCGAGATCTCATGGGCACAAATTCCGTTCGGAAGAATAGCCTAGTATGGATAGGGTGATTAAAAGTTGGCGTCAGGGCCGAAACCTGTACTCGAGCGAGATATTTCTGTTTAGAATAAGTTCGTTGGTCAACAACCCCTGTACGTGTGTACAGAGTGACAACGACAAATCGCAGGGGCTCCCTACACTGAAGGAATTTTGAGCAACAATGGAGACGAGCATGGTGGTGGCAACAGCAAATGAAAGAGTAGTAATGATAGTGCCCACGGAAGCGTCAATGGAGCGAGGTGTTAAATTAGAGTGGGAAACGACATAGTGGTTGTAGCAGTGGACGTCAGAGCTGCACAGAATATCGATGCTGGGGCATCATTAGACATTGTCGTCTGCCTCTTTGCTCGCACATCTTACCGGGATTGGGTAGTCATTCCGAGTGTTGGGTGCCTCGAACGACATTACGCTTGTAACCATCAAGCGTCGTAGTCACGAGGCATGTAGTCATACCTGAGGCAGCTGCGTAACGCCTTATACTTGCCTTGTAGTTGTCTCTCATGTGGGTGAAGCAGATTGGACACTGTGCATGTTCGCTCAGTTGTGTCACAGTGGCTCGTGGTCGACGTCAAAGCAGACAGGATCAGTGGTCTGTTTAGTACGCAGCCGCGTGAACACTGCTACTGCAGGACAGCTTTATCAGCTGTATCCGTTCGAACCTCGGTCAATCCGGATTGACTTCAGAGTTAGGGGCATAGCAAGACCCCCTCAACAAGGCGAGACAACCGCAGTGCCACGTAAAGTGGCGATACACAGCAAATCGCGGCCCTTCGGGTTTTCGCTTCCGCGAAACATCATGGGGCTGCAGGAGACCCTAGCTAAGACAAGTAACTCGGCGATGGGTCTTTTCGCTAATCGTAAATGCGCTCGATCTGGGTTCCTTTTGATCTCTTACGGCCCGATTGCATGATATATTGCTGTCCATCAGCAATTGACACTCCAAATGGGCATACCTTCGAGTCTTTGTGGTGAGAATTGCACGGACTGTTACTGGAAACTTCGAGGTACCTTTCAGCGGGGTGATGAGGCGTAGCCATTGTATTGGAAGGATGTCGCGTGCGCTGCCGAACTGCGGTTTGTGCTGCGCTGTGCGACGCGCACTCGTCAATGCTTCGAGACACTTCCGCATTGAATAGCCCGAGACTGTGTTCACTGTGACAAGGCGGCGTTCCCGATACCATGGGTTTATGAAGCTGAGATGCCGAACGTGGAAGGCACGCAGATCGAATCTGTACTCTTGTACTGAGACCCGCGCCTTTGTAGACTTGCTGCTAGGAAGCATTTGTCGAAAGCAAGTTACTCGAGATGTGTACCGATCTTTGGTGCTTAGCGTTATGTGTTTGGCGACCTGTCGCCTCGCTTATCTCAGCATCCTTCGTGGAGCTTGACCAGGAATGTCATGATGTATGTAACCGGCTTCGCGTTTCGAAGAATCAAATGCCTGATCTTGTCATTCGATGGTGCGGTATTTCTGAGCGAAGAACGTTATTATGATCCGCGTTAGTGCCGCGCAAATCGATTCAGGGTTCATTAAGACCAGTACATACTTGAGCGTGATGAAACATCTAGAACGTGGTTTGACGCGAAGATGCTGCAGGTGACTCGAATAAGAAGCTTGAAGTGGGACACGAGGGGGACGTCGGCGAGGTTGCTGACGCACGAAGCTGGTTGACAGTAGCAAAAAGTAATACTCGAGGTGACGACCCCTGTCGTTGTGGAGACGGATTGCAACTTTCCCGCTGTACGGTACCGGCAGTGCGCTCCGCTTCCGCAGAAACACATGTGTATCCACATGTCCAGGGATATGAGATCTTGCAACCCCCTGTAAGATCGTGTGCGGGCGGCAAATAAGAAGGCCCCAAAACATGCCCTTGGTCAAATCCTTGTCTAAAGTAAAGATCTTGCAGCTAAAGCAGTGCGGGCGTCGAGGTGACGGCCACTTGTGTCCGGCGCACTCGGACGCATTGACCTGCAATTGCAAGACTGAGAAAGGCACTGAAACATGTCATTGGATGCTGCGGCTCCTGCGTGGGATGTTTGCACGGCTCCTACTTTTGATCGCCCCGCTGCACGCGCGGGAAAGGTCGCCGACTGTTGCTATCTTCATGAAGGTCAGCAAACGATGCAGGATCGTTGACACATAGGACCGAAACATCGAGAGAACTTGAGGGCCGAGGTCAGGCGGCGTGCGACTGAAGATTGTTGGAAAACGTCTTCTTGTGCACATTCTGATGAGTGTGTGTAACAACGCTCGTGTCGCCTGGGCCGGCTTCACAGAGATCCGGTGCTGCCAGTGACTCTTGATGAAAAGACGTTGTCTGCCGGACAATACAGCAACGTTGGCGCTGTCTGCCGTCAGGTCCGAGTTTTGATAGGTATCTGCACGTAACCGTTCAGTGGGCTAGGGTCGGCACGTAAATAGCGTAGGATTGCGTAGATGAGATTGCGGAGTTGTTCGGCGATGGTGGCTCATCGCCGCCAGATGGAAAGCGCCAGGGTCGACTGGATCAACATGCACAGGACTCATTTGAGATCAGAATCGTGGCTGTCCACGCGGCAGCAGAAGAGATTGTGCCTGTATGCTTTTGATGTAGGGCGGTTTACTTTCAGAACCAATCAATCATCGACCCGGTAGAGGCTGCATGCGTTGTACAGGATCCCCTGGAATTACCCGAGCCCGGCAGTCGGTATTGGTGGCAGATTTGGTGAACGTGATACCATGACGATGCTTTGGGACCCGCCAGATATGTGGTCGCTGCTCAGATCGGCAATCGCGCAGCCACAGCTGCAAGATGATCGGGCGCCTGTACGAAGAGAGACTTGGCCCAAGCCGCCTAATGGGGCGGCGTTGCAAAGCGGCAACGCTTCACCGACGCTTGGGGGGGAGCAGGGACAACCAGGGCAGTGGCCCGCCATCTGATTCATCCAGGATGCTGGTCTGAACAGAAGCATGTGTAGGATCTGTCAGAATACGGAGAATGATGCGGAAGCCAATAGCGGGAGGCGGCGCGCCCTGGAAACTGCTGCAACCCATACCCGGACGGGCAAGAGCACTCCTCCTGCCTGCAATTTGGAGAGCGTGTATAAGACGGCCTACTTACCAGCTCCATTATGACCACCCATCTGCATCAAGCATCGCGCCGTCCAAAGGTTGAAAAGCATTGGCTCCCCACGCATAAGCCACTGAGACATCTTCCACCTTCCACCACTCGTGGTCCACAACATTCAAGAAGTTCTTCGTCCATTTAGGTGCATTGGGTGTTGAGCTTATCAAGATACATCGTTCGAAGGTACGTCGAGGTAGTCCGTGTCCGTGTCCGTGTATAGGCCGTTTACTGCTTGCGTCGCTGTCGATAAGCAAGCGAGTCGGCGGATCGCAGAGGCTGCAAGCACGAGCACGCTGTCCCAGGGCAGGCGTAACTAATATACTGACAGACAATCAGACACCACTCTACCAAAGTCTCCTGCACCTTCAAGTAGAGCTGAAGGAGCGCAGCCTATCATCTTCAGGACCGAACTCGCATGACCTTTCCTTCCTTTCACGTCATTCAACAGCCGTTGCTGTGATTACTGTTGCGTTTCCGAGGCTGCAGCATCTGCAAGATCTTGTGCGACAATCGGAAAGTAAACGCGAATCCGATCAACTCGAGCAGCAAAAGGAAATCCTAGTACATTGGTGAAACGCACAACGTAAAGTGGGGTGTGACGACAGAAGGTAAGCACATCAATCTCGCTTCAGCCCGTTCCTGCCTTGTCATCCTTGTTCCCCACATGGCCTGCGGGTCAGCACACACGAATCACGACCCTTCATCTTCGCTTCCATGATGAACCACATCGTACTCGATACGCTTTCAATGGCATCCCCTGCTTCGCCCCGACGGCTCTTTCTTTGAAGGATGTCACGAGCATGAGAAGGAGACAGTCAAGCACGGAAGCCCGCGGATGAGCTCGGTCGTGCCTGCCGCCTTGTGGGGGCAGATGGGAGCATAGGGAGCATCACCTCCGACTTGACCTCTCTGATCAGCCGTCTTGCACCTCAAAGCCATCAGCAGCACCATCGACGGGGTTGAAATTTGTTGTCGCCGACCGCGACTTGACTGCTCTCAGCCTGCATGACTCGCAGGCCGACTCTCATTTCCAGTTTCTGTGCCTTTGACGTCTTACCCATCTTATCGCACTAAGGCACGAATCATTTCGGCGTTCGCACCTTCCATTTCTAGCTTCTCGGTCGTTTGGATCTTGTTCATTCAAATCTTGTGTTCTCCCACGCAGACGATAGCATTCACTGACTTGTTGCAAGCTTGCCCGTTGGTACATGCAAAGAGGCCAAGCACGCGGGCGACGAAGATATTCAATATCCAGCCGGAACGTACCGACTAGGCGGACTCGATCCAATTTACCTCCCACTTCTCAAGAGCAATCGAATCCGATTGGGACTTCTGCGCAACCTCAACGAGCTCCGTCGTTGCTTCGAAGATCGGCCCGCATAGCCGAGTCGTCTCAAGGGACTACTAGCACCACTCAGCAATCGACCACATCCACCGGACCAATGGCTGACGTTGCAAGACGCTCTGCGCTAGGAAGCCGATCAGTCCAGTCAAGACACCACAGTAGCGCGGCTCGCACATCAGGACGATCAAGGTCAGGCCACTATTCGAATAATATCCAGTACGCCATGGACTTTATAGTTCAACCTCCTCGTACAGCACGTACTGGCTACACAATACCAGGGACAGTTATTGTACGCCTACGAACGACCAACACTGACCCTGACTACGCTGCCGCCGACTCGCCCAACCTGATGGCCGTCGTCGCCCTTGTTCCTGGTCCAAATTCTACCGCATCAACAGATCCCCACGTATTGAACTCACTCTTGGGTGGTCAACGCATCGCCTCAATACATCCTTTTGCAGATGACGAAGCGGACGGCTCAATTGCTTCCATGGACATGGCGGGCCCTCAAGGCGTCGGTTACATGAGCTTCCCAGGTCTTGCCGTTCATCAAGTTGGTATTTTCCGATTACGCATTACCCTACTTCGCACTGCCGATGGAGCATCGATACAGGTCGTCGACAGCAACCCCTTCGTTGTCCAGACGAACAGCAGTACCAGTAGCCGCGCGTCTCACAACGGAAAGTACTACTCATCTTAGTGCAATATTGTCTGTGCAAAGACTGAGGATGTCGCACGGGTGGATGCTGTCACGGTCTTCGGATCTGTTAGGTGGCATTTGTACAATTTGTGTGCAGTATGAGTTTTGCTGTACATGTTAGACGGAGTATTTTCGGTCAGGTTCCAGTTGAAAGCTTTGCAGTTCTTTGCGGTCATCAATGCCAGCAGATTGCATGAGGGGGCGCTCTCGGCGCAACGGATACATGGCCATGGGTCTGCATTTACATGCCTGAAGGTATCACCATATTCTTACAGTCAGTAGCACGGTATCCCTTATCAGTAGCTCAATGATGAGTTCAGTCCAAAATGAGCCTCCCCAGTGTACTCATTCTCTGAAATGATATGTAACCTGGCGTCAGGTGGCGTCAGAGACCGCCGAGTAGGCCCACCTTCAGATTTTTTCAATCTAGTCGAATTTGATAATTGCCGCATGTCATTGACAGGTTTACGCGCTCCACAGGGTATCAGGAGATGAGGATTGGAAAAGAGTCGAAATCAGAGCTTGTTCAGCAGACATTTCGCACCAGACTGGTCCCCTTTGTCGAGGTACCCGCAGATACGTTCATCAGGATTCCACTTCCTTCTGATATCCATCAGCCTCCTTCCATGTTCTTCGCTCTAATACTTGGTGTTTCTGATTTGAAAGTCGGAATCACCCAAGTATTGGCCGACTGTATGTGGCTGCATCCTGTTCATGACACTCGACACCCAGGATTGGCACTTTTTGTCGCCCTCTTCTGTCTCCCATACCGAGTATATGTCGAGATAGTGATCGTTTTGTATCGACAGCGCCATGTCGGGCAGCTTCTTGCGAGAGGTCGGTGCCATCGCGAACCACAGAGAAAATGACTTGCGGCTGGGCAGCGTTATGAATTTCTCTGCTAGAACACTTGCAACATCTGCATCGTAGTCTGGGGTGATTGACGTGACCCAGTTCAAAGCGATTTTAAACATCGACTTCGGGAAGATGTAGGCAGACGAGCGAATGTGTGTCGGAAGTGGTTTGGTCTGAAGATGGAATCTGGTGACAATCACCGGAAAGCCGGAGCCGGCTCCACGGGCCGCCCAGAACAGGTCTTCGTTCTCCGTCTCGCTGCAGTGCAGTTGCTGACCACTTGCAGTCACTACGTCTAAGCTCAGCCATATACTTTCCGGCCACCCACCTAAAGCAGCCACACAGTATAGAGTCGTGATTTTCTTAACAACAACGATTACCTTTGCCACTGTGTACACATAGAATTTAGAGTACAAGCTACTGCAGCAGCTGCAGCCTTTTCTGCTTCTTTTTCTGCTGAAGTGCTTGCCTGTTGAGCCTGTAGAGCTGCTGCTCGGTCGATAGCAGCCTGTATACTCTCAACGTTGCTGAATTGCTCATTTGGATTAACTTGAACCCGCTCTCTCGTACGAGTAATCTTATAGTGATCTAGTTGATATTTGAGTTGTTGATTCTCAGCCTTGAGCTGGGCAGCTCTAGTATTTGCCTCCGCAATAGCCTTGCCTGCCTTACCAAGAACTATCCGGGTGCTTCGTGAGAGAGATTATGACAACAGCAACTGCTGCTGGGCCTTGTATAGAGCTTGTGAGCTCTGAGGGGTGCTGAAGACTTGTTCTGATGTAGTCAAGGCCTGAATAGCTGCTAGTGGAGTAACTGGCCGGCCAGTTACTTTGGATGAGAGCAGTACTAGATTTGGGTTGAATGGGCAAAGGCCAGCAGCGCGCCAACCTGCTCTTATAACTCGCTCTGATAGAGCTTCTTCTCTTGCCTTGTTATATGACACAACAAAGCGCTCCTTCTTGATAGGTGCTGCGTCATCAAGGACAGAGAGAGCTCGGATCTCATTGCGATAGCGTGTTTTAAGAACAGAGAAAGGAGCAAGATCTAGAGGCTGCAGCAGGTATGATGCATGAGCTGGGAGATACAGGAGGTGTATCTTGTTAAGCTTGCAGAACCACATAAATTCGATAGGTGTATGAGAGCCATGGCCATCAAGAAGGAGCAGTCAATAGCCACCAGAGGATGGTGAAGTATTTGGTATAAAAATACGCTGTAGCCATTCACAGCCGATTGAGTTGGACGTCCAGCCATTCTCTGACGTGGTATAGAGCCAATTTAGTGTGCCTTGGGTTGGGAACCAAGTAGATTGTAGATGCTTACCTTTGAAGATAACTAGGCATTGAAGCTTGATGCTGGTGGCTAAGATTGTCTCCAAAGTTGATACCCACTCGCGATCCTCTGGAGACTTAATATAAGCCTTCTTCTTTATAGAGCTTGTGGACACCTGGGCATTAGTACATACCCCTAGTGCAACTCCAGTCTCGTCCATATTCCACATATCTTTATACTATATTCCTAGCTCAATTCTTGTTTGCTCAAACAGCCCAAGGAAGGCCTTAGTAGTATTGTAGTTAGCTGCTGTAGTCCTTGCGCTCTCAATTGTCTGGTCAACAACAGATGTGACGCGTGGGTTACGGGCGATGAAATAGGGTATCCATAGTTGCCCAAGAGGCTCGTAGTCGCCGTTCATGTGTAGGATGCGGGCTGACATCTCTCGTACGCGAGAGTCCTCTTCAAGTATCCAATCAATTAGAAAGGCCTCTTGTTCTGGAGTTAATCGCTGTTGATTTGAGTGAGCTATCGTGTGTGGTTGTTGACCTGCCCGTCGGCCTTGCAACGTTGATCGCGCAACGCCGTGCCAACAAGCGGCTACTCGCTCGCTCTTAAAAACACCAGAATTAAGATCTGCAATAGCATCTTGTATTGCAAATTCCTTAGTGTCCATATGGAGAGCGTGGTGGTGATAATATAGTTGATTAAAGCAGGGTGACGCGTTGTGGTGGGGTGGCCGGAAAGTATATGGCCGAGCTTATAGCTTTGACATACTGAAATGCCCAACCCCAGCTCTGTGAGGTATGTTAGGATATGTTGAGCAGAGTAGCAGCGCAAAGAACCTTACCCTGCAGACCCATCCCATTCCACCTTGAAGACGGAATCCCCCGAGTCCCACGTCAGGACAATGTCCACCAGGGAACATCAATCCTCTTTCCCTCAACAGAGTATTGAGCTGGGTTCCTGTTGTGCTTGGAGACACTTTTACAATGGCTGTTGCCTCGTCGAGGTCGATCTGCTTATAATTGCGCAAATCTAACAAGATGACGTTGTCACGGACGCTCCACGCAGCCCAAGAGTGGCCACCAGAGCGTACTGAGATGCGAAGATCCCTCCGCTGTGCAATCTGCACTGCCTGCTGGATGTGATCCTCCTTCTCAGCTTCAAGCACAGCAACACGGTATCGATTTGGGCGACGGTGGTTGAAGACGCGTCCGACGCGTGCACGCTCGTGCTCTTCATTCGTGGAGTCACTCCTACAGATGATTGGTAGAGTGTTCGATCCGCCCATAACTAATATATGTGTCTCGTCTTGGTCGGCTGTGCGAAAGGAATAAGTTTGTGGTTCGTTCGTCTCAGCGAAGAATCCTACGAGGACGAACTGTGAACGTTAGACATACAAAGATCGTCTATATACTTTCAGATACGCGTCGCGGTCTGAAAGTGGGGAAAATTGAGAGCGGCTGATCTAGGTGGACCACATTCCCGAGCTTGCAGCGGCCGTTGATGTACGCACAGTATCAGCTGTGCGACGTCGAAATTGCTCGACAATCATCATATAGTCTTTAACACCCTTCCTTTGATTCCTTTCCGTTATACAGAGTCTGCAGGATGCCAGAACAGACCCTCCAGGACAAGGTTGCCATCGTAAGCGGTTCCAGCTCAGGCATCGGTGCTGAAATCGGCCGTGAACTCGCCTCGAGAGGCGCAAATGTTGTGCTGAACTATTCATACCGTCTCTAGCCTTCGACTCTTCTCCGGCGTATATACCAAAGAGTCGTTGTGGAAGCGCTTCGTCCGCTCGCTGGTATTCATCATGCTGCCACAGGTCTTATGGACTACGCTCGTCATGTCAGGAACGATTGGCTTTCTCGTCGCCATTACATCCAACTTCGCCCCAGCCTTCGAAGCAGCGTACGGCTTCAAGCCATGGCGGTCTGGAATCTGCTTCATCGCGGCCCTGATCGGAGCTTTCATCGGCATTTTCGCAGGGGGCCACTTCTCTGACTGGATCGCCGACAGACAAACACAGCGCAACGGAGGCGTTTGTGAGCCCGAAATGCGCTTACCCGCCGTTCTCGTCAGCGTCGTCACAGCGCCTCTTGCCCTCGTCCTGTACGGCGTGGGCATTCAACACAAGCTGCACTGGATGTGTCCGATAATTGCGCTCGCACTGAGTAAGTTTTTCTGCCAGGTCAATCGAACAAGGCTAACAACGCCAGTCAACTTCTCCATAGTCCAAGCGACCAATTTCTCGCTCGTGTACACGGTCGACTGCTACCGACCCGTAGCCGGCGAGATTGTCGTCACGCAGATGGCATGGAGGTCTGTATTCGGCTTCCTGTTGTCTTTCTACACCAACCCATGGGTAAACAAGTCGGGATACCTCAACGCCTACGGCGCCATGGCGGGGATTTCCGGCGGCCTCATCATTCTGGGAGTGCCGTTCTTCATCTGGGGTGCGAGAATCAGGAGCGCGACGTGGAACTGGGGTGTCTTTCGCAAGTTGGTGCATTGGGACGCGGATCGCGAGGTTGGTGAGTGAGAAGCGCGGCTGCATGGGTTGCGGGAAATTGCGATGCCGTAGTAGTGCCGCTGTGGCTGTAGCTTCGAATGCATGCAAGGCTTCTGCACCTTGACTTTTCGGCGGCTTTTGCCTCGCGCGAAACAGCTACCTAAGCTGATAGAGACACGAAAAGAAGACGCTCGACGTCGTCGCTCGCCATGGCACGCGCGTGGAGATGGCCGACGTCGCTAGCTGCCAATGAGGAAGGTCCGCTTTGCCACCAAGCTTTCCGCTAGCGGCAGCAACGGCTTGTCGTTTAGCTTGTCGATGCTTATCACACTCCTATCATCATCCGCAGCTGATCGCACGTGTGAGTGGTAGCTTGCTGCCGTGCGTTTCTAGACGTTGAGCGTCCTTGACATGGGTCGACGGGTATAAATGGCTCCCTGAGCCGCCCGCCTGGGTCCATCACCCTTGCTTCCAGACTGCAAGATGCGGCTCCAGAGGCTCAGCGTTGTTGCTTCGGCCATTGCGACGGCGGCTGCTTGCGGTGGCGAGCACAGCTGCTACGGGCCGCTGAGGGACGATGTGGTGTTGACGCGCAATGTCAGGCGGATGCAGCCTGAAGCAAGCAATGCCACTACGAGCCCCAGAGCGCCTCTCGAATGGGGCCAGATCAACTTCCTGCATACAACTGACACCCATGGCTGGCTTGAGGGGCACATCAAGGAACAGGTAAGACGGTGCAGGCTGCTGCATGTGTGGATGGGGCTGATATTTTGCAGAATTATGGCGCGGACTGGGGTGACTTTGTGAGCTTCACACGGCACATGAAGCAGAAGGCGAACAAGCTCGGCGTAGACCTGTTGCTTGTTGACACTGGTGTAAGTCCGCGAGCATCGATTCGAATGATTGTATGTTTCCCATTGAGCGTCGCTGACGGCTTCTAGGATCTTCACGACGGCGCTGGGCTCTCTGACGCAACGTCACCGAACGGCCTGGTCTCGAACCCTATCTTTGAGAACGTCGACTACGACCTCCTGACCATTGGCAACCATGAGCTTTATGTCACAGAGATTGCCTACGAGACGTTTAGCAACTTTTCAAAGGTGTATGGAGACAAGTATCTCACCAGCAACGTGCAGATCAAGAACCCCTCTACGGGGGAGTTCGAGTACATTGGCGCGCCGTACCGGTACTTCACCACGGAGCGGGGCCTGAAGGTTATGGCGTTTGGCGTCCTCTTCGACTTTACCGGCAACAGCAATGTTTCCAAGGTCATCAAGGCAGCTGATCTGGTCAAGGAGCAGTGGTTCCTCGATGCCGTCAACTACAAGGATCCGATTGACTTATTCGTCCTCACCGGTCACAACCCAGTCCGGTTCAACGAATCAAGTAGCTCTTTCGACACTGTTTTCAGCGCCATCCGCAGCCAGAGGCCGGACACGCCCATCCAGGGCTTTGGCGGGCACACTCACATCCGCGACTTTGCCGTATGGGACAACAAAGCCACCGCGCTCGAGTCTGGTAAGCTGCGATGTATCTTTGCATGGCATCAGGCGTGCTAACTGGGCACAGGGCGCTACTGCGAGACTCTGGGATGGCTGGCTATGTCCGGTCTCAACTCGACAGCCAAGAAGGTCAAGAAGAATCCAAAGGGTGTGCCGAACCCCACGCGAATCGCAGTCCCCGCTCGCAGCACCGGGACCGCAAGCGCGAATGCATCGATATCCACATCGACCTCCCCGTCCAATCTGCGCTACGCCCGTCGCTACCTGGACTGGAACCGGCAGACATTCGCCTACCACGCCAAGGGCAGCCAGGACATGAACGCATTCGGCACGCCCAAGGGCGCTGCGGTCTCGAGCGAGATCACGGCCGACCGCGCCAAGCTGAACCTCACCAGTGTGTACGGCTGCGCGCCGCAGACATACTGCCAGTACTGCAAACCCTTCGGTACCGACGGCAACATCTTCCAGCTGCTGCAGACAGCGCTGTCGACAGTAGTCGTGAATGAGACACGCAAGGACACACCGCGTCTAATCATCATCAACACGGGCAGCATCCGCTTCGACCTGCCCAAAGGTCCCTTCACATACGACGACTCCTTCATCGTATCCCCCTTCTCCGACGCATTCCAATTCCTCCCAGACGTGCCCTACGCCCAAGCCGCCAAAGTCCTGCCCATCCTCAACGCTGGCGCCTTCCAGAAACGCGATCTCCAGACCTCAGACTTCGGCTTCAGCAACACCCTCGTCGACGGCGCAGGCTGCATCGACCCGCCGCTGACACACCCGTACGCAGGCGCAACGCGGCGGTCGACGCAAGGCGGACGGCTACTGCGGCGGCAGTCGACGGCGCTCACACCGGGGTACACAACTGTGGACGACTTTGGCGCCGACGGGGACGACACGCCACACACCGCCATCCCAGCGTACACCCAGCCCAACGACTTGCAAGCCAACGCCTCCTTCCCCGCCGACGGATCGGCGCCTGCGACCGTGGATCTGGTGTTTCTCGATTTCATCGCGAGCTATGTTGTCAACGCGCTGAACAGCGCTGAGGTCGGCGGGGATGTGTCGCTGGGGCAGGTGGGTTATTACATGGACAAGACGTTCACGACGAATAGCTATCTGCCTGCGTACGCCAAGGTCGCGTGGCAGGAGAACGTGGATGATTGTCCGGTGGGTGAGGGGATTGGGTTTGCGTGAGCGGGTGCGTGGGGGTGGGGCGGACGGTGGATGGTGGGGCGGACGGTGGATGGTGGGTGTAGAGTACGAGAAGGCGAATAGAGGTTGTCAAGGCGGTCTCGTCTCAGCTCATTTCACCTCATCGCATGTCGCGTGACCGTAGGACGCAGATGTTTGGTATTGTACAGATGTTACACGGCTCTATTTTACATGGGGTCTTGGGTATCGTTTGACGCGGAATTGTGCAATGGTATCGCTCACGACGATGTCGACGGCGCGGCATCGGCGTCGGCGGTCTTGGACTGTGACTGTGACGCCGCCGCAGACTTGTCAACAGACGCCGCCGCAGACTCGTCACCAGGCTTCTTGTCACCAGACTTCTTGTCACCAGGCTTCTTGTCACCAGGCTTCTTGTCACCAGGCTTCCCGTCACCAGGCTTCTCGTCACCAGGCTTCCCGTCACCAGGCTTCCCGTCACCGTATGCCTCGAAGCTGGCCTGCTTCGCGGGCGCAGGTCTGTACTTGTCGTAGCCGGCGACCTTTGAGATGCGGAGTGCGCTTTTGGTGACCCAGCGGCTCGTCGACGGATCGCGGGCCATGGGCTCGAAGACGTCGGCGGGCGTCTCCGAGGCAGCCTTGCGGATGGCAAAGTTCTTGGTGACGTGTTTGTGGATCTTGCGCTCGGTGGCGCGGTCCTTGAACTCGTCGACGCGGTTGTGGAACGCGGGCGTGCCGTCGTCGACGGTGCTCTTGAACTTGCGGAAGAGCTGGCCGGGCGTGTGGCGCGGGTCGGCGGCGCGCAGCTGCTTGATGCGGGCGCGCAGCTCGGCGGCGTCTTTGGCGGGCGTGAGCTTCGGGAAGGAGAGCGTCTCGGGTATGTCCCTGGGGGCTACGCGCTGGACAATGGCCATTTCGATGACGTCTTTCTTGGACTGTGCGTGGGCGCGCGCGAAGCTCATCATCTCGTGGACGCTGACCCAGTTGCGGAAGCGCAGCTCGTCGAGTGGGATGCCGGTGGTGCTGAGCGCTGGTGCGATGGCCTGGGCACTGGGGCTGGGAGCTGGAGGCTGGACACTGGGGCCGGAAGCTGGAGGCTGGACACTGGGGCCGGAAGCTGGAGGCTGGACACTGGGGCCGGAAGCTGGAGGCTGGGCACTGGGGCCGGAAGCCGGAGCCTGGGCTGCAGGCTGGTAGGGGTCGGTGGTGAGCTCGTCGTAGACGGTGCGGAGATCCTGTTCGGTGCCTAGCGAGGGCTGCGAGGGGTCAATGTGCATGTGGAAAGGCGACTTGTCGAGGCTGAGCGGTTGCCCGGACATGAGCACTGCTCGTATGTTCTCCATCTGCCCCTGCACCATGTCGAGCTCGGATGTGAGCTGCTCCGGGGACATGAGCTCGAGTGACGATTGCGCGGCGCCGGGTTCTGGGCTGGAGGCTGCAGAGCGGGCGCGCTTCTCAACGGCAGCCGAGATGGCATGCGCCTGCTCGCTCAATTGCTCCTCGAAGAAGTGCACCAAGTCAGCGCGCCGGCAGGCTTTGGCAAAGGTGACCCAGTCGTTGTACGTGAGCTGGGACCCTTCCTTGTCAGCGGCAGCGACAATGACGTACCACAGGGCTCTGACGACGTCGCGATCCTTGATCTGGCCTGCTGCTGCAAGCACAGTCCTCCGCTCAACAGCGTAGAAGGTGATGCCGGCCGTGGTGGCGTCGTCGAGCGTCTGCTTGAACAGCTCGGGGGCTCGCAGTTTGCCGGCGAGGGAGATGAGGGGAACAAAGAGGGACGAGGAGAGCGACAGGCCAGACTGGATCAGGTCGGCCATGATGCGCTGACCGGTGACGGCGATGATGTTGCGCAGAGGCATCTCTTCGCCGGTGAAGTCCTGTCCAGGCGCCTTTTCCGGCAGCAGGAACTCCAACGCCTTGATCAACTCGCCAACGTGGATGCCTCTGAGCGGACCGCCGCACTGCTGGTAGGCGTGCAGGGCGTTGGCCATGGCACGCAGCAGCGTGAAGCGGACCTCGAGCGAGGGCGACTGCGTCATGGCGACGCGCAGCCGGTTCAGCACGCTCGTCACCTGGCCGCCGCTGAGCTGCACGCCCGAGCGGCAGGCGAGCATGTAGGCCGTGTAGGCTTCGAGCAGCGGGCGCTCGGCCACGAACATCTCAAACACGCGCTGGGCCGTCTGGGCCGGGTACAGACGCAGCACGGTGTCGAGGCCCAGGTACGCGCCGGTCCAGTCGTGGGCGCGCAGGCGGGCGGTGAGGATGCCCTGGAAGAGCGTGTTGGGCAGGCCGGCGATGTGGACGGGCTGGGTGCGGTCGGGGACGACGGCGTCGGGCGAGAAGTGGTAGGCGGCGAAGGTGCCCGGGTAGCGCTGCAGGCCGTCTTGGTAGAGGGCCTCGAGCTCGGGCAGGGCCGCCAGGTTGCCGCAGCTCAGCAGCTCGAGGGCCGCGCCGTAGGCGCCCTGGGAGCAGTGCGAGTCGTCCTGCACCCGCAGCCAGTCCCACAGGTCGCGGCCCTGGGCGAAGTGGCGGGCGTCCTTGTAGGCGCTCAGCAGGTGCACGTACGCAAAGTTGTGCGGGCGGATGCGGCGGTTCTGCACGTCGGCGACGAGCTGGGCGGCAAAGTGCAGCAGCGTCGACAGGCGCGACGAGTCCTTGCGGGCCGCGTCGCGCCGCACCGCCTCGTGCAGCGCCTGGCAGATGGCGTACGTCGCGCGGCTGTCGATGAGGCCCGCGTCGCGCGCGGGCTCGTACAGCGGCATGATGCGGTCCATGTCGCGGTCGCGCAGGCGCTGCTGCATGTCCAGGGCCAGCCCGACGACGGCCGGCGGCGTCTCAGTGCGCGGCCCGCTGCTGGTGCGGCGGGCGATGCGGTTCGCGAGCTGCTTCTCGCGCTTGCGCATCTCGAGGAAGTAGCTGCGCCCGCTCTTCTTGCCCCGGGCCGCGTTGTCGGCGCATTGTGGGGTGGTCGAGAGCGCCCGCTGCTGGGAGTGCTGGGGGTGCTGGGGGTGCTGGCGCTGGCGCTGCAGGGCGGTCGCGGGGACGGAGACGGGGACGCAGACGCAGACGGGGACGGAGACGGAGACGGCCAGCAGACGCGGCGCAAGGAACGGCGCAGACGGACATACGACGGCGGCGAGGGGGATGCGTGTCGCGGCGGGCATGGCTGCGGAGGCGCGTGGTGGTCGCGGCGAAGCATACACGCGGAACTTTTCATCCAGGTTCTCCAACCGACGCTGCTCCTCTGTGCTTGGCTGCCGCTCCTCCGTGCTTGGCTGCTGCTCCTCCGTGCTTGGCTGCTGCTCCTCCGTGATTGGCTGCTGCTCCGCGCGCGCGTCGAGCATCGCGCATCACTTCGCCTGGAGACAGCTTGCACGCCCCGCAACACAATCCGCCCCGACCGTCGCCCTGCACGCGCTCCCCCCGCCCTGTCGCCCTCCCGCCGCCGCCATGTCGCGCCCGCTCTCCCTCTTCAGCGTCCAGGCCATCCTGGTCCTCGCCATCGACGACGGCTCGCGCATCCTGACCAAGTACTACTCGAATCCCCACCCGCCGCAGGGCGCCCCGGCCGACTACCCCGGCCACATCGCCTACAAGACCGTCAAGGACCAAAAGGCCTTTGAGAAGGGGCTGCTGGGTGCGCCGCTCTGACCAAGACGCCCGACACTGCTCTGACGCCCCCACAGAGAAGACCGCCAAGCAGACTACCGACATCATCCTCTACGACCACAAGGTCGTCGTCTTCAAGATGGAGTCGGACGTGATGCTCTACGTCGTGGGCAGCGCCGAGGAGAATGAGGTGCTGCTGTACAGGTGCGGAGAGAGGAGGCCAGCGCCTCGCCTGTGGCTAACACGTGTGCAGCGTCGTCCTCGCCCTGCGGGACTCGCTCAACATCCTCCTGAAGTGAGCGCGCAGGCCCCACAGCCCCCTCCACCACTGACCCGTGCCCAGGAACTCGGTCGACAAGCGCACCGTCATTGAAAACTACGACCTCGTGGTACGTTCACACTCCACACTCTGCGTGCACAGCACTGACTCGCACAGTCCCTCGCCGTCGACGAGCTCGTCGACGACGGTATCATCCTCGAGACGGACCCCGTCATCGTCGCCTCGCGCGTCAGCAAGCCCCCCGCCCAGGACATGACCTCGATGAAGAACATCGACCTCTCCGAGCAGGGCCTGATGAACATGTGGGACTTTGGCAAGCGCCAGCTGGCCGAGAGGATACGACAGGGACTGTGATTGGCATGGGGAATTGGAATGGAATTCTGGACTGGGCATGGCGTTGCGGGCGTTCTCAATGCCAAGACAAGCATAGCAGTCATCATAGACCGGTACGACGCTGCTCGTTTGAAGCAGAGCAGTCCTTGCTGACTCTGGTTACAATAAAAGTTGGCTATCATCAGTCCGACCTGCTGGCTCTGATGGTACATTAAAAAGCTGGCTATCATCAGTCCGACCTGCTGACTCTGACAGTACAATTGAATCATCGACTTTATGTGTCGTCTGTGTCGTCTGTGTTGTCGTGTTGTTTGTGCTGTTTGTGCTGTTTGTACCACGATCTTCAGGCACTGCGATTGATCATGCCTTAGCGCGCCTGTCAACTTTGTCATTCGTCATTCGTCATTCGTCATTCGTCATTCGTCGTAGCACCCCGCCAGACTTTGCACACGACACAACCATGAAGCAGCGATTCTCGAGCCTAGACGTCAAGGTCTGCAGTAATCATACAACTACTCGTCGTCTTCTTCCCTGACACCTCCAGGTCATTGCGCACGAACTGTCCAAGACGCTGACGTCGTTGCGCGTCACCAACGTGTATGATCTCTCATCCGTATGCAACAACCCCTCCGTACAGCCAGCTGCACGCATCACTCACCACAACACAGCGCATCTTCCTGATCAAATTCCACAAGCCCGACCACCGCGAACAGCTGCTCATCGACTCGGGCTTCCGCTGCCATCTCACCGAATATGCCCGCACCACCGCCGCCGCGCCCTCGGCCTTTGTTGCCAAACTGCGCAGGTACCTGAAGACCAGGAGGGTCACCTCCGTCTCGCAAGTCGGCACCGATCGCATCCTCGAGTTCCAGTTCTCCGACGGCCTCTACCGGCTGTATCTCGAATTCTACGCCGGCGGCAACATCGTCCTGACCGATGGCGACCTGAACATCCTGGCGCTCCTGCGCAACGTCGAGGAGGGCGAAGAGCACGAGAAGCTCAGAGTGGGACTGCAGTACAACTTGTCCCTGCGACAGAACTACGGCGGCACCCCCAAACTCACAAAGGACCGCATCCGCCAGGGCCTGCAGAAGGCCGTCGACCGCCAGCAAGCGCAGCCCGAGGCCACTGGCAAAAAGCTCAAAAAGGCAGGAAAAGACGCGCTGAGGAAGGCACTGGCTACCTCCATCACCGAGTTGCCACCGCTGCTCGTCGACCACGCCCTCCACGTTGCAAAGTATGACTCGACACTGAAGCCAGAGCAAGTGCTTGCCGACGATGGACTTTTGGATCAGCTCTTGGCCGTCTTGCACGATGCCCTGAGGATAACAAAGGAGATCACCGAACCGGATCAGGTGAAGGGATACATTCTCGCCAAGCCCAACCCTGCAGCACCGAGCGCAGAAGAGGAGCGCTCCGGGAAGGGCAGGCTTCTGTACGATGACTTCCACCCTTTTCGACCTGCGCAATTTGAAAACACAGACATCGAGTTCCTCGAGTTTGACATGTTCGGCAAGGCTGTCGACGACTTCTTCTCATCCATCGAGGGCCAGAAGCTCGAGTCGAAGCTGCAAGAGCGCGAAGCACACGCAAAGAAGAAGCTGGAGAAGGCCCGCAAGGAGCACGAGGAGCGCATCGGTGGGCTTCAGAAGGCGCAAGAGCTGGACTTCCGCAAAGCCGAGGCCATCCTCGCCAACGTACACCGCGTCACTGAAGCGACAGATGCCATCAACGGCCTCATCACACAAGGAATGGACTGGGTCGACATTGGTCGCTTGATTGAGCGAGAGCAGACTGCAGGGAACCCTGTTGCTCAGCTGATCAAGCTGCCCCTGAAGCTGCAGGAGAACACCATCACGCTCCTTCTCGACGAGAACACCTGGTCAGAAGGGCAAGACGAGGAAGATGAGGGCAACAACACCAGCTCGGTAAGTGAAGACACCGACGATGAGGGCGGCAACAACAACGACAACAACAACAACGACGACGACAACAACAACAACAACAACAACAACAAGAAGAAAGCTGCGCCTGTCAAGGTAGCCGCACAGCCCAAGCTTTCCATCGACATCGACCTTGGTCTGTCAGCTTGGGCAAACTCGACCGAGTACTTTGATTCGAAAAAGACAGCTGCCAGCAAGGAAGAGCGCACACTGCAGGCGTCCGAGCGAGCGCTCAAGAGCCACGAGAAGAAGGTCGCCGAGGATCTCAAAAAGGGCCTGAAGCAGGAGAAGGAGGTGCTGCGGCCGGTGCGCAAGCAGCAGTGGTTCGAGAAGTTCATCTACTTCATCTCCTCTGATGGCTACCTTGTGCTTGGTGGAAAGGACGCCCAGCAAAACGAGATCATCTACCGGCGATACCTGCGCAAGGGCGATGTCTATGTCCACTCGGACCTGAAGGGCTCCATTCCCATGATCATCAAAAACAACCCCAACACGCCGGACGCGCCGATCCCACCCTCGACGTTGTCACAGGCAGGCAATCTGTCCGTCTGCACGTCAGAGGCATGGGACTCGAAAGCCGTCATGTCGGCGTGGTGGGTCCTTGCGGATCGTGTCACAAAGACTGGTCAGACTGGAGAGTTCCTGGCGCCTGGTGTCTTCAACATCACGGGCAAGAAAGAGTACCTGCCACCAGCTCAGCTTATCGTTGGTCTCGGTGTCATGTTCGAGATCAGCGAGGACAGCAAGGCTCGCCACCACAAGCACCGCGTGCAGGGTGGCGTTCTCGCACCCACAACCGCAGAGGAAGAAGCGAGGCTGGCACAGGAGAAGAAGGCAGACGAGGCAAACAAGGACGCGGACAGCGATGACGACGATGCTTTCCCGGATGCCAAGATGGCGTCTGATTCTGAGGAGGACTTTCCTGATGCGAAGATGGACGACTCAGACGAGAGCGATGCTGAGTCTGACGCCGATGCACCTGCAAACCCTCTGCAGTCCAAGACTGCTGACCAGAAGGCTGACTCCGAGGAGGAAGACGAGGACGTACCCTCGCCACAGAGCGAGACCGCTCCCAAGGACGAGAAGGGCAAGTCAGATAGCAAGTCCGGCATCCGCCACCTGTCGGCGCGCGAACGCCGTCTCATGAGGAAGGGACAGTCGCCCGATGCAACGCCTGGCTCAGCAGCCAACGAAAACGACGATGACGGCCACTCCGCCGGCGACGAATCGAAGCCTGCCACAAGAGCTCCGCCCACCGTGGCATCACAAGCTACAAAGAACAGCGCAGCACCCCTTCCCCGCGGCAAGCGTGGCAAAGCAAAGAAGCTCGCCACCAAATACGCCGCGCAGGACGAAGAAGACCGCGCCCTGGCGATGCGCCTCCTGGGCTCCAAATCGGGGCAAGTCGCCGCCGAAGACGCCGCGAACGAGGTCCGCAAAAAGGAAGAAGAAACGCAGGCCAACAAGCAGCGGCGCCGGGAGCAGCACCAGCGCGCCCAGGACAAGGGCAAAGCCGCCGAAGAAGCGCGGCGCGCGGCTCTCGACAACGACGACGAGGCCGAAGACGACGAGCAGCTCAAGACCAATCTGCTGAGTCTGGACGCTTTCACCGGCCGTCCGCTCCCCGGCGACACGCTCCTGAGCGCCATCCCCGTCGCGGCGCCCTGGGCCGCGCTCGCAACGTACAAGTACAAAGCCAAGATCCAGCCCGGGTCAACCAAGCGCGGCAAGGCGGTCAAGGAGATCCTGTCCATCTGGGACCACGCGGGCAAGGACCCCAAGGTGCTGGACAAGCACAGCGCGGACGTGGAGCGCATCTGGCCGCGCGAGATTGAGCTCGTGCGCGCGTGGAAGGAGACGGAGGTCGTCAGCGTGCTGCCCGTGGCCAAGGTGCGCGTCATGATCGCTGGCGGGCGTCGCGGAGCGGCGGCCGCTAAGGGTAAGAAGAGCGCGAGGGGGGGGAGGGGGAGTAAGAAGAAGTAGACAGTGAACATGTAAAGAAGTAGACAGTGAACATGTAAAGAAGTAGACGAGGCCGGGCTAAATGGACGTTGAGACTCACACACCTCGCTCGCCGATCGAACCTACAGCGCACCCTACCTCCTCGCCTGCACCCATGCCCATACACCCAGCTCCGTGCCTTGTGTGTCTCTTCGTTCTTCCTTCTTGCCCACGCACTTCCGCACTCCGCCAGCCCCCACCACGCCAAGTCACCTCCCGCACTTCTTCGTCCCCCCGAAACGCCAGATGACTCGCGCTGACCCCGAATCCTGCGCTCCATCGTACCGACTCTCGCCGGATTGACCAGCAGCCAAGCCCATGCGTAATCATACCTCCGAGCTCTCCACGACGCGAGGCGAGGCGAGGCGAAGCGAGACGTATGCAGAGCGAGACGTATGCGCGCAGAGCTGCGCCCGGATATAATGGCTGCTTGCCCTCGACGCCCCTGACTGGATCGTTTCTGGCGTCGCGGTGCGGGTGTTTCAGCTACATACTTCAGCTGTCTAGGGCTCGGCGGGGGGGGTTGATGCGGGATGCGGGGTGTGGGACGCGGGATGCGGGACTAGCGGGGCGGACCGTGTGCCGCTGTTTGGGGTTGGGTTGGGTTAGTTAAGAGAGTGAGGAGAGAGGATGGTGTGCTGCGACGATGTCTACAACAAGTGAGGAATGGATGAACGATGAAGTAATCAAGTGAAGTAAAGTTCTCGTTACCCAAGTCGATACCTATATATCCCGCCATGCCACCACCATGCTCGCGCAACAAACACAATCTATCCACAGCAAAGGCAACGCGAAGCAAGAAAAGTCCACACACGCACAAAGACAGACAGAAGCGACACACACCTCGCCCTGGCGAAAACAGCGATCAACGCCGAAGAAAGAATCAGAATCTACAAAGTCGCCAACCATACGCCCGCTAAAGCCAAAGGGAATCAAACGCCAGACAAGAAGAAGAAAAGATAACATACACCAAAACACACTCATGTCAAGCCGCCAAAACATCACTCACAACTCCTCAACACCCCGCGCTCACCCGCCGCCGCGCATCCTCCCCCTGCACACTGCTGGGGAACGAGAAATCAATCGGACTGGGCGGTGGCGCGGCGGTCTCGCCGTACACGTGCGCGCGCTCCTGCTGCGACGACGACGAGGCCTGGAATGCGGCGCTGACGTCGTGGCCGAGCGAGGCGTTGGTCAAGATCGAGAGGCGCTGGCGCGGGTTAAATGTCGACGACGGCATTGTGGTGGTGTTGTGTGGGGGTTTGGGTGTGGGGGTTTGCTGGTGCTTGGTGGATGAGTGTGGGTGTTGAATAGAGGCGCGCTGGTTTGGGCGGCGCTGAGATTGCTTGTTCAAGGTCTGTGTGGTGGAAGGGCGCGGGACTGGTGGCGATCCGGGTCCGGTTTTATAGGGTTGTTGTGCTTGGGCTGGATTGTTGAATGCAATTGTCGGCGGAAGGCGCAAGATGGTCTGAGTTGTTCGGGGTTGGGGAGCAAGTGTCTTCGCTGGCAGTATTGGCGAGCGTGAGGGGAAGTGGTAGCTGCGAGGGGTGAGTCAGATTTAATATTGAAAGCGCGGGATGGAACAGGGCTGATGTGTATGCGGGCGTTGGCACTGCGAACCAGATGCCGGGGCTGGACCATGCGGATGCGGAGGTCCCGGATTGGCGACGAGTACATAGAGGGCTGCAGGTGAGGCTTACCTTTGTCTTCTAGGCTACTCCAACAAATGCGTGACGTGGGAGAACGTGTTATGGTTGGGCAGATTGATACGTGCTGCTGCGAATGATTGCTCAAGACGGAAGCGAGGGTTACAAGCCTAGGGCCGGACTGTGGGAATGTTTGGCAGTTGCGTCAACGACAAAGGGCGATAAGCACGACTTATGTATAGCGCAGGGGGCCCAATAGACTGTGTGACGTGTAAGGGGTGGGATGCTGAGAATTGCTTTGTGGTATCAGGTATGAGGACGATGAAGCTGCAAGGGGAAGGTCTTCTTATAACTTTCACCGCCGACTGACTCGCACGGGTTGGGCAGCTTGGATCTTGCGCAGACGCTTCGAGCGAAAACAAAAGTGTATCAGAAATTAAAAGCGCCGGAGCGTACGGGGGCAGCGGACGGCTGCGCTCCTTGCTTTGACCCGTTGTTGCACATGGGCGCAGGTTCCACCCACGCCCAAACCTTCTAGGGAGCAAACTCCATGGCGTCCGGGGTCGCTCCTGTCACCATCGACTTGTCTGAGGTGTGCGGGCGCGAGTCTGCATGAAACGAAAACGGCGTAGCATGCGCGGGTGCCATATGCGGCATCCCACGCAGCTTTGCTGGTTGCTTGTTATCGCAGATGAGCGCGGCATGTCGATGCTGGCGGGCGCCCGCGGATAGTTGCTGCGTTGAAATAACGTGTAACACGCAGTTTTCGTTCTCCAAGCAAGGACTCAAATCGAGCCGTGATGTGCCGGAAGGAAGACTGGTCATTCTCTGACCGCTCCTCGCCATCGATCGTGTTCGTCCAGCATCCCACGCGAGGCGTGCGGTACTGAGATGGGGAAATATGGGCCACGGAATACATTCCCCGGACCCGGCTGCATGGCGCTAAGTCCGCAAATGAGGCGTCTGGAACTGGGCTGGAAGGTCTTCCCTTGGTCAACGGCACGATTTACAACTGTGTGCTCATCGATTCGCTGGGAGCGACGACAAACATCTTGTAACTAGACGATCCTTCGTGATGCGGGCGAGTGCTTGAAGCCTCCTTCCTTACTGTGCGAGGGCGGTCGCGAGAGACGGTCAAATTGTTCCTGCAATGAGGCTTCGAGAAGGGCTCAGAAGGACGCTCGTGCCAGCACTAGTCCCGTCTCGGGCAACTCACCATGTCGCTCTTGAACGGTCCGCCCCTTGACAGACTCGATGGAGACCGGTAGATGTCCGGTTGAAGATGTGGCCTGTCGTGCTCGCCCAAAACACGAAGCATTGGTCACCGCTCGGCGCCATCACGCCTCACACGCGTCGTCATGCTGGTCGAGCCAAAGGACAACGCTGCACACCTTCTGCAGCCTCACGCGATTTGCGCACATCGTCCGACCGTCATCCTAGCTCTGGGAAGCATCGCTCACCATTTGTGGGCATGAGGATGCAGTGGGATACTCTTTCTAGACACCGCTCGACGCCCTCCTGTCATGCGATGCCGAGCCAAGAGGAACCTTGTTCTCGTGTCAATCCATCCGGGCATCTAATAGGAAGCAGTGGGTGTCGTTTGTCACAAATTGACAACCTCTAGACCCTGCTACAGCGCCTTCGGTCATACAGAGCGTTTTGTGTGTTGGCGTCATCCTAGCGGCTTCCGCGCCCTTCCATTCGTTCCTCTCCGCATTCCCCGGACAGCTCCAGCCTCCATTGCCTCATCTGGGGAAGTCGTTCTTTCCCCTGTCGTAGGGCTGCCCTAGCTACGTCCTGCGGAGATTGTTGTCGCGCTTCCGTGTAGCCAGAGCGATGCGGTGCTTCGATCCAGGCGTCGCGAGGACAACTATCATTGCTGGCGGCAGCATCTCCAATTGGTGAAGCTTATTCCTCCTGCAGCTTCTTTTTCGTCGTTGCTATTGAAGACTGCACATAGCCATCGCCGTTTCGAGTTTGTCTCACCGCTGGTCTCCCCCATACTGTAAACGGCGTCGATGGTAACAAACAAGTTTCGAGTGCAAGCGAGCATCGACACGACAGAGACGGGGCAAACAGACCTGCACCTGCTGACAAAGGCGGTGTCTTCAAAGCTCGTGCGAGGAAACGGAAACGGAAACGGAAAGAGAAAGTCGCTAGGCAAGAGATTGGGAAGGATGCTCATTCAGCAGCATGTGTCGATACAATGCATCTGAGGAAAGACTGCATGGCTGAAGAGTTGGTTGCAATCTCGTGAACAGGCGATACTCCTCGTCTGCATCGTGATCTGCTGATGATCTCCATACAGGCAGCATGCTAGTTGCTAAAGCACGATGCGTGGCGATCCTCGTGGTAGTCCTGAGATGCTTTTGCTTCCCTTCACCTTGATTAGCGCGATTCGCGCGTGTTCATTCGCGCAACGAGTCGCCTTGGCAGATCCACCCTGCTACAGCAGATGGGGCCTACTATTGGAGCAAACGGCAAAAGACAGCAGCAAATGCCTCCTTCACTGCATTCCATCCCGCCGCTACTTGATCGCAAAATGACAACAAGAAAACCATAGCGACCCCGCCTCGCCCACCTTCCTCACAACTGCAGTGCCAACATCTGCCTCCCATACCGCCTTTCCAGTCAGTATGGAGCCATTGGATCGATATCACCAATGGCTTCAGTCACTCGCATCGATGCCGGAGCCTGAGGCTGCAGAGGCTTTGCGGAAAGCCTTATTCAAGGGCACAGCAGCTGGAGGTCTCACTTTGATGAGGGCAAACATTTTCCATTATGACGAACACATCCACCACTACTACGGCTGTCCAGGTATTGATCCATGCGACAGAGACATACAGGACACGCCCTTACCCTGGGAACAGGATCTCTTGGTCCCGATTGAAGACATCAAGGAGCAATCGCAAGACCTGGTCTTAAAGATCTACGACGACTGGGGTCAGATAAACCTCGCTGTCGTTCAACTGGGCTCCGTCATCCGCGATCGTTGGCTCAAGATGAATGACTCCCAGCGCAAAGCCATTTTATTACGAGCATCGCCCAACCTCCCTCCGAAACATCGCCCAGATATGGATCGGTGTCTTCTCGAGGTCTGTCCTCATCAGAGGTGTGCAGAAGGGATTGCACAGTATGCTTTCCCTCACCTCAACCTCGAAGACCTAACTGCACCGAACTCCTTGTTGATCCTCTTGGACGCGCGCACACGCCACGCCCCCTTCAAATTCGCTCTCTCGGATTATGAGCTAGCGCCTCTGATGAAGTTACGCCCAGCGCTTCTCGAAAAGACCAAGTACAGCATAAGTCTGTCAGACAACGACTTTGGCAAAGTCATCGAGTGGGATACAGAGGAGGAAGCTACTGGTGCGACCTTACTGGGCGATGCCGTGCACCCGGTTCAGGGCTGGCATATTCTCATCATTCAGATGGGTCTCTACGACTTCCTCGTACGCTGTATTGCCTTTGTCATGTTGGACGAACTAGAGGTCTCCGCTGAGCCCTTGCCTTCTGCCCCACAAATCTACAACGACGATTTCTCAACTCTAGACATTGCGCCGAAAGAGTCCCCGGAGAGACTGGAGTACGGCTCTCTCGATTCATTAATCAGAGATGCGCAGTATCGAGTGCCCATGTTCACGGACCTCGGGCGTCTATGTGCGCTTACGTCGGCCTGTAAGGATGCCGCAGAAGACCACATCTGGATGCTTCGCGAGGACCCGAGTTACTTCGCCGAGACTGTGCTCGAATGTAAAGAACATCGACCAGAAGTACTCAAGGGTCGTTTTTGTGGCCGGCTCCACAAGAACGGCCATCACGATCGACTCTGGGCACGGGTTCTTAAAGATACAGCTGCCAACGCTTACGTTGATTTCTTCGTATGGGATGAGATTCACTGGCGTATGAGAGATCTCAACGCCCTTGCGATGGAGCACGTTAATAGCCTCAGCATCGATCCTATCAAGTTGAACATCGAGCTGCCCGCCACGCTTTTGGAGTCGCTCGTCCAGACTTGGTCGTTCCTAGAACTGATCGAGTTGGATCTCATACAGCAGCTCAAGACTGCCTGGCCATCATCGCCTACCATGAGAGCCAACTTTGCACAGCAATGTGGTGAAGTCTCAGACGAGGAACAAGTTCTTGGTGTGCAGGCAAAGAATGCTGGTCGCCGCAAACGGGACAAGGAGTCAGAACACATCTCCAAGTTGTTTGAGTATCTCTGGAAACCGGATGTGCGTGCGAGACTTAAGGTCCACATCCTAGTCGATGCTCTATCACATTTGTTGAGAACGAACAAGCGAGCAAATGCGTTGACATCATCCTGGGTCGCTTCTCTTCTATCACAGCTATCGATAGTATCCGAGTGTTTGCGTCAGCTGAACTTCCTCCAGCCCTGGGCCAAGAAGGTCGCTCATACTGTCAAATTGAGGCAAACTGAACTGCTGGCGGCACACTGTTCAACGTTCGCGCGCTGGCACGCCGTTCTGCACACTGACTTCCAGAGCAAGAAGCTGATCAGACTGGGAGAACCGCGTTCGCAATTCCGCTACCCAGTCAACAAACGTCGAACACGCGCCAATGTTAACGCTATGCAAGCCGCCGAAGCCGCCTTGGATGCTTTCTGGCAGGCAGCTGATGAGCGATTCGTCGAGTCTACCGGCAGTACACCTCACGCCGTCATTGAACACTTGATGCAAGAGCGAACGTTGCAAAGGACTTCGCCCTGGGAAGATCCTGTAGAAGCACAGCCAGCGGAGCCCTCGAAGAAGCAGGTCGAGTGCTTCTACGTGCCCTTCTCGAACACTCTTCACGATCCAGCGCAACAAGTGACCGGCTCATTCGACAAGCTTGCGGTATCCGCTCGAGCAAAGACCAAGACGCATGGCCTTGCACGCAATGACAATGGACAAAAGAAGGACGATGTTGAGAACGGGAAGGATGGTTTACAGCCTAGGTTCGCTGTCGACAAGCGCACTTACAGTGTCTTCCGCAATCTCTTCTATTCGCCGCTCTCAAAAGATCACCCTGGCAATTTGCCTTGGCAGGACTTTCTGCATGCCATGGTTGCAGTCGGTTTTGCCGCGCAAAAGCTCCAGGGTTCTGCCTGGCAGTTCACTCCAACCAAGCTGAATGTCGAGCAGCCTATCCAGTTTCACGAGCCCCACCCAACTCATAAGCTGCCTTTTACTTGGGCCCGCCGCTTTGGAAGACGGCTTGCGAGGACGTATGGTTGGAGGGGTGATATGTTTCAACTCGCTGAGTCGTTGTGATCATGTCAATGGAAGAGTAATATCCAGAATTGTGGCTTTTGGTATACATGCTTACGAAAGCTCATTCTTCGTTCTTGAGCTTGTGTCACGTTATAGTTATGTTGGACTTTGGAAGTGTCAGGCGCATGGCTTGCACGCCACGGAAGGTGGAGTTCTGAATTGCTCAGGTACTTGGAGCATTTGTAACAGTCCCAAAAGACGATTATTGCAGGACTGTGTGAGACGAGCTCCACAATTTGTTATCGTTGATCAAGGACCCTGGCACGGAGCATGGAAACCTCATCTATGAGGCAAAAGGCCCCTTTCTGGGCGTGTTCAATTCTCAGTATCAAGGTCCGTAAAATCCATATCAAAGTGTGATCATGCTTTATGGTCCGCAACAGCACGCCTTCACTTCCGCCATCGTTCCCGCTAATAATATGCTACACGTCCGGCAGAAGCTACCAGCGCCGCTTTTTGAGGCTCTCGTTGAGACGTGGTTCTTTCTTTAGAGACACCATCCTCAATCTCGTCTACCAAGTCCATCGTGTTTGGCCTGCTTCCCCAGCCGTCCGTTTCTGTTTCACTACGTCCTGCAGGCGTAGCTGTGAGCACATTATCACCGTTGCAGACGCTCAGATCGTGGTCAGAGATAAAGCACTAAGCGTACTTCTGGAGCTGTTCTGGTTCCTCAGGAGTGCAAGTGGTCTGAGATTGTTTGGCGTCCACACAATTGTAGACGATCTTGAGAACTGCATGCAGACAGCTGAACGAGCTTCGTTGTGTGTATTTCCTCTGGTCGCGTCATATGTCTCAGCTGTCGATTGATTTCTCAATGCCTACATCGCCTGCAGCTAATTCTAGCCTTGGGCTCGGCAGGTACAGCATTATGTGGAAATGCGTAAAGCTGGGCTGTTCATCAAGCACGCTACACTTTTCGCCAAGTGGCACGATACCCTTCTAACTGACTTCTCGGGTATCAATCACCCGCATTACGGGAGACCGGGAGAGGAGTCCGACTACCCTTTTGATCAACCAGTCACGGGGTCAGATACGAACAAGATGCGAGCTGCTGAGACGGTACTAGACAAATTCTGGATCGAGACTGATCAGCGTTACCGCCTCAAGACAGGTACTATGCCGTACGAGCTGGACGCCGACATCATCTCTGAATGCACTATCTTTCGCACTCCAACCTAGGGGGAACGCTTGAATGGTAATCTCGAACTTGTGCCGATGAGTTTGCATGACACTAGCAAGCAGATTACTGGAACAAAGGCCGCTGAATCTATTCGTCCTGGCCGAACGATGCACTACGAACACGCCAAGACGCATTGGATGCGTTTAATCCATACGACACCCACCGCTCTTACGAATCACACCACGGGCGAGCGCATCCTGGTGAGGACAGCACCGTGGGTGCCTTCCATCTGAACGTAGGGCACGAAGATTACAGGCGGATTACATCTATCGGGCATGGTTTCCGATACTTTCTCTGAGAATGCGTATGATGTGACCAAGCAGATCACAGGGGGCTTTGCGAAGGCTGAAGCATCAGTCAAGTCAAAGACTAAGACGAAGGGCGCCATTACTGGGGACATCGGCGGAGAGCCTGTGCCCACACCTCCGGTACTTCCTGTTTAAACGCGCCAGACTGTCTTTAAGGTCGAAAAGCGCTCTCTTAAAGTATTCAGGACACTCTTCCACTCTCCGGACTCACCCAACCAGCCAGGACAAGTGGCCTGGCTTTATCTGCTCCACTCCATGGTCGCCGTGGCATTTGGCGCCGAAAAGCTTCGATCTTCTGCCTGGCAGTTCACGCCTCTGGCTTCGGTTGGGGAGCGATCAATTCAGCTCCATGAGCCTCATCCTGTCAGCAAGCTTCCGTTCGTGTTGGCGCGTCATTACCGATGGATGATCGAGTCCTTCGAGCTTGCGTATATTCTGTGTGCTTTCTGAGCCGAATTGGCGGTTCCGCCAGAGCTCCGCAGGTGCGGATCATCAGTGGTCGTACTCTGTACTGACCGGATGGGCAAGAGTCAAGGGTGTTGTGCATTGAAAGGGTCTAAGCTGTTGGCAAGGTAGTGTTGATTCGGCCTTATATGACTTCAGCGATTGGTGCAAAGGCATAAAGTCATCGCACGCATGGACTGGTAGGTGATTCTAAGGTTGAGATCGTGGAGAAGGAGCGTGCTGCATCGAAGCAGATTCAAGGCATTCCTACAACACAATTCTTAAGAGCGCACATCACTGGAGTAAAAATGCCGCAAGTGAACTCGTGACGGAGCCGATAATGCAAGGGAGATGAGCAATGTGGGATGGATGCCTGTAGAAACTCGACCGAATTCAAAAGCTGTCACTGATCACGTGATCGGCGGTATTCACCCTAGCGTGAGGTCCATGCACCTAACTGTGACATCATTTATATCTTTAATTGGCCGCGGTGTATGCTCGAAACCATCGGAGATAATTGACACGCGGTATATGGATGGCGTAGGTACGCAATCGTACTACTCAGGTGGCAACTCTACATGTCAGATCACCTTTTCATGCCGGGATCAGGCATCATATCGACTTAGTGAGATTTGGAGCCCTGCAGCAGAGCCTTAATGTACTCCACAGATGGCGTAGACCAAACTCAGCAACTCCGGAGTTGATGCTCTCGCGCGCTTGACTTGAGTGGATGTATCGGCACGGACGGGGCCTGATGGACCAAGATTCGACAGTGAGAGGCTGGGAGCAATGGAGGAGGCGTGTCTGTTAGACCCCTTGTGCCAAGATACGTCGCAACGAACATGTGCTCGCACGTTGCTCGGTATGGTCCAGTAAATGGCCATTCGCCAAATTTAGAGAGCGAGCTTACGCTTCTACCTTAAAAGATTCTGTCTCTTGGGACTCGGAGGTGGAGGCGGCGGGGTGGAACAGAAGACCGGATCTGGCCGAGAACCTGGGGAATGTTGAGCCTCGTGACCTGCTTGGCAGCATCTCAGAGACTCAGTCGACATGATAAGCAGACGAAGAAGCTGAACGCCGAGAGTTCTCAATCTTCGTAAAAACGCCTTGTGCATATTCGCTGACAAGCTTTTAACGTTGGGCTGGACGTTGGGTGCGCAATTGAAAGCGATTGTGGAGCTACGTGTGGATGCCACGCTGCGAGTACAGTAGTCTGACCCCTTGGCAAGAACACTATTGGCGGCCTCAAGACTTAATCGGCAGGTCCTCGGTGTTGAGTGAGCGTGGTTCGCGCAGTCGTGCGTCATTCACTACCGTACGCACGGGCCAGTGCACGGCTAGTCGGCAAAAATCTGGTGCTTCTCGAGCAGAGCCAAGATGATTGGAAGGTTTGGCGCGGATTGGCAGGCGTTAGAGCGGAAATCTTGGCCACCCAGGCCCTGCCCTCACGACCACGTTACAGCGATATGACCCCCGCAATACGTCATCTGGTGCAGTTGTACGATGCAGGTCGTCTGAAAACGCCTCATGAAGGCATTCAAATCCTGTGGCTATGGGTAGGAGCATGAGTGAACGATCCCCGTTGGCTCCGCCGTCGCTAAGCGGGGCATCGCTGCATGCATCCAGACGCTAAACACTCTCCAGCAGTGACGTCCTTGGGTCAGTTCCCACCTGCCAAGGGCTGGATATCTGGTGTGCTTGGCTGTCGCCATGGTCTGCCATACTACGTCCCGTCTGCGTGTCCAGGCCGAGGTTTAAAGGTTCTCAATTCCCCAGATCTAGATTCTTTGTCAATTCCAAACTTCTTCTTAGCATCCGAATGAACAAAGGCATTCGCCATGGGAGGAAAGCAACCATCACTTGAAGGCCACAAGTCTGGCCAGTCCAACGAGCCTCTGTCCGCACCGGCTCACGTTCTCGACTTCAAGCAAGTGATTGAGGAGACAAAGTGCAACCCCGACGACGGTCTCACGACATCGGAAGCCAAAACGCGACTTGACAAGTTTGGAAGCAACGATCTCGGTGACGATGGCGGTGTTCAGCCCGCAAAGATCCTGCTTCGACAGGTCGCCAACTCCATGACATTGGTGAGTCCGAATGTTTTGGTCTTACAACTTCCACTCTAACAACCCACCAGGTGCTCATCGCCGCTATGGCTGTCTCATTCGCCATTGAGTCCTGGATTGAAGGTGGTGTAGTAACCGCCATTATCCTGCTCAATGTCGTGATTGGTTTCTTCCAAGAGTTCAATGCTGAGAAGACTATGGACTCCTTGCGATCTCTCAGTTCTCCTACTGCCACCGCTATCCGCGACGGAAAGACTGTTACTGTTCCCACCATCGAAGTTGTTGTTGGTGACTTGGTCGAACTTAAGACCGGTGACACGATTCCCGCTGACATTCGGTAAGCTCAATCGATGCCACTGCCAGGATATCCACTGACAACTTTCAGTATTATTGAAGCCGTTAATTTCGAAACCGACGAGGCCCTCCTGACCGGCGAATCGCTCCCAGTCAGCAAGGATGCCGAAGCTACATTTTCTGAAGAAACTGGTCCCGGTGATCGCCTGAACGTTGCATATAGCTCAGCCACCGTCACGAAGGGCCGTGCCCGCGGTGTCGTTTTTGCGACCGGCATGTACACTGAGATCGGTTCCATCGCTATGTCTCTTCGCCAGAAGAACTCCCGCGTACGTCCCGTTAAGCGCAAGGATGATGGTAGCAGACCAAAGCCCCACCGCTACGCTCAAGCTTGGGGTTTGACCGCTGGCGATGTCGTCGGTGCTTTCCTTGGTGTCAACGTTGGTACTCCTCTCCAGAAGAAGCTTGCTCGCCTAGCTATCCTTCTTTTTGGCGTCGCTATCATCTGCGCTATCATCGTTCTTGGTTCCAACTCGTTCTCCAACAACCGCGAAGTCATCATTTACGCTGTTGCAACTGGTCTATCCATGATTCCCGCCTCTCTCACTGTCGTTCTGACAATTACTATGGCCGCCGGCACGAAGCGCATGGTTCAGCGTCACGTCATTGTCCGTAATCTGAAGTCCCTCGAGGCTCTTGGTGGTGTAACCGATATCTGCTCCGATAAGACCGGTACTCTCACTCAGGGTAAGATGGTCGCGAAGAGGGCTTGGATTCCCGCCAAGGGCACATACTCTGTTGGTGTCACCGACGAGCCCCATAACCCCACCGTCGGCTCTCTAAGCTTCACACCCAAGGAGCCCCGCCATATCGACCCAGACCAGGACGAAAAGTCCCAGACATACGAGGAACTCATTGAAGACAACCCGCACCTGATTGAATACCTCAAGGTCGCATCTCTCGCCAACTTGGCCAACGTTCACCAGACTGATGGTCAATGGAACGCACGTGGTGATCCCACCGAAATCGCCATTCAGGTGTTCGCATCCCGCTTTGACTGGAATCGCCTCCAGTTCACTCAGGGCGATACGCCCCAGTGGAAGCAGCTCGCCGAGTTCCCCTTCGATTCTGACGTCAAGAAGATGTCTGTCATCTTCGAAGAGGTCGCCTCCTCAAAAAAGATGGTCTTCACTAAGGGAGCCGTGGAACGTGTCATCTACTCTTGCGATACCTATTACAACCCCGAGAGTGACGATGTGGTCAACATGGACGACGATATTCGCGAGGAGATCCTCGCCAACATGGAGGCGCTCGCATCCTATGGTCTCCGCGTCTTGGCCCTTGCCAGCAAGGACTACGACGGCCCGCTCCCCACCAAGGGCCAGGACCTTGATCGCAAGACCATTGAGGAGAAGCTTATCTTCCGCGGTCTTGTTGGTCTCTACGATCCTCCCCGCCCTGAGACCGCCGGGTCCGTTCGTCAGTGCCAGAAGGCTGGTATCGAAGTCCATATGCTTACTGGCGATCATCCCGGAACTGCTCGCGCTATTGCCGCCGAAGTTGGTATCTTGCCCTCGAACATGACTACACTTGCCAAGGACGTTACCGACGCCATGGTCATGACTGCCACTCAATTCGACAAGCTCTCTGACGACGAGGTCGACGCCCTTCCCTTGTTGCCTCTGGTCATTGCTCGTTGCGCGCCGAATACTAAGGTCCGCATGATTGACGCTCTGCACCGCAGGAAAGCTTTCGCTGCGATGACTGGTGATGGTGTCAATGACTCTCCATCTCTTAAGCGCTCTGACGTTGGTATTGGTATGGGAACTGGGTCTGATGTTGCCAAGGACGCTTCCGACATTGTTTTGACCGACGACAACTTCGCTTCTATCCTCAACGCCATCGAAGAAGGTCGCCGTATGTTCGACAACATCCAGAAGTTTATTCTACATCTGCTCGCCCAGAACATCGCGCAAGCCTGCGTCTTGCTCATCGGTCTTGCGTTCAAGGATGAGACTGGTCTCTCTGTTTTCCCTGTCTCACCTGTAGAAGTTATGTGGATCATCATGGTCACCTCCTCGCTTCCTGATATGGGTCTTGGTTTTGAGATTGCAGCGCCCGATATTCTGGACCGCCCCCCTCAGAGCGTAAGTTTACCCCACCATACCTGCGAGTTCTACATGCTGACGAATCACTAGCTCAAGCGCGGTGTCTTCACCATTGAGGTCTTGGTCGACATGTTCGTTTACGGCCTTTGGATTGCTGCCCTCTGTCTCGCTTCATTCTCGATCGTCATGTTCGGTTTCGGTGACGGGAACCTTGGTACCGGCTGTAACGAGGGCTTCAACGACAGCTGCACGACCGTATTCCGCGCTCGTGCTACTACTTTCGCCTGCCTTACCTGGTTCTCGCTGTTCCTCGCGTGGCAGATGATTGATATGCGCCGCTCCTTCTTCATGATGCAGCCTGGCTCAAAGAAGTACTTCACCCAGTGGTTCCACGATGTGTGGCGCAACAAATTCCTGTTCTTCTCTATCATAGGCGGATTCGTCACTATCTTCCCGGTCCTTTACATCCCCGTCATCAACACCGTCGTTTTCAGACACTCTGGAATCAGCTGGGAGTGGGGAGTGGTCTTCATCGCTACGTTCCTCTTCTTTATCGGTATTGAGACATGGAAGTTCGCCAAGCGCATGTACTTCAAGAAGAAGGATCCTGCTGGTGGACGCAGGGGCTCGGTTGATCTTGAGGCTCGCGTCTTTGAGCGCTACCTCAGCACAGCGATCAGCACTGATGACGATAACGAGAAGAAATAGGTGGACTCATGTGCATAGAGATGATCGTATGAGCGGAGTTTTGTTTTAATGCTTCCAATTGGAAGTGCACTTTCGATGATGGTTCATCACTGAGAAAAGGCGTTCTTATGCATAGCTTGCGATACCTTGAGGCCTACCATGGCCTTCTCCTCTTGAAGGAATTAACGTTTTTATTTAGCCGCTAGATATCACTCTGCGATAATACCAAGATAACAAATTCAAGCTCCGTTTTCTGTGACCAGCCTCTTCGCATTACTGTAACCTCCACGACTTCCACTAGAACGCAGAGTACTGGCAAGCGAACACTAACTAACCCCAGTTTCCACAAGAATGCAGAGTCTGTAGTGGGTTGTCTCTGCTATCCGACAGACCACCCATGCACTCCGATTGCGATTGCTGACGTCTCACTTTTGCCGAACTTCCGAGAGTGTCAGTGTAAATCGCCGACGTTCAAAATTTCCATAACCAAAACTTGTTAAGAAAGCTTTGATGACACCGAAAACAAGTTTACAGTTGCGATCACCGCTGCGCTCCAGTGGGGGTTAAGACTCAGAAACCCTGGCTGCACTCAAGACTTGTGACACAAACACGAGCGTATCTCCTGACACAACAAAAGCCACACAATCTACCTCGCTGGAGCATCTTACCACTTGCCATATCAGGCCCACTGGCATTCGCAACTCTTCGCCTGCAAAAGCCGAAGGCGCACATCGCCGCTAGCCCAGAACACACTGAGAGCCCCGCTCCTCTCCGCTCCTCTGCCGCCCAGGCTGGGCACGACCAAGCCCGACAGAACCGAGACTTCTGGGCGCCGTGCACTCGAACTGGCGCTAAGCGGCTCCATCGCCCCGGCCTTTGTTAGCGAGTGCGTCAGCCGAGACAACTCGCTGCTCTTGGACACATCGTTGGAGCCTTAGATGCAGTCTTGTGCAGCTTTGGTGCTTGGAATGGCGTGATAAGACCCAATGCCTGCTTGCGTTTGCGGAGTTAGCGTGTGGGCGCGCACGGAGTTGAGGCTTGCCAGGGCCAAGCGAGCTGGCGACGTGAGAGAAAAGCGTGGCTGTGGAGGCTGAGCACTTGGGATGTGGTAGAGGGACTTGTGTGTGGGGAGAGGCGTCTTGGATAAGAGCACCTGCTGCCCTCTGCCCTCGCGACTGCGTACACGGCCGCGGAATTTCTATTTCCGTCGATTTGAGAGCTTTCACGCATCGCGAACGTGGGGTCCGTACACCCTTGACCATCACTTGAGTGATCCACCGCTATTGGGCTACATGCGTGCTTATGGTGCCGACTTTACCGATCACGCCTACGTACATACCACGCCCGAGTTGCCACTCGCAATTGCAAGGCAGACTGAGGGAGCTGGGCAAGGATGCCCGTGCTTATCAGAGAAACAGGGCTGGAAGGTTTGGCGACGCTTGAAGCACGACGATGGGACCACCATGACAACCGATCGATCGTATCACCTACAGCATTGGCCTTCTTAGTTCCTGTGTTGGTCGTATTCTTCTTTGCACCGTTGTGAGTCGACAGCACTACGCCTAGATCATAATGTGATGCTAACACCTGCGTACAGCTTATGCGTATTCTGCATTCGAAGGCGACGACGAGACATACCGGTCAGACGAAAACGTCCAATCAAACCACCAGCATTAGAACGTTCGGCAGCAAGGGAACGGCTGCAGTCGGTAGCAGAGGTATCGAACGTGATTGGAGATCAAAAGGCGGCATACGTAGCCAGGCATGACGAGCAGGTTGGCTCAGATGACGAGTCGATTTCTGACAAAGAATGGTGAGTAGTTAGTGTCTTGAGACTATACCAGAACAAAACTGACCAAGGACAGCGCGATCTGCCTCTCGACATTGCTTGCACCGTCACCACCTGAGCCTGCAAAACTGAGCAATGAGATCGGAGTCGATGAAGCTGTGATAACACCACCTAAGACAATCGAACAGGAAGAGATAATGCGATTGAATGAATGCGGTCACGAGTTCCATGCGGAGTGTCTGATCTCATGGGTCGTGCTTCACAAGAAGAGTTGTCCGATTTGCCGTACAATCTACTACCACGACGAACCCGGGAATCCAACAGATGTCGAAGCACAAGCGGCAGCCCCAGCTCAGGAGCAGATGACAGTAGTTGAGTCTGTTGCACCAGCTCAGCCTTCTGTATCGAACTGGCGTTACTTTTGGGCTGGCCGTGACGAAGGACAGAACTCCACGGGACCGGGTCTTCGCTCGGGCTTGCAGCGGCTTCGAGGGCTCCGGTCCTGAGAGAGCTTCGTGAACAGTTGACGCTGTTCGTGACCCCTAAGCGAGGTTTTGGGATCAAAGAGTCCTCGTTGATTTGCGACTTCGCTCAATGGAATCCTCTCACCCTGCAGCGCATTTGCCCGGCGACATGGTTCCGAGCATACTCTCCGCTCGCAGGACTATGTGATACCGCGGAAATCCGACGTGGATCGTCTGAAGGGATCGAAAAGCGCACGATCCGTACATTCCAGAGATCGAACGACTATACAGCATTGCAGACAGAACAAGGAGCCTACGGCCGAGACAAGTTACCGAGCCTATCGAGCGCGACTCTGGATGTGACTGAGTCACAAGACGAGAATAAGGTTTACGGGATGAACAGCAGCCACACGGTGTCCCAAACGTAAACTGTTGTAAGAGCAATGGCAGGAGGGTGACTCCGAATGTTGGACGCAGCGTATGAATGAAACCCAGATACTATTGCGAAAGGTAATCATGGCCTTTGATACTTATCAGCATATGAACACTAAGCATTGCGTGTACTTGTGAGTGACTAAGCATTGCGTCTTCCTGTAAGTGACCAAACTGTGTTCTCTAGGATACTGACAGCTTATGCAGCACCTGATACAACTTAGAACGTACGCGGATTTTGGACGTAGCTCTAGATGACTGGGCACTGCGCTGTGAAGACTCGCCTGGCCAGCTCTAACAGCAACACTGTAACGATTGCTGTTGTTTTGCTGGTTAGCCGCGGTGCGCGTCTAGTATACTACAACCTGAGTGACTGAGCTCACCTATCACGGAAGTCAACTCTCTAATGTCTCCATTTGCACTTCTCTTTATCACGCAAGGGTCGAAGTGGCCCATATTACACCAGAACTTGACCCTGGCGCCTGATGCGTTGGTCAAGAGCCTGGCGACCCGCGCTTGTTGCAAATGATCAGAGTGCATTCTGTTGAAGGCCTCCAGCCTGTAGCATACACGCCACACCTCAGAAACAGGTAAAGTCCGTTACGATGTACAGGTGTCGTGTTGATAAGATGAGAATTAACCGTGTGACATCCTGAATTCGGTTCATTTACGTCACGCCCCCGTTAGACGGCGCTAAGTGGCCTCGAGTGGAGAAATCTTATGTGAAAACACGGCGTACTTGTGATACAACAAATGTGTGACTCCCTTCTCGGGCGAAAGTCGACAGCTAATTGTCGCCACCAGTAGCTCATCCTTGGCATCGAAGGCATCCGAAGTTTGAGGTGGAGGATCTTGGGAAACCCCAAATTTACGGGCATACATCGATGGACATATCCTGGGTCTCACCGAGTCCCGTGAGCTCGCTGAGACTTCCCATACGTCCCAGTGATATTGTACACGCTCTTCTCCGGCTCCCATCGTACGTTGACATCAGGACCGGTGATGCGCAGTTCGTCGTATCGAACCTTGCCTACGAAACGGCCGATTTTGTCTTCGAATACTGATACTGACATCTTGAACATCTTCTTGGAGTGATCTGATGGGAGACCAAGGACCAGTTTGTAGATATACTCGCTCGAAACTCAACACTCGTAGATGAAGCGAGCCGTGCATCCCCTACAAGAGGACGTCCACTTGTCACGGTCAGCAGGTGCTACACCCAACAATCAGTTTGGCAAACCTTCATCTGCTTTTCGATGTCCTTCCTGGTCATCTCTCTCGCCTACCTCATCATCTTGTCCGCTTCTCCTGGGGAATATGCCTTGTGTCCAGAATAGTTGTCCACCTGGAAGATTATATTGTCACGCTGCTTTTGTAAGTCGAGGGCTCGTTGTATCAGCTCGGCTTTCGTAGGCTTTATGAATTCTTCTTCAGTCAGTGAGACCGTAGAGACTAGCGAAGGGCTGGTGCGAGCGCGTTCCGATCCCATCTCCACCGGTACGGCTGATTGGGGCCAACTAGTACGCTGTCGGAGGGCCGCTGTCGCTTAGTTCTGCCAACAGCGATGCGATGTTGAATTGTCGTGTTGAGTAGTGCAGGGAAGGGACGCGTCGGGGACGCGACTTCCGCATTTCCCCAAACTTTGATACACTGCAACGACTCCATTTCCACGTTGACATATCAACTATTGTCCACATGGGTCGTCATTATACTGATATTGATCCAGAGCCACCATTGAGCGTGACGGTCAGCTCAAGACCTTCGAGAGTTCGGGGGCATTGTTCTCACCAATGCTTGCGGTCCTTGCATTGGGTGAGTGACTTGTAGCCGACAATCCGCATTATTGAATTTCAATTGAAACTCCCTCAGACAGTGCGACCGTCGTTGAGTCTTTATGAACTTGTAGCACGGTGCTAGTCTCTCCGAATGCCTTGAAGGTCCTATTCTAATAGGAGATTTGGAGTGGCTTCACTCAAGCTTTCCTGCCATAGGACAGTCTAGCTGTACTGCGAGCGATGCATCGAAGTCAGCATAATCAGACCCAGCACGTACCCATTACACTCCTTACTAAACATTGGCTTCACTCTCCCGAATCCTTCACGTTACCAAATAGCCTATACAACTCTCCAAGTAATCCTCTAATCTTTAGCCGACCGGTTCCCCCGCAGAACCAATATACTATCGCAGTCCGGCATACCCATAAAGGCAGCTCCGAGAACGTCGGGACGACGCTGAAGATCTCTAAAGATGGTGTTGCGGAGAAAAAGCCGTGGCCCATACATTAGCTAGATCTGGATCCTCGATGACGTGTGACGCAATGAAGCGCGTCGGAACGCGATATTTGATAAAGTGCATGCGGGGTCGCAAACAGCTTATATGTACAGAGACACTGACTGCCAGTATATCTATAACTCACGGTTACAGTGGGGAATAAAGCTGTACACAACAGCAAACACCTGCGAACCATCATGTCAGAGCAAATAAAACCATTCGACCCAAACGTTTCTCAAGAGGAGGTTGATCGCCTGTTCAGGAAGCTCAAGGACACACGTCTGCCCGAGATTCCAGTTGTACCAGATGCGGGAGACGACTATGGTCCATCGCTGGAATGGATCAATAAGCTCAAGAACTTTTGGCAGGACAAGTACTCGTGGCCAGAAGCGCAAAAGAAGATCTCCGAATGGCACCACTTCACCACCGAGATCGAGAACCTGAAAGTCCACTTCATCCACGAGAAGGCTAGGACGAGACAGAAGGAGGCCATTCCTCTGTTACTCGTACACGGCTGGCCAGGGACGTTCCACGAGTATGCACCCTCTCCGGCTTTCAATACCTGAAAACCTCCAGGGTCTCCTATGGGCCGACTAACATACCCAGATTCCAAAACGTAATGCACCCACTTCTCGATCCTAAGGATCCCAAAGCACCCGTCTTCGACCTCGTCGTCCCCTCCCTTCCTGGTTTCTGCTGGTCACAAGGCCCACCCCGCGGCTGGACTCTACAAGACACCGGGCGAATTTTCGACGCCCTCATGAAGCGACTCGGCTACACCTCGTACGCCGCGCAGGCAGGCGACTGGGGCCACTGGGTTGTCCGCGAACTCGGATCCGGACGCTACAACGCATGTAAAGCGGTACACACCAACATGTGCCCCGGCGCTCCTCCAAAGGGTTACAAAATGAACGCCAAAGAGCAGGCCGCCATGGACCGCGCGAGGTGGTGGATGGGCGAACACCTGTACGAGGGCCACATGGGGTACGCAATCGAGATGCGGACGCGGCCGCAGACGATCGGTGTCGCATTCAACGACAACCCGGTGGGGATCATGATGTTCATCGGTGAAAAGTACGACGAGCTCGCTGACCCTACGATCGGGACCGCAACGCTGGACAAGGAGGAGTATGTAAACGACGTGTGTACGACGCTGTCGTTGTACTTCTTCACGCCGCCGAGCATCATGACAAGCATGTTGTGCTATTACAATAACGTCAGGCATGAGGTGTATACTGAGTTCAATGCGAAGGATGAGAATCTGATTAGGGTCCCGTTGGGCGTTAGTACGTTCCCGTATGATGCATTTCCGGTACCAAAGGCGGGGGCGGAGACGACCACAACGAATCTGAAGTTCTTTAGAGGTGGGTGTGGAGAGCTTGGTATACTGAAAATTGAGCTGACATTTTGGCAGAAAGAGATCGTGGTGGGCATTTCGCCTGTATGGAGATGCATGAGGAGATGGTCATCGATATGCGCGAGTTCTTTGGCGAATTCTACGAAGCTTAGTGGAGTTAATCGAATGCTGTTGCTTCTCGCCCAAGGCGTTGACTATGCGTGTTGGGGCGTCCCACTCATCGTACGACTGACACAGATATCAGTTCTTCGAGTGCAAAAAACAGGTTAGTTGTAAGGTCATATCCATGAAGAACTGGGAGTAAGTCCGACTCTTATGGATGACTGGGCCTTTCGATGACCACAACAGGAGCTGCCTGGTGCTGTCGCTTTCCTTGCATTAAGAGATGGAGTTGTTTGCTGCGCAACTGCTAAGGCAAGTCTGGATGCGCTATGCTCGCTTTCTTTCAGGTGTTGTTGCGTTATCAGTCGCACAAACAGCAAGGGAAGGCGCAGCTGAAGCACTTTCCTTTCATGTGCCGCGTGTCTTCCTGACCGTTTCGCAGAGTAAAGGGTACAAGCATCGCCATCGGTGTGGCAGCCACATGCATTCGTGTTGCAAGCGGTAGTCGTGGAGACGCCCTGCCTTTGTTCACTCTGCTCTTTCTTTGTGCGCAACGTTCTGGCCTACCTGAGAAACCGTATCGTACGAGGTGCTACGTTTCCAGGTAGAGAGATTAGCAGCGACGCATCGACAATATTCTAGACCGTTTCGCTGGGTGGTCGCTGGACGGTGCACTCAAAGTATTGGAAGGTGGAACCGTAGCTCTTGTCTGTCTGGATGCTAGTCCCGCTGAATGCGACAATGGCATGTCAGGGCTCAAGTCAGCATACGGCTTGCATCAGCTGAAGCGCAAAGTGAGGTGAGAAGTGAGATCTCAATGACAGTCTTGACATGCTGTGGTGAAGTGAGTAGATAAGCCAGGCGTTAAGCTACTGCATGCACCACGGTTAATTTCCGCAAGCGCGACGCATCTGTACGGGGAAGCGCGACAGCCCCCTTTACTATCCCCCATACCTATCGGACCATTCCAGGCGCTTCACGACTCGATGCTCCCTTCTTCTCCAGACGCGCTACTTGTTAGCAATTGTAGCCGCCGCACTGCTCACACACACGTTGTTTGCCTACCTGCCTGTTGAGCGCGCGCGCCACCGTCTCAGATAGCCGCCTCCTCACGCCCTTTCATTTCGCGGGGGCCGCCATCATCTCCGAGAGCCACCTCATGAGAGCTAGCTGCGCCTCTCGTCGCTATGAGGGATGACGCTACAGCAGAAGCTACAGAAGCCTCTGGCAGCGTCCTGACTGCGACAACCTCAGATCCCAGCGCGCATCACTCGCCTGCCATCGATGCGCCCTCGAATGCAGCGAAACCCTCGTCGAAGGGCCCCGCCACGCGCGGATGGCTCAGCAATGTGCGCCGCCCGCGAACGAGCCCAGGACCCAAAGCGTCTGCTCTCAGACGGACGCAGATGCTCGCCGACGACGATGATCGCAGAGACTCAGCCTTGGCGTCATCTAACTGCACCGCGACTAGCAACGCGCCCTCGTCGCCCACCAGTCTGCGCAGGACTCCAAGTCTCCCTGCCATTGTCGTCCAGGATGAGCACGTAGTGGGGTCGCGCAGTCACTCACTGGACTCGGGCGGTGCTGGTGAATCACCGTTTCAGGGCATCGACATGGACATTCCAACCGGCAGCTTCGACGACTTCACCTCCACCACCCAGATATCCTTCTCGAAACGGGGCAGCATGATGCTGGGTGGAAAGAAGGCGAACAGGCGCAGTAAACAGATCAACCTGGTACTGGAAGGAGCGAATGCGCCTACATCTCGACCTAGCACACCACCACGGATGGCAGAGCAACAGCCACCGAGAGAACAACAAGCGCTCTTGCCGCCCTCTGCAATACCCTCTGCGATTCACCTGTCGCCTACACCGCGTTCGCCGTCGCGCTTCTCTGCACGTGGTAGAGCAGGCCACCGTGTGCTCTCTACAGACGAGATGATGTTGTCGCGCAAGGTGCGCTCGATGTACAAGCACGGCAACGAGAGTGATGTCAATTGGGATGCGGAAACTAGCAGCTTGCCAGACACCTCAGCTAAAAATAGCTTTGCCTCCAATAATCCTGCGAACGAATCGACCTTGACCGTAAATCGCAAACAAGACGATTCGAGCTCTTTCGTGAGTTCGAGAGGAGACGATTATATACCCAAAGAACCCACAGAGACAGCAGGAGGACTTGAGGACTGGGCCGATCTGGAAGGGGCCGAGGTCGATAGATATGGCTTCATTGTGGCAAGGAAATCTGGCTCTCGCGAAGGCGCGAATGGTGGCGGACTAGATGGACCTGACGAACCACATATACAGCGAGTCTCAACAGCTCTACAACTTGTATCTGAAGAACCACGGCGAAAAGGCGGAATCGGACGGAGCGTTTCTCGGGCACGGTCAGCTAGGTCGACTGGGCCTCCACGGTCTCCGCCCAAGAGACAGGTATCGCAGAAGTCCTCGAAGCAGGCGAGATCGATCTTCTCGAACAGAACTTCAGGCACGCGGGCATCACATCACCCATTGCGCTCGGCGACGAACAGGTTGCCTCATAACAGAGAGCGTCGAATGCTAGATGAAGCAAGTGACATGCTCAAGTTGCCGCCAGGACTTGCACAGGTCGCCGAACAGCGAGAGGGTGGTAGAATGGCCCGTGCGATGAAGGCAAAGGAGATCGCAAGAGACGAAAAATGGCGATCCATGGCGAAGGTGGTGAAGACCGGCGCAGGGAAAGGTGGCGGCATGCTTTTCGAATTCGACATGCAAGATCCTAAGCTGGTCACACGCACATGGAAAGGTATCCCAGACCGCTGGAGAGCGACCGCGTGGCACTCTTTCCTTGCAGAGAGTGCGAAGAAGAAGCCGGACAGTCCTTCAGAAGAGGAATTGATCGAGTGCTTCTACGAACTCCAGACAGAGAGCTCGGCTGAAGATGTTCAGATCGATGTTGATGTTCCACGGACGATCAACAGACATATCATGTTCAGGCGGCGCTATCGTGGAGGGTGAGTGATCTTCCCAGTTCTGAGCAGAAGTGAAGCTAATATGCAACAGCCAACGACTATTATTCCGCGTACTCCACGCCATGTCTCTATACTTGCCAGAGACAGGCTATGTCCAGGGGATGGCACCTCTTGCTGCTACCTTACTCTGCTACTACGAAGAGGACAGAGCTTTCGTCATGCTGGTCCGGCTGTGGCAGCTTCGAGGCCTGGAGAGACTCTACGAGTCTGGATTCTCTGGTCTGATGGATGCGCTGGACGACTTCGAAAAGAACTGGCTGCGTGGAGGAGATGTAGCCAAGAAGCTCGTAAGTAGAGTCTCACCCGTACCATGGCTGAGCGCTAGCTGACTAGTCTGCAGGACGAGATGGGTATTACCTCGACCGCCTGGGGAACTCGTTGGTACCTGACTTTGTTCAACTATTCTCTGCCGTTCCAGGCCCAGCTACGCGTCTGGGACGTCTTCATGCTCCTAGGCGACGCCTCCCATTCAAACTCCCCAACATCTAAATTCAGCGGCGATCTGGATGTGCTACACGCTACATCCGCAGCTCTAATCGATGCGACGAGGGAGATCCTCCTCGATTCGGATTTCGAGAACGCCATGAAGGTATTGACCTCCTGGATCCCAATCAAGGACGAGGACCTTCTCATGCGCGTGGCAAGAACCGAATATAAGTTGCGGAAAAAGCGAGCGAGTGCTTGAAAGAGGATGCCGCTCCGATCCTTTGGACTCGACCAAATCTATGGGAAGCCGATGAGGAGCGGGATCGGGAAGTTGAGTGGGGTCCTGGCCCGCCACTCCGCATATCCTTACTTGTTTGAGCAACACTTAACGGGCCAGCGTCGATCTTCTGAGATCAGTGGCTTGACGGCGTCGCGTGCAATCAACGTGGCTGTCACGTTCCCGCGACGGCGATCCGCAAAACCCTGCTTTTCTGACAAGATGGTAAACTTTTCATCCACTTATAGCAAACTCTCCAGTACACTATTGTCACCTCGGCACAGCAGCGCAACGCCAACTTTTCGAGCTTGCGCCCCTATCGAACTTTCTTTACAGTTTCATCTTGCTGCATCCAAAACGGGTCGCAGTGTCCCGGCTGCGTCTGCTCAGCATCTCTCCTTTCTCATGGCGCATTGGGTCACATGTTCTCACGGCAGCGCTTCATAAGATACCTCTTTGTTTTACAGTCATGGTTGATGAACGGCACATATAGTCACTTGTAGTATAATTGTTAATACAACTAAAGGATATGTTCGAGATGAAGCGATTTACCCAGAAAACGTGCAAATACGTCTTGGACTCTAGCGCGAGTATAACCATGCTTCTAACAGAACGTCTTGCGAGTCGCAGACTCAACCAGACGAGGAGATACCGCACGGAACGGATCAGGCCTCCAGTTCGTGGAATGGTTGGCCTGGCAGGCGGGCACAGACTCGTGTCGCTGCCGACGCGCACCCCGCTTGATGCTGGTGTTGGACTGATCAACAGCGCCTGATCGGCTTCAGGCTAAACGCCCGCCGGACAGAGGCGGCGGGTGCTCCAGCGATTTGGGACACAGTCCGTTGTGCCGCCTCCAAGGTGCTTTTCGAGAACGTTGCACTTTGTGCTGACTGCTTTGGTGCGCGATCGGCATGATCGGCAACTTGGGGGTGACGAGAGACAAGGTCATTGGTACACAAGAGCAGATGTGATTGGGTTTGTAGACTGGACATGCTGGAACGGAGCAGAGAGCGAACCTTACTTCTCCTTGTGCATGCCAATGAAAGTCAGCAGGTGAACACGAGGACCACGTTGCAGTCGCGTGAAGAAAAGCTTGCACTGCGTAACAGGTCGAAATGGAACGTGATGAATGGGCTGTAGGGAAGGGAAGGGTGGTAGTGATGGATGGTGGCTCCGTATCGCTTCACACTGTTGGGACAGAGGATGAGGTGCTATAGGTAGCACTTCTTTCTTGCGACTGCGGGCTTGAGAAGGTAGCTTCTGTGATGCAGCGATGCAGGACCTGCCTAGGAACATATCGTAAGCGAGTTCTGGGGCAGGAAATGTGGCTTCTGGGATGCAGAATCGAAGGCGTCCGCGGCATCTAGCGGCATCTGGAGGCGTTGTTTGCGGCGCAGATGGTGTTGGCGGTGGCAGGGGAGAGCAACCTGAGTTGACAGGAAGTAACTTGGAGAGCTGCAAGCGAAGAAGTGAAGCTGCAGTTCGCCCCTCGGTTCAGCATATTCGGGGATGAATTGATTGAATTAGTTAGTAAATCGGTATTCCAGCTGCTGCCTAGACGTCAACAGGGAGGGAGTCGGTGTCAAGATTGGAGGGTTTGCTAGTGCAAAGTCTACGAAATGGGTACATGAGTACCGGTACATCGTACATCGTTGGAGCCTCAGCCTAATTGAGCGCAAGACCTACCTCAAGTGCATATCTACTGAAGCTCTCAGATTGCAATGCGGTTTGGAATGCAAAACAGGTTTCCGGGGAGCTCTCCGAGATTACTTGCAAATCGTCATGCAATTCAAAGTGGATCCGTGGTTGTTTTAACAACGTGAGCAACCTCGGCCAATAGTAGATGTAGAATGACTCCTTCCCAGGTGAGGACCTGGAAAGTTTCTTACGCCTGAGAAAAGACTATTGCCTAGCAGTATTTCACAATTCAGTCTAGGTACTGTGTGTTGAGCGACCGAGCAGTGGATATACTTGGCACGTGTAAGGTATTGAGCAATCCTGACCAATGGCAGCTGTAGGGTGGCTTTTTTGAGGACCACATGCTGCGCATCAAACACAGCTCTGGGTCTTCGCAACAGCCTGAGTAATCCTCGACCTGCTGGGTTGACGTGAGTCTAGAGCTTGGAGCGTACGTTGGTGGTGATTTATCCTGGATAGCATTTGATGTCTTCCAGAAGCTGCTACAGATACGAAGGCGGTAGGTTCTGGTACCCGGGACGTCGCAGTGCAATGCGGGCATTTCGGCATGTTCCATATGATGTACACTAACCCAGCAGGTACGATTGGGCTGCAGTCGGTTCTTCCCCGAGGGGTCTGACTGTTGACGAGGCACGGTTCAACGGGGAAGGGGCGCAACTGCCGAAAGAGGCAATCACGGATACAGATGACGCTCGAGGTGGCAAATTCGCTTCCTCCTGCCTTGCCAAAATTCGCCTCTCGCACTTCACCGGGCACGCACATCCACGCTGCGGGTCCATATCAAGGCGGTTTCACGGTCGATTGAGTGGCATTCGGCTGCACCGATGGCAACATGCACGAAAGTATTGTGTTCTCGTGGGTCAAACAACCGACCAAAGCAAAATCAACGCTGATCTATGGTCTGACTTTCCAGGGTGAGGCGAGTGATCAACAACGCGATATCTCGAAAGGGAGATGAAGGGGGAACGTTTGAGAAGAATCCGCGAAGGGCCACGCAGAGTGTGGAGTGGAAAGGTGAGAAGGACTGCAAGGTGAAAGCGGAGCCGAAGACACATCCACATGTGGGACTCATTAGTCCGGCACACTGCCCTGCATCGGTGCGCTAACCGCTGCTGCCAGACCACTACGATCCCCGATGCGAAGACGCCAGATCGTCAACTGTAGTCGGGCGTGCGCACTCTGTGCGCGTACCTAGTCCTGACACCCAAGGCGGTAGCATCGCCTGTATAGGATTGTATGGCTATCGGCTCCTCTTTTCTAACGCCAGCGTAAGCAGACCATCGTCAGCTGTGCGGATAATTCTGCTCCGACACCCCGATTTCACGATACTATCCTCGACACTAGAGCACGGCGGATCCAATATGCATGGCTACTGCAAGCCGCATCGATTGTGTGCTATGGACGCCTTGGCAACCAGGCACTCAGGCAGTCAACTTCTGTGCCTGTGTTGTCACGGAGACATTCCGTTGTATTCACACAGGACGCCTTTCAGCCACAGTGTTTTCGAAAGCCTCATTTATGCTCGTTGGACATACCCACTCTATCGCGGCTACAACAAGCACATGCATTCAGCCGCAGATCAGATGCGAGGCAGAAAGCCCTGGGTGCCCTTGGATGTGCTTCCTCCAATCGGCCACGCTCGTCTAAACACCTTGCAGCTGAGCAAAGGATATCGAAGTCCTGTTATGAATTGAGCCCCGAGATGGGACACAGATTAGGAGTCTCTACCCGTATGCAATGCACGTATTTGTTGATAGGTCGGTGCTTTAGATACGGCATCCGAAATCTCTCTGCCACATCCTTGGTCGTCTTTCCAGGCGCCTGAGAGTTTCAAGTCGATCCGCCGCAAAATCAGATCGGGCAAGGCTTAAGCGCCGACCGAAATTCACCGCTTAGTTAATTTCTGATGCCAGGTGCTCGGTGATTGCGTAACGCGTCTCTTCGAACGGGACTAACAAAGGACTGCAAGCTGACGCGAGGCCTGCAGCGGACACAACAAACTATGGGTCCCGGCGCATTCCTTCTGCGCAACGAACACCACGAGGAAGACTGCGCAGAGGGAAGATCGTCGAGGCTGCTCACCGTCCGTACGACACCTGGCCCGATGTAACACGTCGCAGTCCATGGAGTCGGTTCGTGATCGGTGGTGCCCTTATCGATTGGCCATACTACCTGCCACGCTACGTCGATCCGGAGACAGTTCTTCCAAACTGATCGATGACAGGTCTTCGGCAAGGTTTCCTGCTTCGCTCCCCGTGCTTTTTATGAATTCACGCCTAGCCGTTGGCTCATGACGGCAAGTGGATCACCTGACCGGGCTCTACACTGGAGTGTAGAACATCTACACTGGAGTGTAGAACAAGTCTTGCGAATGCGCGAGCCACAAGGCTACATTTCCACCAATTCCGTAGTCTCGGGTTGACACACACAACGCGCAGACGTTATTTCATCCGACTGCATTCGGTCCTCACACGGCTGAGTTCTGACGACGGCCATGCCCCTTCATTTCCCTTTGGGCAGCCTCATGCGACGTGAACAGTCAACAACGTCCGTGCGAGAGAGCGACAATCTCTCCAAAAGAAGTCGCGCTCGCTTCCTCCCGGACGTTTGGCCTTGCTAGGCGCGAGCGCACGGTTAAGACTTCCAGACCACAGCCGATCAGTCCGCTCCTCAATCTCTGATGAGCCTTGTTTCCAGCCACGAGATCCGGCTGAAGTGCCTGGCAGCAACTTGCTGAATATTGAAGCGGACATAAGGGGCAATGTTGGGTTGTCACAAGCTCCCTCGCGGTACGAAAGCTCTTTTGACCAAGTTCGATAACTTGAGGCCTGATCAGATGGAGCATTGCAGTGCAATCTTGAATCCGTGCATCAAAGACCAGGCTTGATGGATACCCATGCTCTTATCGGCTCGACAATTCATCCGCTCGAGTGCTTTCTGAACATGTGCATGTCTAAGCCCTCGACATCCAGTTTGCATCGAACGCGCGCAATTTGAATGATGTGACGACACGTCCGTTCAGTTTCAGGACTCAGGTATCAGTAAATCACACCTGTAGCGCTGCAAGCTGCCCTTGCTTGGCTCACATGGTGGTTGAGTAGCTTGCGGCGAATCTTAGCGCCACATACCTAATAGGAACTAAAGCCAGAATTTGCAGGACCCGGAAGCTATCTCCAGGGACGTCAGATGGCGGGAATACAAGAACACAGACCGCGGACATTGCTCAATCGTTACTTGCTGTCAGCAGCTTCGATGGTCATGCATATCCTTGCAACAATTCTTCCACTACCGCCCGCTTGACGCCACACATCGGCTGTTCTTGACCTGCGGCAAGCCGGTTCGTCTTGCTGCTGTCAAGCATTGCAACCATCATCCTCGTTGGTTGGTCCAGTTCTAGCCGGTCGTCTTCCTTTCTTGTACGTTCGTTCCCACGCTTCCCCACTGCTGCCCACTCGATTTTGCCTTCCTCCTCGACCTTACCGACCTGGACCTGATCGCCACGCCAGCCCACGCGAGCTCTACTTGGCCGCGATCGTCGTTACAGCTGCTCTCCCTTGTCACCCTTCCGTTACTCTTCGTCACCCTACTTCTGGCGCGAATCGGAATCGAGCTTTCTGCCTGTCCCACATCAAGCCTAGATCGTAGGGCAACGGCCGCTGAGCTCTGGGCCATAAGTGGACGTTGCTCCCGTGAACACGCTTCTTGAATAAGTATGTACGTTGTTCCATCTCTTTCGGGAACTTCGAAATTTGACGCCTCCCAACCGCTCATTTCGATGTCGAGTATTTTTCAAGGTTTTTGACGACCCGGCGCCACTCTCCATGATGCTTACTCTCTCTAAGCCAGCGAAGTGGGATTTCGACGTCAAAACCCATGACTTTCCCCCGCCATTTACAGCTTCTTCTACCACTCGACATTCACCACAGCTCAACGGCAGGCCATCGCCTCTCCGTTCGGCAGGGCCAAACTTCGCCATGAGCACATCACATCGTGGACTACCTCCACCATCGGCAATGACATTGCCGGATCCAGGACGTGGTCCTCCAATGCAATCTTCCATAGGGTCGTCTTCTCTAGGTGTATTACCTCCAGCACCTACCCAATGGCAAGGTTCTGAGGACGGCATGAAAAATTGGTTAGCGGCTAAGGCTGAAGAGGAGAAGAGAAAGCAAGAGGAGGAGAAGACGCGGCAAGAGAACTTGAAGTTGGAGCAGCGAAAGATCGAGCACTCAATGCTGCGGGAATCTATGCAAGGTGGCATTCCACCGCACCTTGTGCCTATCATCTTTGCTGGCATCGGGGGAGGTAACCTTGCAAACATCAGTGCCGAATGGATTCAGCAATACACCGCGCAGGTGCAAGCTGCGCATCAGCAGGCACACGCACAGGCTCAAGCACAATTGTCTCCTGAGACTCGACGGGAAACAAGACTGTTAGGTCAGCAACCGCAGACGGTATACGCTGGTCAGCCCCCAGTACCACAGACAATTCTTCCGCCTACCGCTGTGCTGCCAGGCCAGCCACTACCAGCGTCATCACAACAGTACGCTGGCGAAAGGGTACCTTCGGGTCCGAGCCATTTTGGCCCTCCCACGTCCGTCCCTCGACCCGTCCACCAGTCGCAGCTGCCGAAGCTCACAACCAACGAGATGCACATTCAGCAACCGCCATCAGCGCAACCGGGTGTGCAGCAACTGCAATCGACGCAAACCGCGCAGGAGCAGTCTTCGCCATCCATCTACTTCCACCACTGGGTACCTCCGGCATCACAACAAGAGAAAAACACAAGCGGAAACCCGCCGGCGACGCCCTCAGGTAAATACAAATCTTCGCCCTCCACCTCATACCAATCCCGTCAACGTGCGACGTCTCATGCGTCTGACCGTGAGTACATCAGCTCCCCCAAAAAGCGGAAGGCCCAAGGTCCTCACGCAGCGCCACCGCCCCCAACATCGGCACCCCAATCCTATATATCACCGTCCTTCTCGCATGTATCGTCGTCATCGACATCAACGCCCGGACGACGAGGACACGCACGAGCCCGTTCAGATGCATCTGCACGAGGTACAGAGGGTTCTATGAGCCGGCGCGGTACTGTGTCAGGTCTGGCAAACGAGACGAGACAGAACGACATTGAAGAACCTCCGAGGGCATCAGAAGGGAGATCTGCATACCATCCAGAGATCCCACATGGCACGCCACCACAGCGAAGTGACTCACGAGGCTATGTTCAGCAGTCTCCAGCAGCCAATGCCGCATCTGGCCAGCCTGAAACGCCGAAGTACGGGACGCACCAGCAATGGAATCGCGGATACCAGCCATCTCCCAAACGGGAAGCTGATCATTAGGCCAAAAATTAGAGTTCAGTACCGCGTTCACAGCCTGTTTCCGCAACGGTTGCCGTCCCGCTTTTCTACGGACGAAGAAATCGCGAGATGCGGTAGAAACGGCAGTATTCACACGTCATCTAAAAGGGACGGACGCCACAATCAATCTCATGTTTGCAGTCTCGAACTTGCAAGCATGTCAAGCGAAATGAGCTCCACAAGCATCCAAACTCCCCTCATCTTGAACTCGAGCGCACGGTCCCACCCCACCAAGGAACAGAAGCTCTCATCTCTTGAGATTGCGGCGCAATGTCGTTTACAGAAATACGCACTCCCGGCAATAGGCAGTATCGAGCATGCGGCTTACCAGTCTAATCGCCTCCCCGTCATTACTCGCGTGCTCTACCCATTTTTAGCAGGGGGTCCCGATCTGATGGCTGCACCTTTTCAGCATCCTCGCGTTCGGGATCCTTCGTCATATCCGTCTGGCGCTTTCAACTGTCGGCCTTGCCCTGCAGCGGCATTGTATGACTTCGCAGATGCATGCTATCCTCATAACAGAGTGGCTGGCGTACATGGGTCTGACAGCTTTCGCGTCCCCGCCTTTGTCCGGCTGGTTCAATTGCTGCATGTCTAAAGGGCTACGCAATCCTCGGGTCACATCATGGCGAAGTCTAAAGGCACACCGCTATGGCAGAGCAAGGCTCCGTCAGCAGGTGCTCACAGCTCTGCAACACATCTGCATGCAAATTTCGTTCTGCGGTTCAGCCTACTCCGATCATGGTCTCTGCAAACCATTCGGTCCTCATGCAACGATGCTGGCTCGAGTCCTTGCTGTAACTTACGATTGCTATGTCACGGTGCAAGTCGACATATCACATGTTGTGCCGCACGCTCGGCAGCCGTTCCGGTGTCCGTTTGGGCATGCGATGCATACCAATAACGGCTCCGGAACTATGATTGCGCGTCACTCCATTGCGTGTCACTCCTGTCTCGGGCAATGGTCTTCTTCCCATTTGACGTCTCCTCGCTTTTTCCTGTCGGCGATCTCTATCCATTTGGTGGTGTCCCTTGTCAGCGATGTCTTAGCATCTGCTGCACGATCTATACTTGGTATCTGGTATATCAGCACTACTGTAAATTCTCCACTGCATCAAGACCACACTGCAGGTCATCGGCGCTTTTACCTTCCTTCTTGTCGGCGGTGCATCCAATCGACATGCCGGCCATTGTTCACTTCGTCTTCCTTCTGGGCTTCTCTGTTGGCTGCAAATTGCTCATCGTATACCCCGGTTCCCCTACTTGATTGGTTTTGTTCTTGACAGGTGGGCTACACTGTCTCGTATTTTGTCCTTATGATCTTGCATATTCTTCCAGACGCCGTGCTGTACATATCTAGGAACGGATTTCGGATTGGGCGCGCAGTCACCTGGATAGCGGGACTGACGCATGGAGTTGGGCTTGCAGTGAGGGCCACGGTGGACCCGCTGCTTGTGTATACCACGATTTTCGGGATACATACAGAGTACAATACAGCAGGTGGCAAAGAGCTTGGCTGGACACCGCTTGTCAGAGCGGCATACCCACCAGGCTGCCAACGCATCCTGTCTTGCCTTACACGCACACAAACCCACTGACTTTCGCCTTCGGAAGTGAACATGCATGTCAGGCCCATTAATTCTGTACTCTGCTGCGTTTCAACGTACATCTTGCCACTGTTACCGACAGTGCGGATTCTGGCGCGTAGGGAGGTCTGCTCCAGGAAGTGATTGGGTTGGCGCCGGGCGTGGCGCTTCCTGCATCGCAGTGGGACGACTGATCCTTCTTACTGTACCGCGGGAAGAGTCCTCGTGCGAGTGAGGCTGCTTCAATGGTGCGATGTGTGTATAATGTGAGACGGACCCAGAAGACGGGATTGCGGTCGCGGCGATTGCGCAGAGACGGTGTACCGGGGAAAAGCAATGAACCTTGAGTCAGTCGGCAGTCTATCGTCGTAATCCGAACTTGTAGCGTGTGGAAATAACCAGACGGCATAGTTTTGGTTGCTTTCACATTTTTGCAATGTTGTCCTCCAACGATGCCGCTTCTTCGCCCGCGCCACTACACGGTGGGGGGAGTGTGGCTAATGGTGGTTGCCCCGCGATGGCCGAGTCGGCGGGTGCAAGCTGTCGGACGCCGCATGGCAAACAACCGTCGCTGCCTGACGCAACTTCTCTCACCACAAACCATAACCACCTTATACACCCTTGCACACTCGACCTGCAGCTCTACACATATAGCGCTGTTCTGTATCGCCACCAGCTTCGCCCTCACTTGACGCTACACATCACGCCCGCTTGAACCAACAGCAGCAGTCAATATGCAGATCAAGTATACAACCTAGCAGCAACTTCTGCGGCTTCGAACAACGGTACGAAAATATGCTGACATGATACAGAGTACGGACCCTCACCGGCAAGGAGATCGAGCTCGATATCGAACCAGACTACAAGGTACGCCACCTTCTACCGCCGCCACACCTTCCTCGAATCGCACGAAATATTCCATTTCACGCATACGGTTGGCGAGCTTGGCATACAAGTACATGCTGACGTTCTTCAGGTATCAAGGATAAAGGAGCGCGTCGAGGAGAAGGAGGGCATCCCGCCGGCACAGCAGCGCTTGATTTACGGAGGCAAGCAGATGTATGTTTACCTATACCGCACCACGCGCGGAAAAGGAAAGGCTGACCGATATGCACAGGGCCGATGACAAGACCGCAGCAGACTACCAGCTCGAGGGCGGTGCAACGCTTCATCTCGTACTTGCTCTTCGTGGCGGCCGCTAGAACCCCTCCTGCACGAGCTTGAAGGTGACTTGATGCTGACGTTCTTCTCGTGGCGCTACGTATACTACCTAGGCCAAAAGTGATGGGTCACGATGTGGAATGAGTCGAGTCATCGACACCAGCCGAAACCTTCGTTGATGGCAACAGTGGTTCTGCTCGTCGTGTGGATGATCCGAGGCACGATGGCAGCAGCTTGACGAAGGTGGAAGGAGAACGCATCCGGAGCTACCCGGCACTATTCATGCACGTATGTCGAGCAAGGTATAATTGAATGATTGGACCACAAGCTGTGCCGTATTTACATTTACTTCTTATGCCAGACATTCGACATTCAATTTCAATCAAGCTAGCAATCGACTTACACTGAGCAGTCCTTGGCCTACAAAGCCACTCGGCTGCTCACACGACTCGGCTGGACATCTGTGTAGTCTGACAATCTCTACTAGGCGGTCGCAGACATACTGTGGCCATTATCTACTGACACGATCCAGCACATCACAATTCACATATTGAAACCAAAGCCAAAATTTTGATCTGCTTGAAAGCCGCCGTCGAAGATCCCAATGCCGGCCGTCACGAGACTGTCGAACTGGCCCCAGCTTGTCAGGTCTGCCATGTTCGACGGTAGATAGCTCGAGTTGAACATCGTACTGTCTGGCGTCTGCGGCACGTTGCCGTTACTGTAGAAAGATGCGGCCATATCCGGACTTGCTCCGCTCTGCGACGTCGTCTCTGGTATTGTCAAAGCCGTCGAGCTTGGCTGATTCTGCTCCGTCGCACTAGTGCCAGCTATGGGGAGAGGTGATGGCTCCGTAATACCGGCCTCAGAGCGACTCTGCTGATTCGCCTGCCTCACAGCCTCCAATCTCAGCTCTTCGAGTACCACACAGTATCTTCGTGCAAGACAGTCTGTCTCGCTGATGCTCTCCAGCTGCCTCTGGCACTTCTCGCCTGCGGCAAAGTACGGCTCGCACTGTCCTGGGGTAAGGAGATGCTGTCTGATGCGGTAGATGTACAGCACGACCACAGCGCAGAATGCGTAGTACTGCGTAAACCAGAACGCCCGGAACAGGTTCGATGAAGTGAACACATCATCCACAACCCTGACGATGTTCATTGCCGCATCCAGACACCTAGCAATGTTCGCGCTCGTGTCCGCCGGCGCCTGGTAGCTTGGATGGCTCCGTATGCCTGTCAGCTTTGCAAAGTTGCTCAGCAGGAACGGGCGGTGGATTAAGAGCATCGCGTGGTAGTATGCCAGGTTCAATACGCCGCGTTGACGCTGGTAGATGGGGATGAGCAGCGAGGACTCGATACCCGCAGCGTCGAGGAAGGGTCCGAGCGACTCCCGCCAGCGATCTAAGTCGGCGGTGTATTTCGCAGAGAGTTGAATACGGTGGTCGAGAGATGGGGGCCGAATAGAGTAGAGATCCCGCAGGACGAGGGACACGATACGTGTAAGTCTAGATACTGTTAGTAAGCATGTCTCCAGATCGGACTAATTGGTGGCTTACTTGATATGCTCTACAGGCGCCATCATATGCGACGGACTCTTCGATGTAGATGGCGATATGAACTGCGGATGCAGATCCGCGTCATTGACCACAGTCGGTAATTCCTGATCGATGTCTTCGTCCTTGAACGTCCGCGGCCGTCCTAGAGCAGCGGAGAGGTACTTGTCAAGCGAGTACGCAACCCAGAATGTTCGTCTCCGGCTCTCCAACTCCACGTAGTCGATCGTTGCAGACGGAGCATACCTCCTCCCGCGATTTAACCCAATTGCAAGCGCAAGATGCGACGTCGTTCCAAACAGCGACCAGCAGTGATTGATCCTCGACTGTGTAAGCAGGTAGAAGCACTGCAGAAGTCGCGCCTGCACACTCGCCAGCCTTACCGCACCACGCTCCTTCGATAATTGGTGATCCGCCGCGAAAAAGTACCGCGCACTGTTCTCCCGTGTCGTGCTACCAGGTGGCATATACGCTTGTGCTTGTGCGAAAACGATGAGGAGGAGAGCAGTCTTCGCCGCCGCGTCTTCTTTGGCGTGCATATCGCCCTGCGTCTCGTAGAACTCGTGTACCCACTTCTCAATCGTCGGTCGGTGGATAAACCGATGTGTCGGCGCCGCATAGTCGAAGTACCGCTCTACGAGTCTCTGCGCGTCCGGCTTTGGCGGCAGCACGAAGAAGGTCGGGTCGAAGTCTGCTAAAGGCGAGTCGCCCCAGGCGAATATCGAGGAGTCCTGCGGTGTAGGTGTATTCTGGTGGAGGCGCTTTTGGATTCGGATCAGGAAGGACACGCCAGACGAGGAGCCAACGTAGTGTCCTTGCGAATCGGTCTGGGCTTGGGCCGGCTCTGGGGAAGTCCTGGATGGTGGGTCACGGTTGGAGTCCTCGGTGTTGCCGTTGGAGGGTCGGCTTACTCTTTCCAAGATTGGTCGGTCGTGTGCTGAAGGCGTACTGAGACCGTGTCCGCCATATTGGAAGGAAGGGATGTCTCTGAGTGGATTATCTTCCATGGGCGCAGAATTTAGCTTCGTGTTGCCTGCTTTGGACGCTGCGGACATGGCTGCTTCATCAACCATGACTGAGGGCAGGCGTCCGCGAGTGTACTGCGCGGTATACTCGCACGAGAGACCGGCTCGCAGACAGAGGGTGCAGGGGCATCGACCTGTGCACCGCGTTTTTTTCCTGATTATTCGTGAGCAGGGTACTGCAACACATAACATGAATGGATAATGCCATCAAGGCAAACGTGATTCAAGGCCAGCATCTCGAGCGCCCACTCGACTTACTTCTTGCATCTATCGCATGCCCTACTGACCCTAGTTCGTTCCCTCTCGTCCCTGCGCCGTTTCGCAGGCGGAGATCGCTGCTCACTCGACCCAGCATTCGAGGGCGTGGTAGCTGAGGTTGCCGCGCCCTCCGCAAGGTCGTTGTTGTGGTTGAGAGCTACCCATGACGAAGGACTGTTTCCAGCATCGGACGGTGCTATCGGCGGACTCATCCCATTGCTGTCCATCGCAAATGGTGATCTTCGATAGGCGATACTTGGGGTGGATAATGACTCCGGAAATCGTGGGGTCGGAAAAGCACACGTTCGTGTTGCGACTCATGGACTAGCGTTGGGCGACGGTGGGCAGTGCCGATCCCAGCCGCGGGTTGTTGGCCACGTTCACCATCGTTCATTCTCGCGTTTCCGGGATCTGAAGAATACAAATGCTTTTTCACGGGCAGTTATGTGCTTCAGGGCATCCGAAGTACTTCGCTACCTCGCTATCTCTACAACCTCAAGAATGACGCGCATATTGCACTGAAGGACGTCTGCGCCGAAACCGAGCCGCATCTTCGTCGGGTGCCTGAATCACTTCCTCTTGAACATCGGGCCGTCCCAGCCGTACGCATGCTTGAGGCGTCTTCAGAACTGCCTCGCAATGTTATACCGAATGTCAGTATCTGGATGTGGCTGATGGAACTGGATACCTATCGACAAAGCGAGCTCAGCACAGGGTGTAACTGCTACGCTGATCCATGCAACTGCTGAGCAGAACGTCCACGGGCTCAGACAACAGGGCCTCTGTTAGACTGCCAATTTCAGAATGGATGAGGGATGTCTCGTGATTCTTTGCACTCCAGCGAGCGCCAAGGTCATCCTCTTGACGCCCTCGCATCAAGCTTATAGTCTCTTTGTGTGACTTGACTTCGAGGGCAGCAGCCTCTTGAGCCAGCCTTTGCGCCTCTCGTTGCGCGCTCTGTGTTATTATGCCTCTCACTTCCCTCATACTTCTTGCCTCCACACCTTGGGCGTAGAACTGAGCTTGTCTTCTGTCGTCCTCCAGTTGCCCAGTGACGGCTTGCCACTTGTTGCCCAGGTCACGAGCGACTTTGAGCACTGACACGAGTATCAGCCCTGTACCAGAGACATAATATCGTTTGGTGCTCATGACCGAACAAGAATGTGCTGCATCTCAGGAGAATCGGTGAAGACCTCGGCGTGGACGTGATATCCTTCAGCAGCCGTCCTGCTTTTTCGAGTATCTCGATAGCCTGCTCTATCTACGTCCCACACTTTGGGCTATCTGTAGAACGATTTGAGCACCTTCCCAGATGAGTTCCATCGGAACATCCGGGGAGCATTCAGGAATCGCCTATGTAATAAGGATCATTGTTTGAAAATGAGAAACTTGAAGACGGACCTCTATCTAGGCGTGGAACCATGCTCAAGCGAACCAAGGGATCAGGTCCGGTGACGAAGACGAAGAAGGGTAGGAGCGACGATTGGCTCGTCCTCAACCAGTCACCACATCACACCAGCAGCAACATGCCATTACAGTCATCATGGACAATATTCTTTCTTTCACTTGTAATCGTGTTGATAATTGAGCACTTGCATTACGCTACCCCTGTTTCATCGCACTGTAAAGACCCCATATCCCAGTGCCACCTGCCTGAAACCTCACATCTAACTTCGCCAGACCCGAAGGCTTTGTAGCATTTTGCTGATCGAGTATCGCCGGGCCCATGATATCCGCAGTCTGGCTGCTCTTGATGATCTCGTCCAGAGTGGCTTTGCGCATAATCGGGATGGCCATGTTACTATGCATCTTGACATTCCACACGAGCAAAACGGAACCGCACAGCAGGATGACGAGCGGCAAGATGGTCAATAAGATCGGCTTACTAGGGTTCATTTTGACGACGGCGAAGTAAGAGGGGAATTGGACTGTGCTGGGGTGCTCGGGGTCGTTGGTGTAGCTCCACTTGTCCACTTCGCCGAGCATCGATGCGCCCGTTGAGACTCTGATGAAGTTCTTGATGTAGTCGATTGTCCAAGCGCTATTTACGCCTTCATCTGTCGATGTGTAGCGTTCGGGGATCCAGTTTTTCGTGTACGAATACATTGGTTGCGTACCGTACACGTACGCGCCGTTTGCGACAGGAGCGACAGCAAACCATAAAGCCACCTCGTTCATCTTTCCCACGTATTTCTTGTTGGGCGGTCTGCCTTGACCGATTACGAAGATGTTGGTCATGGGATTGATCGATACAGCGGGTCCAGGAGCGTCGCCTACAGTGAGCGTATCTTCCATCATCTCCACAGCAACGTCGCATGCAATGCTTGTGACGTTCGCCATTCTTGCATCATTCGGCATGTTTTTGGTTGTTATGCCACCCTCAATGCCTCCCTCCAGAGCGGCAAATATGAGTGTCGCTGTTGTCTTGTTCGCGTGGTCGAATGTGTAGTTGTGCACCCAGACTGCGAGCTTTCTGACATCCCGCACCTCGACAATCTTATCGTGTTGCCATAGTGCATCAACGCGCCCGCCACTAGCACCTTCCCGTGTAGGCATGCTGGTATTGAAGGTCATGAAATAATCTCTTCCCAACGTGATCCAATCGTCGTTCGGTGTTGCAGCCCAGCCGCGACACTCGATGTCTTGTTGTATCCGGACAGTCTCGACTGTGAAGTTTCCTCTTTTCGCCATCAGTCTGCGGTCGATAAACCAATTTCGGTACTCCGGAAGCGGCTCGGTAGCAAAGTTGCCTTGCCAAGAAGTGTACAGTGTGCTCGATCGCTCACGTACGGGACCCGGGGGGTTGGACTGGACGTAGTAGACGCCAATGCCACCACCTGTCTGTAACTCACCCTGATACTTCACTGTCATATTTCCTCTATTGTACACCTGACCTACCATGGGCGCAGCAGCAAGTGGTGTAAGAGTGATGACAGCAGTCAAGAGTAGTACCAGAGCTGAGTCCAAAGTTCGAGCCTTGAGCAAGGCTCTAGGCGTAGACGGTATCGATCCACGGCTAGCTTCTAGAAACGTGTCCATCTCGCCAATACTGAATCGCTGTTGATGAAGAAGTGGCCATAGCGCTGCTTCTGAGAACGAGTGTGCTGAGAAGGCCAATGCCGCAAGACCAATCGAGTATATCGCGGTGACAATACCCTGTACGGTACCGAAATTTCGATACAGCAGCTGAACACGATCCGAAATTTCACAATCGAGAGACCAGGTCTGACATACGGGCAGCTGGATGCTGAACCACCGAGTGAACTGGATGACCAAAGCAGTGGAGACGAGTCCCAGTACGAGTGCGAGAGCAACGGTGAGATTGCGTCTTAGGAAGAGACCGAGACCACGTCGCTTCGTTTCGCCTTGAACAGTTTCGAATTGTACGTATGGCGATTTGTAGGGTAGTGGAGAGAGAATCTGGTGCGACATGGTTTCTATCGACTATCAGAAGATGTGAGATGAACTTGGGCGTGAGCGTGTGAGGCTCGTCCATGGGGCCCGAAGACCATTGTATTTATGCACACGGCTCGAAGTTACCTGCGGTACAACGAGCGACTTGCGAATAGCGAACAGCGTAGTACAACTGCCAGTTGCACGCGACGTGCGAACAGCGAACAGCGAAGTACAACCACTGGTCGGGTGCGGCTGAAGCTTCGAGGCTGCAAAGTTAGGAATGCAGCCACAAAAGCCGTGCCAGCCTCGCAAAAAGGTCCCGCTCTGGCGAAGCTTGAGTTCGGGCTTCTATCATCCCCATAACAGTTCAGCAAACATACTGGACTGAACAAAATCGCTTCCGAGAACAGGGTCCGGGCGATCAAGCATATGGTGAAAGGTGAGAGGAGAGGGAAGCCTGCGGCCTCGAGTCATGGGCTTGTATTGGGGCACGAACCGGAGGCTGTTATCCTTTGACTAGCTGCGGCGCGTGCGACCACTGCAACTGCAACAACACTCGTTCTAACGTGGCCCAGGGGACAACAAGAAGATCTCAAAGAATAGTAACATTACGCCTACATCGGAACAATACCATGCCAATCATCTCTCATCTATCGTCTTGGGGGTATACAAAATGCCAAACAGATTCAAGCAAATTGACTCCGCCACATATTGCCATCCGGTATCCACATTGCACATTATTTCCAAACCTCGTCAATCATTGGTGTCACTGCACCTCTGGTCCCCGCGCCTTCGACATCCACAGCTTACAGACGTGACCCTTACAGGTGTAAACCTTACAGGTGTGAGCGTCACAGATGTGGACATCTACTGCTCCTGCTGCTGCTGAGCGTTGGCCGGGTTGCTCGCACCAAACAGGCCGCCGAACCAACTCTGTCGGTTTGCAGCCTTGCGCGCTTTGCTCGCCTCCTCTTCGTTCTGCACCAGACGCAGGGGGCGCATGCCCTTGCCTGTCATCGGGCCGGATGTATCGCTCCTGTCTAGGCGTCCGCGTGGCGGGGATGGTGTGTCAACGTGTCCGCTTGCACCGGCCGAAGTGCTTGTTGTGCCGGACATGATGCTGGCGGTGTCAACCTCCCGGTCTTCAGGGATGTTCTGCTGGCCTGATGCGGCGCGGGATGTCGGGTTGGAGCCGTTCTGACCGGCGATGGGGATGCCGAAGAAGCTGTTCCTTGGGCTGACGAGGCCGGGCGATGTTTGGCCGGGTGTTGCGGCGGGAGGAGGCATGCGGTACATTGTGTTAACGATGTTAGCTGCGTCGGGCAGGATGGAGGCTGAGCGGCGGTGAGGATTGCCAGCACTGGGAGCACGCTGCGCGATAGGGATGCTGGGCGCGGTGTTGGGGTCTTCGTGGACTGCTGCTGATGCGGGTGGGCCCATCAAGGATGATGGACGTTGCTTCTTGGGACCAGCGCCGACGACGGATTTAGCGCGTTGGAGAAAGCCGGTAGGTTGCTCGGTGTCCTTCTCAGGAGGCGGAGGGGGAAGGTCCTTGTTGGTGTTGGGCTTGTCATCGAGGTCATTGCCCAACACGGACTCGAAGCCCTGATATGTGAGGAGACGGCCGATAATCTTGTTGATGTAGAGCGTCAGAGCCTTGTTCTGGTCCTTCATGCTGTTTACCTCGGCCTCGAGCTTGCGGACGAGCTCAACATCTGGTGCCTCCTCGGCTTCCTCCAGCTCATCTGCGAGACTGGTCGATGGCCCCTTACGTGACGAAGGGCGGTCCTCGTTGTGAGAGGAATCGCGTAAGAAGTCGCCGCGGCTCAGATCGCCGTTCAGTGTTTTCTCGCCCAGCAGAAGCTGGAAGCTCTCGTTATCTTCCATCAGCCTGGCGTTCGTCATACGTGTCTCGAGCAGTTGCCTCTCCAACTCGGCGGTCCGGCCACCACCGGCGTTCTCAACCTCGAGCACCTTGACCTGGTATTCGGCAAGCTCGAGGCGCAGATCTTCGATGATCTTGTCCTTCTGGTGGATGAGCTTCGAGTTGTTGCGCGAGTTGCTGCGCTGGACCGAGTTTGGTGGGGCGAAGTTCTCGAGGTTCTGAGACGAGTTGGTGCGCGAAGGGTTGTTGCGGAAGCTTGCTATCAAAGGCGTCAGGGTTAAGTGTTCATGCTGTAGGGTACAACTTACACGTACGCGACAATGGGGCCTCGCCGTCCTCAACACCCTGGACGTTCTTGGTGGCCATGGTTTCCTTCAGCCGTTGAATCGTCTCCTGGAGCTCTTCCTCGCGCGCCTGCATGCTCTCCTTCTCCTTCATGGCCTGGGCTCGCTCGGCCTCGTAGATGCCCTCGAGCTCTCTGTGCTGTCGAACAACTTCCTTCTTCTCGTTCTCGAGGGTCTCGACCTTCTCTTCTTCCTCGTGAGCGCGCTCCTCGAGCTTCGACTGCTCGGCGTGGGCCTCGTCCAAGCGTGCATTCAGCACCTCGATCTGCTTCTGGCGCTCCTCGGCCTCAGACTCGACCTTCTGGAGGCGCTCCTCAAGATCTTGCAGGTACGCGGCCTTTGCCTCGGCGGCGGCGCTGTCCTCCTCGGTGGGGCTGTCGACCTGCGATGAGTTCCTCCTCAGCGTCGAGGGTGGAGCGGGCTTCTTGACTGATGCGCGCGCTGACACGGGCGTTCCGCTGGCACCAGACCGGACAGAGCGCGTCCTGGCGACGCCGCCTGGTGTTCCGTTCGTTGTCGGTGTCGAAGAGCGTGCAGGCGTGCGGCTCGCCGCAGCAGGCGAGGACGAAGAGACCCTCGAGGGCGTGCTGCGCGCTGGGGTGCCTGTGGCCGGCGGCTTGTTTGCTGTTGCTGTCGACATGGTGTACGCTGTGTGGTGGTGGTGTGGAAGAGAGAAATTGTAGCCAATGCGGTCCAAGAAGAAGATCAACGCGCTCAAGTGAATGTCCAACGGCGGCTCACTGGCGATCGTCGCGGCTGGGGAGCTTGGCTGGCTTGTTGCGTTGGCCCTCGTACAAATCTAGCACACTTGCTTTCGCTGCGCGTTGGCGTGACTGCGCGAGGGATGAGTGACGTGAGTCGACAAGCTGCAACTGTGTGTGTTTGCAAAAGACCAAGTAACCCCGTATCAGTTTAACAAGGTAATCGCAATCACATGGGCCTTGTGGAGCATCTCAATTTCAAGTGCAAGCAGCGGTCCAGTCCACCGCCTTTAGGGGGTCCCCTGCATGCGGCGCTAGTCGCACCTGCGCGTGCCGCTGCCCTGTCGAGGACCCTCGACCGCCGCCTTCTTAAACCAAGCAGCCCCCTGCAAAACAGCGACTCGCTCCAACGGCGCACGCAGGTCGAGTGACAGCGCACCGCCCACTAGTGACTGAGCGCCCGGGCAACGATACTCGCGCTGTGGAGATTACTCTCCCTTGAGACCCGGGAAAAGTTGCTGGGTTGCTGCTCAACACGCTTGGAGGGGCTCCATCCCAACCCATTCCATTCGTGGCTGGCTCAACAGGCGCAGTTACGTTTTCGGCGTGTTGACGTTCTGGAAGCTCACGTGCCCATACTACCCCTGAAGCGGCACACGTTGGCGATGTGGAGAAGGCTCGGAAGAGACTCAGATGCTCTGCTCGAGTTGTTTTGGTATTCTATGCCTACTCGATGCAATGCTTGTACAAACAGATTATACGACAGTGCTGTACCCTCCACCGTACCCTCTTCTTGCTTGGTACCTGACGTATGCTTTCCTGCCCTCGTCCACCCAGAACACGCTGCTCGCTACTGCGATAAGGTGCAGCAAATCAAAAATACCCAGCGCCTCTGTCTGGAATACATGTTGTAGTGGTGGGAAATAGATGACAAGCAGCTGTCCAATGAGTGATCCAGAGACAGCGTAGTTGAACATCTTGTTCTCGAAGACGCCAATCTCACCAGTGAGCACTGATTTCGTGGATGAGCGGCAGGTGAGGGCGTTAAACATGTCGAAGAGGACAAAGCAGGTGAACGTCATGGTGGTGTCGCGTGCGGTGACCTCATTGTCGATTGTCATCTCGCGGTAGTAGGTCATCAGAGTGCCTAGCATGATGATTGTCGCAGACTGCAGAACGCGCTGGATGAGTTTGCGCGTGAGTACACGAGCGTGTCGTGGACGAGGAGGCAGAGCCATGACGGCAGGATCGACTGGCTCCACACCAAGAGATTGAGCCGGTGGACCGTCCATCAAGATGTCTAGAGCAATATTAGCCGTATGTCTTCCAGGCAGGAAACATGTACTCACTGATCCATAGAATCTGCATGGCGTTGAGAGGGTTCTTGAAGCCAAGAAAGGTACTCAACAGAACCAGGCTCAACGCCGCCGCGCTGGTGCTCAGCTGGAATGTAAGGAAGTTCTGGATGTTATAGAAGATACCCTTGCCTTCTTCCATGGCGTTGAGGATCGTGGCAAAATTGTCGTCTGTGAGAATCATATCGGCAGCCTCTTTGGCGACGTCTGTACCCAGTTTGCCCATGGAGATGCCAATGTCAGCCTTCTTCAAGGCGGGTGCGTCGTTGACACCATCGCCAGTCATGGCAACGACATCGCCCCGTGCTTGGAGTGCACGGATGATCTTCATCTTGTGTTCCGGACTGGTGCGTGCAAAGATGGAAGTAGTCGCGATTGCCCGAGAGAGCTCTTCTTCGCTCATCTGATCCAGCTCGTCACCACGGATGACGGAGCGCCCAAGTGCTGAGTCGGGATTTATTGGCATGCCCAGACTCTTGCCGATGGCTACAGCAGTAGTCTCCGCGTCTCCTGTGATCATGATGACCTTGACCTTGCCAGCCATGAGGCGGCGAATAGCCCTCTCCACACCCTTACGTGGAGGGTCGCTCATACCCACGAGACCAGCAAAGACCAGTCCACGATAGTGTTCGTCGTCGCCCATCGCAGAAGCTGATGACGCAGCTGGCGTTGATGTGCCACTGCTGCCCTTGCTGTAGGCTGTCCCACTTGCAAAACCTAGTACTCGCAGGCCTTCTTGTGCCATAGAGTCGGCAGCTTTCAGGACTTCTTGTCTGCGCGATTGATCTAGATTTGTCTCCTTTCCTTGGGCGTTGACGTATGTGGCACATCGATCGAGTACCCTTTCGATGGCACCCTTGATGTAAGACACGTCTGAACCTGAGCTCCCACTGATGACCACGCCCATCCATTTCCTCTCAGAGCTGAACGGGGTTTCAAACTTGCGCGTGCCCAGTCTTTCGCGGACATCGCCTTCGGAGAAGGCATCGAGCAGATCCAAGAGGGCGACATCTGTAGGTTGACCGACCCACCGACTCTTTGCCAGAGAATTGTCATCACCCATCGTCGATGACAATACTGCAGCTGTCGATGCAGACGCAGCTTCGTCGCTCAGCAGCCGGGCGTTGTTGACGATGTTACCAATTCGGAAGATGTTCTGGGTCGGAGAGTCAAGGTTGTCTATATCGTGCTTCTTCTTCAGGTCGACTGGGGCAGCCTCGTCGAAGTGCCATAGTTTCGTGACCGTCATGTGATTCGTTGTGAGGGTACCAGTTTTGTCGGTGCAGACCACATTGACTGATGCCAATGTCTCGACGCTAGGCAGACGTCGTACAATCGCGTCTCGTTTCGACATTCTCAGCACTCCCAGAGCGAGCGTAACGGTAACAATGATTGGGAGACCTTCGGGAATAGCAGCAACCGCAAGTGAGACGCCAATCTGGAAGACTTCGAGAAACTTCCAACCCCTCCACAGTCCAACGAGACCGATGAACGCGATAACAACGAACGACATGTAGCTGAGATCCTTCCCAAGTTGATCCATGGAAAGCTGTAGCGGAGTACGCGGGCTCTCGATCTCCTGGAGCGATGCTGAAATAGCACCAAACTCGGTGTTGCCGCCTGTCCCAATAACAATACCCTGCCCATATCCAGAGCGAACCAATGTGCCCATGAACGCAATGTTCTTCTGGTCGTTCAGACGGATGTCGGCGCCCACAGTTCCTGCACCCTCAGAGGCATAGAAAGGCGAAGGTGCCCGCTGAACTCCTGATGGTCGTGCGATTGTATCTGGTGTCTTGCTGACAGGCTCGTTCTCTCCTGTCAGGTTCGACTCGTCGATCGAAAGGTCTGCGGCGTGCGTGATTCGAATATCTGCAGGTACACGGTCGCCGGTGTGGAAGAGGACCAAATCACCCGGTACCAGCAGCGTCGCTGATATGGTGGTAGATTTTCTCTCAGCTGCTGCCAGCGCGGCTGTTGTGTCCTTCAGTTCGTCCAACTCGATCCCAACTGTCGCGGTGCTGTTTGCGCGTGATTGCTCCCGGCCTGCTCGGATGATGTGTGCAGAGTGAGGTACCAATGAGTTCAAAGCCTCCAAGGACTTCTCAGATCGGTACTCCTGAACAAACCCAACAGTAACAACGATCGTGACCGCTGCTGTGATGCTGATTGCATCCTCCAAGTTTCCCAGCATTAATGACACAGCCGCTGAGCCCAGCAGTAGCAAGATCAGTGTCTCTTTGAATTGCTTTACGAATCGAAGCCATAGTGGCTCAGACTCCTCGTGCGGGAGTTCGTTGCGGCCGTGGATGTGTATACGCGCCGAGGCATCGGAAGAGGAAAGACCGTGGGTCTCTGATGTCTGGAGTCTTTGCGCGGTTTCTTGGTGGGATAGGATTGAGTAAGAAGCGGTTATGGACTGCTTGGGCTGGTCTTCTTAGCTACTGCTCTGATCATTCGAACGGTTGCAATTACCGTAGGTGTACCGCTCCGCTTCTGTACCTGCGGTGGTTGCAGGTGCGGAGAGCTAGGGCACGAAGACTTCGAGCCCCCATTGGAGGCATGGTACATTGGTAGTGACGGTGTCGGGGCCCTGGACATGTTGGCATATCCCAGGGACAGCTGATGCGCGGCCGTCGAACGTGGCCGATGTGGCGCAACAAGGATGTACAGAGACTTTGTGCTCGATTATTGCATCGAGCCTGCTAGAAAGACAAATGCAATGAATATGCAGGGATAACCACAAGAAAGGAGCTCGCAAACGTGCTGGAAATGGTGTTGTTCAGCGTTTGAAGGGCCACTTGGACGTAGATCTCAGTGTCCAAAACGTCAAAGCACCGGCACTCTGCAGCAGGGGTCACCAGCGGCGATCTATCCGGAGGCCTGGACGAATTCACGCGTTTCATATTGCCAAGTCGTTTGACCAAGAGCTTCGTAAAACAGTGAGGTATCGAAGAGCCGCATGCAGTCCAACTGAGAAGTGTCCCCAGCGGTTTGCACCTGTGCGCCGCATCGAGAAGTGCCACAGCACTGAGGCTTGACAGGTACTGAGTATGCTCATTCCCGCGTCAAGTGATGGCGCGCTTTCCATATGCATCCGTGATGTCATGCGCCTTGGGGCCAGGTGAGAGAAGTGCGCTCAGTAGAGCTCAGTTGTCTCGATTGTGTGCGCCCTTTGTAGGCCCATGGCATGTAGTATTGCGCTCTTGGTAGTATTCTGTAAAAGCGCTGCCTGCCTCCAGACCGTGAGAAATGCACTGCAATTATAGATCACCTTCTTCATATCGACTATCCAAGCAGCTACTAAGGATGTGATGGACGTTGTGTTGCCCCGTCGGCTGGTTGCGGCACGGTGGTGGCTTCAAGGCAGCCGTGACATAAGCCGCGGTCGTGATGTCCTCCAGCCTTCGAGGCTTCGACCAGCCTCGCGACACAGACCACCCACCCCTACGCGCATCCGCAACCTCATCGCTGTGCAACTTTTCGTGCCTTTCACTGCCATTGCTACCTTGCGCGCATCCTTGGCAATAAAATCTGAAGTCGTCGGCGCGCGCATACCATTCGCGCATCCACTTGCTGCCGACGCGCCGACGTAAACAATAACGCCTCCGACGCGTCCACCTTTTCACCCCGCGCAGCCGTAGTCTGCACCCACCACCACAATGTTCCTTCCCGAGGACCTTCTGTTCAAGTCGGGCCAGCTTGCTCGCGTCTGGCTCGCCGCCAACCAGCACAAGAAGCTCACCAAAGCTCAAGTCTTGCAGGACAAGATCGATGAAGACATCCAGGTCATCATCCGGCCCGAGGGAGCTGCTGGTGGGCCTTTGGCGCTGCGATTGAACGGCCAGCTATTACTCGGTGTCGTGCGCATCTACCACAGGAAGGCGCACTACCTGCACGATGACTGCAACGACGCGCTGTGGAAGATCAAGATGGTACGTCCAGTCCCTCTTGCTCGCAGCATTGACTAACACGCCGTAGGCCTTCCGCCCAGGCAACATCGATCTGCCCGCTCAGACACACATCGCCAACCCGACCAGCCTGACATTGCCAGATATGATCACGGATCTTGACCTGTTGGCGCCCATGCCTGACCCATCGCTGCTGTTGTCGCAAACCCTTGACGGAGATCTTACCTTTGGAAATACCACATTGCCAGATTGGGACGCCAGCCAGTTCCTCTCCAACAGCGTCGAGCAACCCCGCCACGAAGAGTTGGAACTGCAAGACATGGACGACCTCGAGATCGATCTGGGAGAGGACCTGGGCCCGGAGGTAGAGATCGGACGTGACGCGCCGTCTGAGCTACCTAGAGACAACGACTTCGAGACGGACCTCAAGCTGAACGATGACGAACTTGACTTTGAAGTAGATCTTGGCGAAGGCTTGACTGATCTGCCAGCTGCTGGAGGCACTGAACTCAACATTGGCGTAGACACTATTATGGGCGGCATGGACACAGATCTTCCGCTCCCATTGCCCGAGGATGACGTTCCTCAGCTCACCCGCGAAGACTCTCCGTTGTCCGAATTGGACGCGGACGAAGAGACTCGTCTCGCACAGGAAGTTTCCGAGCGGGATCCAACTATGGTTGAGCCCGAGCAGGAAGAAGAATCGATTCACCAGGCCAGAGCCAAGCGCAGAAAGGTCATCACACAGGATGCTGAGACCATGATATCGACCGCTCAACTCAGGGATCAACAAGCAAACCGCGAGAAAATTTTGAAACAGGCCTCCTTCCTTCCCCGCGATCCGCTTCTGATGGCTCTTCTTAACATGCAGAGATCCGGGGGCTTCGTCTCGAGCATCCTCGGCGACGGTCGCAGTCAAGGCTGGGCTCCTGAGCTGCGAGGCATCCTGTCGCTGGAAGTTGTCTCGCGGCCTAGTAAGCGTAAGCGAGACGGGGCTGCCGCTGGGCTGGAACAGGCTGAGGAGGAGGAAGAGGAGGAGGGCGGTATTCCACAACTCGACATCGAGCAGGATGAGCCCACGCTGGGAGGCGATGCCTTCGATGTAGGCGGCACAACAATCGCCGATGATGGAAGCATTATCCAACTTCCCAGCGATATTGGTGCGCGTCCGGAAGAGGAGGACGAAGATGCGTTCTCGCCTGTCCCTGACAACTTCGACGACACAACCGCCCCGCTCTACCACCCAGCTGAGAGTGGCCCTATCTCGCTTGGCACCAAACACGCCGTTCATCTTCTGCGAGAACAGTTTGGACCCGAGGCGGAAGAGAGCGAGTCGATACGACAGAAGAACACCATCGTTTTTCAGGAGCTGCTTCCCGAGGCCCAAACATCGAGAGCCGACGCCACTAAGATGTTTTTTGAAGTCTTGGTTCTTGCCACAAAAGACGCCATCAAGGTCGAGCAATCAGGGACCGAGCTTGGAGGACCCCTTCGCATCCGCGCAAAGCGCGGTCTTTGGGGACAGTGGGCTGAGACTGCTGCAAGCGGCGAGCTGGCATCTCAGAGTCAAGCTATTGCGCAGACAACAGCAGTTGACTCCCTCGCTGAAGGTATCCTTGCTGGCCCAGCAGAGGTATCTGTCTCCGCGTAAAAGTTCTTTGTGGTTCGATTCACTGCGCTAGCGACTTCATTTTGGGGACCTTGGTATTCATAAGGCGGCGTTGGCCGGATACCCACGCTGTGTATGGCTTTGCTTTTGTTTTAACTCCTTTGGGTAGGCGTACTACGGCGTTTGTATGGCTCATTGGAGTGCTTCTAGTAGGATAACAATAAGGGACAGTCTGTAGCAACGCAACGCATTTCACAATTACTTCACGATCGATCCATAGAAACTGATCTTGAACATGGCGTCGGGCGCCAAGGGTTTGGGTCGGAATGGTTCCGAACAGCACGAAAAATTTGGGCTTCATCACCAGTCATCACTCTGATGCTAACGCACTATCCCCGCATACCAAATGTCAAAATCGCAAATCACGTCTTCTTCTACTTCCAAACACGTGCTCTGGTGCAAGTCGCCGCATCAGGGTCCTCGACCTCTCTTACTACCGCGCTGAGAGCTCCGACCGCATTGCTCACTCGGACACCCACACTTTTACACACTTCAGCAACCACCCCAAGGTTCTACAAAAGAATGACCGCCAACATGGCGACCAACATACTCGCTGTCGACCCACAGAAATTGGGAAATATCACATTCACCGAAACCAAGACAGACTTGATCGAAGAATGGAACATAGAATACGCGGATGGGCAAGACTACCAGAGTCTCAAGAGAGCAGCAGAAGAGATCGTGAACACAGACACACCGGTCGCATTTCCGACCGAGACTGTGTACGGACTAGGGGCAGACGCGACAAGAAGCTCAGCGGTCAAGGCCATATTCGCTGCGAAGGGGCGACCTTCAGACAACCCTCTCATCGTACACATCCACTCACTGCCACAGCTGCGCGCGCTGCTGTCCGGCAAAGACGCGTCGCTCACAGGAAGCGATCCTATCCCCGCGATTTACAGACCGTTGATCGAGCGCTTTTGGCCTGGACCGTTGACCATCATCCTTCCAGTACCGGAGAACACGGTGCTTGCGCCAGAAGTCACGGCCGGTCTGACGACGTTCGGCGCACGTATGCCGCGCTCCATACTTGCGCTTTCCCTCCTACGTCTTTGTGGTCGCCCTCTTGCCGGTCCATCTGCGAACGCTTCCACACGACCCTCTCCCACGGCAGCCGAACACGTATACGACGACCTGCAAGGGCGTATACGCACCATTGTAGACGGGGGGCCCTGCGAAGTGGGCGTAGAGAGCACAGTCGTGGACGGCCTATCGAGCCCACCGAGCATATTGCGACCGGGCGGCGTCACAGTGGAGCAGTTAAGACAGTGTCCAGGGTGGGAGAACGTCACTGTTGGGTACAAGGACAAGCAGGAAGGAGGCGCCAGCAAGCCAAGGGCCCCGGGTATGAAGTACAGGCACTACAGCCCGAAAGCGGAGGTTATTCTATTCGAGGCTGGTGCCACAAGGCCGGAGAGGGAGGAGGTGATGAAGAAGAGCAAGGTCGGCATAATACGGACGAAGAGTTGGGACGCTGCACTCGGATTGGCAAGTGCAGACTCAAATGTCGCGGACACAAATGGGTGTGTCAACGGTACTTCACAGTCCAACAGCGCCTCTTCAATACCGACAGACGCACCTTCACGACTGTCAAATTTGCTTCGCTCAGTCATCCAGCACCAAACCCCACACGCACAACGTCACACGCTCAGCTCGAGCGATAGCGAGATTTGGGACATCGATCTAGGTGCGGAAACAGACGAAGTAGCGCGGGGGCTGTTCTCTGCACTGCGCGAGCTAGACAAGAAGGGCGTCGAAGTGATCTTTGTGGAGGGCATTGACGATACCACTGGTGACGATATTGCGGCTGCGGTGATGAACAGGTTAAGGAAAGCCGCTGAGATTAGGACATGACGAGGTAATGGTCAAATGACCATACTGGAGGCATTCAATAAAACATTCTCGATATGTGCTGCTGGCACACTTCACAATGAATTCTATCCTTTCAATGACTGTGTTTTACACGATTCTCAAATAGATTCCCACGTCCTGGCCCACGACCTCTCGCTCTCCTTTCTCTACAGCCCAGTCTATTTCCTCACGAGCTACCACAGAGCACACAATGTACTTCCTCAGCCCTCTCCTGTTCTCCAGCGCCCTCGCAGCAGCCAAAGCTACCGATGAAAACACGCCCATTCCCGAATTTCTCGACACCACACCCACAGCCTCCACACCATCGACAGCATCAACAAAAACAGTCTTCATAACAGTCACGCGCACCCTCTACCCAACGCCGCTCTACCCACCACCCACGGCAAAAACACTACCACACTTCGCCTTCCCACCGCTGTTCACGCACAAAGGCCATCTGGGAGCTAGACTCTCCACTGACGACGCGGCATGGCCGATGTTTACTCTCGCCACGGCGACGGCGACCTCTGCACCGTTTGAGGGTCATTATACACCACCGACGACTTCGTCCATGCAGTGGCATTGCTCGTACCTGTCGACGCCGTCTTCACTGTCGAGTGCCCTGACGATATCGCCGTCTGTGGGGAATTCGCAGATTCGTTCCAATGCAGGCTATGCTCCAGATCCAACGATGCCCACGGAAGTGAAGGAGACGGCGCATGTAATCCCGCTGCCATCGGGTAGCGAAGACACGTTTAACATGCTGCCGATTCCTTGTGATTCAGGGGTTGTGGATATACCGCCAGTTCCCACACAAGAGGCAACGGCCACACCTCCCGTTCCCACAGGTTCGTCAGACACAGGTCCAACACCACCCCTCCCCTCGTCCCGCCCAACACACTCCTCCTCACCCCCCTTCCCACCATCAGACAGCGCAACGCCCGGATTCAACTGGCCCACCACAGCCCCTGCCACAAACACCACCAGCAACAACAGCGCAGACAAGACCGAGGCTTCGAACAGTGAGCCCGTATGGTCGGGACCCGCTTCCCCCCTCACCAACGCCACCGAGTCCTCAAGCATGACCAACGGCACCGCCTGGTCGGGGATTGACAACGCGATTCCAGGGCAAGTGCACGATCCCCCACTGCATGAGCGCGCCTTACCCTGGCTGTCGCCGCCGCCTCCTCTGCAGAGTACGAGTGCGGCTGTCAAGCGGATCCAGGGGGTGTGGGGTGTGTTCAGACGGGACTGCACGCCGTGCAAAGGAGAGGGCAGGGTGATTTGCTAGGTTGATGTAGCGGCGGGGTATTGTCAGGGTGGATGCTAGCAGCAGCAGTTTTTGGGTGGGGTGGAAGGGAGTGTGTGTGAAGTGCAGCGAGCGGGGGGAGTGCAGAGGTTTGATTCGTGGAGTATGGTGAAGATTGTGAATGGAGTGGTTGTAGTAATCGGTGTGCTGTATTTGGTATCTGGGTTCTGAGGTAGTGACAGTATGTGACTTAGTTGCTGGGCGTTTAGCCCAGGCCAGGCCAGCCTGTGAGATGTTAGTGTTGAGTCGACGATTTGACGGGGTGAGGACTTACTCCAGATCGTCAATCCCTCGTTGACCTTCGTGACGTTCACCCTGTCTCCTACCTTGATGGTCTGGCTCTTCGGCGCACCAGGCGCCCAGAACGTATACCGTCCAAACACCGGACTCCACTTTGCACCAATGTCAATCCTCCTATCCTTCTGCAACCTCTTGAGCACCTCTCCGCTTGGACCGACACCAGGCTTTCCCGTGTTATAGTCAAGGTTGATACTCTTGCAGCGCACACAATTATGCGCCATGATCATCTCCGTCTTCTGGTTGATTGTGATCTTACCCCAGAAGTCCTCTTCCCACGGGTCAGTTGCACCCTCAATAACGATGTTGGGTCGGAACTTGACCATGTCCATCTTCTCACCGTCAAGGCGCGAGGATACATTGTCGAGCGAGGTCTTGGAGGTGATGAGGAAGGGGGCGCAGTCTTGGAACTTGATGCGCCATTGCTCGGTTTGCAGGCCCATGAGCTTTTCGACCTGCTTGCCTAGGAAAGGGATGTTCGTCTTGAAGAATGCTGTGAGAGGGTCGGGCTTGACGGGTTGCATGTCTTCGAAGATGACGGGGCGCTTGTTCTCGGCGCCGATGTAGACGAGCACCACGTTGTAGCCGAAGCAGCCGGTGAACCACTCACTGTACTTCTCGCCCATATTGAAAGCGCCGGTGGGACTGCCGTGCATATTTACGTGGAAGTTTTCCAGCTTCTCGGTGTCAGGCACGAGAGGGATCCGGATGGTCTTGGCCTTCTCTTCGTCGCCATATGCGCGGTAGGTGACCTTGATGGTAGCGTCGTTTGTGCCGTAGTTTTCGAACTCTTGTATAAATTGCGACATGTCCGCGAAGTGGCCAATGGTCATATTTTCACAGGTTCCATCCTCCTTTTTCTTGAGTAGCATAAACGTTCCTACCATGGTTAATACAGAGCATATGGTGCACGGACTGCAACTGGGATGCTCACGGTCGTGGTCGAAGCCATACTTGGTGGCAACTGCCTCCTTGAGAGGTACTGCTCGCAATGACTTGATCGGATATACATAAATCTGTCAACTGACTCAGTATGCAGGGGCATGTAATCGGTGTCGTGAATCAGACCTCGGATATGCGCATGGCAGTCAGGTTGTGGATGAGAGGGCTAAGGAGACCCAGCAGCTTCCAGGTCAAGAACGGGAAGACGACAAGCCCGGTCAGCAGCCATAATGTCGGTATGTGATCCAGCTCTGATGAGGGACGATCTGTAGTATTTTCCATGTTGACACGACGTTGTTCACAAGCAAAAGTTTAGAATGTCGCAAAAGAGGTCGTCTTGGGACCCCACGTGCGCGCCCTTCCAAGACGTTAGCGACAAGTGCGGAGGAAAGCACGCTTGCCGCTTCCGCGGAGTGAGCACCACGGAACAGCATCCGAGTAGAGAGCGACGTGAGTAGCGTCGACATCAACTCGCGATGTACTGAATTCATGTTTGCACAGTGGCAGACAGGGAGCTTGTTCAGCAGAGGCGAATATCTATTCCTGGAGGCGAGTTTACGAGCGTTAGCTCGGTCAGTCCGAGTCTGATCTTTGTTCGGTTTCGAAGCGACTTTCAAAGCAGAGAGGATGCGCATCTTTGCGAGGTCTTCTAGAAGCATGATCCGCCGACCATGGCCACACGAGAAGTGATTGGACAAAGGAACGTTCGCTAAGAAACGGTGGAAGGAGGTTCCTGAGGGCGAAAGCGGGTCATCAGGTAGCCGCTGCAGGCACACGGACGATCGTCTGCGAACGCGAGCGGCAGAAGGAAAAAGTTGGTGTCGACGGCTCAACGATGGGCACGCTTGCATGGATGAAGCTGGAAGCATTGACGCAGGTAGGCTGTGGTTGGCTGTCCAAGGTAGAAGAGCAAAGGTAGCGTGTGGCTGTGCGCCCTGCTCGGTGGGCGGGGTGGGGGTTGGCACAGTCCAGGTGTGACGTTTGGAATGACTTGGGTGAATGCCCAAAGACTGTCAGGTTGCAAGCTCTTCCAAGACCACGTGCTTGTTCCCTCTTGACAGTGTTGCTTTGCCTGTGACTCCTCCGTACATACGCTCCTTAGACATCTTCTAGAAGCATCGGGCTTTGCAGGCACCGGCTACTTTCGTTGAGTGCTTACAGACGCGCGCCGAGGCTGAGATTCTTAGCACTTGCCCAAGAGCACAGCTACAGCTCAGCTTTCAAATCGTTAGGCACACTACGACTCTGGCAAACGCTCGGTGAACCTCTTTTCAAGAACTTGCCGAATACGCAGCTTTCTGAACGTGACCCGCCTCCACGGAAACCGGCACCTTCAGACGATCACACACACAACTTGAGCGTTGCGCCTGCTCTCCAAGGCTGCCACCTGGGCGCAAACCTCACACCCACCATGGCGAACACATACATTCGCCGGAAGGACACCACAAAGGGGCCGCCCCTGCGCATTCTGTCACTCGGTATGTTGTCCTGAGGTTCGAGGCGCTCGACGCGCAATCGCTGACAGGGCCCCAGATGGCGGAGGCGTGCGGGGGTACTCGATGCTCATCATCCTCCAGGAACTAATGCACAGGACATTTGTCGAGACCGAGGGGAGGGCACCCAAGCGACATGAAATACCGAAACCATGCGAGCACTTCGACCTGATTGCGGGGACAGGCACCGGCGGACTGATTGCGATCATGCTGGGGCGGCTGAGGATGGACGTGGAGACGTGCAAGGACGTCTACGTGCGCATGACCAGGAAAGTCTTCGAGACAGACAAGACGTTCGCCGGTATTCCCTACCGGTCCACCCTGTTCAAGGCATCGAAGCTGGAGGAAGCCATCATGGAGTGCGTGCGCGAACACACCATCTACGACGACGAAGGCAACGACAACCACGATGGCGCATCCTCAGCAGACCTCAGCACGCCAATGACGCCTGGCAGCGCGATGCCGCATGGCCGCGTGAACCGGAGCGCCAGCAGCGCCAGCAGCAGGTACAGTCAGATTGGCACGACGCCTGTCAATATGCGCATAGCCGCCATGAAATGGGGCAATCCACATGCGCTGCTGTATGACAATCGCGAGGAGCGCACAAAGACGTGAGTGGCTTGAAAGTGGGCGTTTGGGCAGGGCTGACAAGAAAAAGCGCTATAACCGCCGTCTACAAAGGCACGAAGAAGTCTGGCACCGGCCAGATCTGGCTGCGATCCTACGACTCGCGCAAAGAACCCGCTGTAGCTCCGAATGCGACCATCTGGCAAGCTGGGCGAGCCACAGCCGCGACCGCCCTCGCCTTCAAACCAATCCAGATTGGCCAAGCAGTCTTCCTGGACGAAGGCACCGGCAAGTACAACCCAGCGCCTATGGTGCTCGATGAGGCTGTCTGCAACGAATGGCCTGGACGTGAGATTGGTGTCTTCGTCAGTATTGGTACTGGAAAGCGACCTGACGGGACCAACAGTCAAGAGCATCTGTGGTGGGAGGGCTTCGTCTCTGGCGGCATTGGCGATTTCGCTGATGCACGACGCAAGCTCATTGCAAAGATCGAAGGCTGCGAAAAGACACACAAAGAGATGAAGGACCACCTTGCAAAGCGGCAAGTAAACCAGGAGAACTACTACCGACTCAACGTCAACGTGGGTGTGGGCGAGTTTGGTATGAACGAGTGGAACGCGCTGTCGGAGATCAGCACGAACACTCGCATGTACTTGGCCGAGAAGGACGTCCAGAGTATGTCCCTTGACGCTGCAGCGAAGATTGCTCGAATCCACCGCGCCAAGTTGCGTTGGGAGCGCGCCGAAAAGGGCGGAATGTCACTGCCAGCAGCTTCCCCACCACCCAACAAGCCGCTCCCGACTATTCCAGATCCAATCGGTTTTGCAGTCGAACTCCCCGCAGGAGAGCTTACGCCCGAGTACATGGCATCCATGCAGCAATCCGACCTTCGACCTGCCCCATTACATCCTCACCGACCGCAGCACTCTGACAACGACAAGTATCTCGCGGTATCCTCCGATGAGTTTCCACAACCTGTACAGAGCATCAACGATATGCCACCACGCCATTCGGGCGAGCTAGTATCGCCAGGCCGCACATCAGAAGATCAATTCTCAACAGACCGCCCTGTGTCATGGGCGAACTCACCACGTATGAGTTTCGAGCCACCGCCCAGACCACCGAAGACGCCTCTGAACGATGGCAAGATCCCTCCTCCGCTCTCCGGACATCCAGCGTTCCGGATCTCAAACTCGCCTACTTCACCTGTACACAGAACCTCACCCCCTCCTGGTACAGGGTTCGCGCGTCCACCACCGGGTGCGCCGTTACCGTACCCCGACGACGACGGGCCACCGCCGGCTGTTAACAAGGCGAGCAAGCCGGACTATATGCGATGATCAGGTCATGTCAGCATTTTGCATTGTGGTAACGACGATAACGACTTTGGCATTTATGTATTCTTGATGCGGATTTGGCATGTTGGATAGCGAGATTGATCACGTAGCCTTTTGTACTTTAGATACCCTTCGGAATTTATACGAACAAACTCTCTGCATCTTCCAAATTATCACCGTTATACGCCTTTGGAAACTCGTGAACCTATTAGTGGTCTGAACACGGCACAAGTCCCGGCGTAGTCTTGGGCACGCTATCAGGTGTGGTATCTTGTCATGTATCTAGCGCCGCATCGCGTTACCTTACAATTACTCGATCGAAACCATTTTCCTCAGGTGTGGAAACTACCTCAACCATACAACTCATCCGACTCGTGCCGATATGCAACGCAACCCAATATTTACCTGATAGTCTCAGGTGTAGCACCCGCTATCTCCGCATTCGGCCAGATAGGACGGCAAGTGAAGGCTCACGGCGGCCGCCGATGTAGATTCGGAGTATCTCGAGGCTGTTGCTCGATTGTAGGGACCGATGCTCAATGGTGGGGTACGAGTATAGAAATGAGGGCGCCCCGCGTTCAAGAGTGTACTTTGCTTTTCCATCCTTTGCTTCCTTGATTGAAACCTGAGTCTGCTTTGTTGACTATCTATCTATCTATCCTGAACCACTTGCTCATAAAAGCCCATCATGGCTGCCACACCAGCCAAGTTCATCCCCGCGGACCAGATCGACTCGACCTTCAAGTCCAAGTATACCGGTACGCAGCTCCTCGACACCACGCAGTCACCGACTCCCGCCGCAGGTCATCTTCGCCCGTACTGACAGTCCGCAGACCTCATCTCGGCGCCGCTGGGCTCGAAAATCGTGTCCTGCAGCGACGAATTCTTCGCCGCGGCCGAGAACCTCATCACCAAGACGGCCCCTATTTCCAGGCCCGGCGTCTTCGTGCACTCGGGCGCCTGGTACGATGGCTGGGAGACGCGGCGCCACAACACCGCGGCGGCCGACTGGGTCATCATCAGGCTGGGCACGGCGTCGGGCAAGATCGCAGGTGTCGAGATCGACACGGCTTTCTTCAACGGCAACCACGCGCCCGAAATCGCCGTCGAGGGCGCCTTCGCTGACTCGGACGAGGTTGTCGCCGCCGAGGGATTCGCGTGGGACACTATCCTGTCCAGGCAGGAGTGCGGACCCTCGCAGCGCCACGGCTGGCTGCTGGACCAAATCACCGCAAAGGCATACACGCACGTCCGACTACTAATGTACCCCGACGGCGGCATCGCGCGATTCAGACTCTATGGGACAGCAGTCCCCGTCTTCCCCGCCGACACATCAGCCGTGCTGGAGCTCAGCGCAACGGTCATGGGTGGCGTCGCAACCGCATGCAGCGACCAGCACTTCGGCACAAAAGACAACCTGCTACTCCCCGGGCGCGGGGTGGACATGGGCGACGGATGGGAAACGAAGCGCACGCGGGGCGACCATGTGGACTGGACGACGGTGCGACTCGGCGCTGCGTGCGCCATCTCTTCCGTCGTCGTCGACACGGCGCACTTCCGCGGTAATTTCCCGCAGAAGGTGCAGGTCTACGCTGGCTCGTTCGAGGCGGATCCCGCGCACGACGACGCCGCGTGGGTTGAGGTGCTGAGTCCGCAGGCGAGCGCGGCGGATGTTGAGAGGACGTACAAGGATGAGCTGCGTAATGTGCAGGGGCAGAAGTACACGCATGCTAAGCTGGTCATCATCCCTGATGGCGGCGTGAAGCGCTTCAGGGTGTTTGGCACGCGCGTCTAAGACTGGATTTGAGCAGTGAAGGCGGGGCTTGGACGGAACGATGCCACGGTGATTTCCCGGCGTTGCCACGTTGACTGCGATGTGAAGGGGCGAAGTGTGTAGGCTGAGTAGTGCTTCGCAGACAGACACATGGTCGAGGGTGGACATGGGGGTGTGGTGGTGGTGGTGGTGATGCAAGGGTGTGTTATTCGAAATCTATGCGAGTGCTCCGGGAGCTATTCAAGAAGCGCTGATGCTGCTATTCAAGAAGCGCTGATGCTGCTATTCAAGAAACGCTGATGCTGCTATCCAAGAAGCGCTGATGCTGCTATCCGAGAAGCGCTGATGCTGCTATCCAATTCCATATCCAATCCACACCTATATCCATACGCATATCCAAATGCAAAGTCGCTTTCTCTTTTCGCTGGCAGGGCTTCCTTCTCCCGTCCCCCACCTGCGGCGTTGATCCCCTGCGTCACCATGGCCTCGAGGTAGATTTCCCGACCCAGCGCGAGTGGAAGAAGCTAGTCACCAACCGCATTAGCACGAGTCCCAGCATGAACACTGGAATCTTCACCCATAGCTAGGCTCGTTCCAGCGCTCCTCGTAGTACCCGCCGTTGAGCTTGCTGCCGCCACTGAACTCCAGCTTGGCCATGAACTCGGGCGGCACGGTGGGAATGTACTTCCTCTCGCGCTCTCTGTCGACGCCGCCGAAGCCTGCGCCGTAGCTGATGAGCATGTCTGTCGACGTGGGCAGGGAGAAGGGCAGCATGTACGACGGGTCGAGGAGGAGTTCGCTCGGGGCATCATCTTCTTCCCTTTCCAGCTCGGCAGACACGCGCGAGGGGTTTGGCGATGGCGCGGGCGCGAGTTGCGCTCCGGAGGATGGCTTGACTGGTGTTGTTGGCTCTGCGTCGGCGGCTCGCTGCGGCGGGTTCGGCGATCGAGCGCGTGTTTTGCGCTCGGCTGCTGCTTGCTGGAGGTGCACAATGTATTTGGATGCGCTCTTGGGGAGACCCTTTTCTCCTACTTCGGGACGGTAGTACTTGGCAGTGTGCAGAAGTTGTTGCGGCGAGAGCTTTGTCAGCTGCTGTATCGTGCCGATGAGCGACTCGAGCTCTTCGCCGATCGAGGTGAAGCACTGCAGCCACTGCAGTAATTGAATGAGAGGTTCAATGTGTTTCCTTGTGGATTCGACGGTGTTGTCGCCAGTGGATGTCATCGATCCGTTCTCGTAGTGCTCAGGCTGACGGTTGTTGGACCGTGCCCAGTCTTCTAGCGTCGAGACGTTCATGCGGATCTGCATAGCTTTTGTTCGAGCCAGGTACTTGCGATTCGACATGATGCGGTTGAACATCTCTGCGGAGAGCCAGTATATCAGCTGCGACAGCACTTGAGCAGTGATGACTGAATGCACATCGTAGAGATCCAGGACGAAGAGGGTCGACGAAAGCAGAGACGTGATGTTCCGAGGTGACGGCTTGGCTCTGGCCTTGGGCGACGGTGGTCGGAAGCGCTTCTCGAGGGGTTCCAGAGGCTTTGCTTTTGGCTTTGAGCGGAACATGTTCCACTCGTGCTGGAATTGGACGTCTTCAAACCCAGGCATGGGCTCATGCTCGAGCATGGAGGCGTCAAGGTTCTTGTCCATTCTTCGTTCCGCATCCCGGATGATCAAGATGAAAATCTCGTTGATGAGCTCTGCCATCTGCAGCTGGAACTCGGTGGCGGCCGTCGAAAGGCCTGTATCCTTCTTCATGTAGTGTAACAGCAACGTGGCGTTGGACATCCAGAAGGCTAGTACTGTCATATCCCACTGGTGCTTCTCCACCACGTCGTTGATCTTGCCCATGGCCGAAACGAGGAGCGTCTCTAACAAGTCTGCGCTGGCGTGGTAGTGCGCGTATCGAGCTGCCAGGAAGAGTATGTTGGCGGGGACCGGTTTCTGCGAGGGCGATCGCTGCGGTGTCATGTTCGTGATGATGATGTCGAGGATGCGCTCGAGCTCGCTTTCTTGGAAGACGAACATCTGGTCGTTGAGACATCGGTCCCAGATGAATTCCTGGCCTTCCTCGGGCTCTTCAGGAGACTGCAGCTGTCAGGCGTTGGTCAAGACCAAGAAACACAAGACCATGAAACACAAGACCAAGAAACACAAGACCAAGAAACACAACACCAAGAAACACAAGACCAAGAAACACAAGACCAAGAAACACAAGACCAAGAAACAAAAGACCAAGAAACACAAGACCAAGAACCACAAGACCAAGAAACACAAGACTCACCTCGGGCTGCTCGTCTAGCCCCAAATTTCCAATGTCGACTTCCAGGTTGAAGGCACTTTCCATCATCATTCGACGCTTCATGTCGTTCTCCTGCATCTCTTGCTCGAAGCGGTCGTTGTCGAGTCCTGAGTTGTAGAAGTCGTCGACGCCTGCGTTGCCAATGGCGTAGCCGCTCTCGTGCAGGTAGTCTGAAATGTCGCTGTTTGGCTCGACGAAATCGAAGGCGGTCCTACCGCCGGATGATTTGACGTCGGTCGAGGCACCGTGCTCCAGCAGAAGCTTCACTATCCCCTTGTGTCTGTTGGTCATGGCCCACATGAGCGGCGTCCAGCGATTCTTGTCCTGTATGTCGACTTTTGCGCCCTCTTCAATCAGGACTCCAGCAACGTACTCGTGTCCAAAGCAACTCGCGTAGACCAGTGGAGGCGTCCCCTCGGCGTCGACGCCGTCGATGTTGATGTACTCGCGCGCCTTCCCTTGCAGCAACCGCTTGACGCGCTCGAGTTCGCCGTTGGAGGTGGCGAGGGTGAACAGCCCCTGCAGAGCCTCCCTCTTCTCTTGGTGCGACAGCTTGTCGTCGGCGACGACCTTGGCCTCGTCGCCAGCATTGTCGTTCTTCAGGCGTGCCTGGTGCGCGAGCATCTGCACGAGCCGGCTGTCGCTGTCCTCGAGCTGCTGCATGTCCTCGTCGCCGAAGCTGGGGTCGTCGAGGGAGAGGTTGAAGCTGAGGGGTCGCGCGGGCATGGGCGTGGTCAGGAACGACTGGCCTGTTCTGCAGATCAGCATTGCAGGTTGCGAGCGACTCGTGCGGGCGACTCACCCTGCCATGCGTCGTACATCTCCGTCTCCTCAGGCATGTATGCGCTCACAGGCCGCCGGTCGTTCAGCGAGGTGGGCAGGTCGGAGGGGAGCGGGCGCGGCGGCGGTGCGGGCGGGTCGTCCTGGAAGCCATGGTGTTGGTCGGTGATGTCCATTGTGCCGCATTGGTGGAGTGTGCAGTGTGTAGTGTGGAGTGTGCAGTGTGTAGTGTGGAGTGTGCAGTGTGTAGTGTGTAGTGTGCAGTGTGCAGTGTGCAGTGTGCAGTGTGCAGTGTGCAGTATACAGTGTACAGTGTGCAGTATGCAGTATACAGTGTGCAGTATACAGTATACAGTATACAGGGTGCAGTGTGCAGCTATGCGGACAGCGACTGCCGGCGCAGCGAATGCATGTAGCGCAGTCAGAGGCCTCGAGGGATGCGGCGGTCGATGATCAGAACGGGGCGGGGCGCAGGTGGAACAACGGCACGCGGGCTACGTAATGCTGGAGACTGAATAGATGGCCGGGGCGGCGGGATGCAGACGGCGGGATGCAGACGGCGGGTGCAGTGGCTCGCTGTCACGAACAGGCGGCCGCGAGCGGTGTCTCGACTGACCAGCTCTCAGACCTGACGCAGTGCTGGAATCGCGACGTGGGTGGGGCGGGTCGCCGGCCGGCTGCGATTCGACGGCCGTCCGCCGCACGTGCGCCCGCGAAGCTCCCCTAGCACCAGAGCTGTCGTCGCGGAGCTGCTGTGGCTTGGCCCTGACGACGGCGCTCAGTCAGCAGCATCGGTCCCGCAGCCCGCAGTGCGCTGCTTATTAGACTAGACGGCCAACGTGCGAGCTGATCGCGCTCCTAAAGGCCTGCACTGCTCTGCACCCCATCACGCCTCTCGCCCCACGCCCCACGCCTCACGCCTCACGTCTCACGCACCAGGCACCTCGCACCACACATCCCGCATCCCGCATCTCACATCATGACGATCGCAACGGGCGCTAGAAGGTGAACCGGCCATATAGATAGATTATTACATCAGACGCCTGGCCCCTGCACGACTCCGCGAAACCGCCAAAGAACATGCCTCGAGCCGCGCCCGCCTGAACTCTTCAGCGTCTGCCGTCTGCCGTCTGCCGTCTGCCGTCTGCCACCATGCCACTGACCGAGGCGACTGCGCCGCGGGAGACGCGCTTCGCCCACATCTTTGCGCGTCTCGCCGAGCTGCCCAACTACGTCTGGGACGCGGACGTGCAGCCCTTCCACTCGGTAGGCCTTTGTGGCTTTGTTTGACATGCACGCCAAGCTGACCCGCTGCAGTCCTACGACAACTGGCACTTTTTTGGCCACCAGCGCGCCTCGGCCTCCCACGACCGCTCGCGCTCGCGCTCGCGCTCGCGCGACGCCCACCGCCCCGCCTATCGCCCCGCACATGCCCTCCGCCACAAGTCCTCGGGCAGCGATGCCAGCGCCGTCACCACGCACACGCAGGCCACCGCCGCGCCGACACACAGAGAGGGGCGCCCCGTGGTGTGTCGAGTCTCGAGCCACACGCTGCGCCTGGAGCGTGAATACCAGCTGTCCAAGGTCATTGTCAACAAGTCGGATCCAGCATGCAGACACTTTGTCCGCCCCATCGAGTTTGTCAGACTGCCCACCAAACCGGGCGAGGAGCCTCTGGTCGCTAGCATCTTCGAGGCACCCGGCCGAAACTACCTCAAGGGCCTGGTCAACTTCGGTCCCAACTGGTACAACAGCTTCGCCGGCTGCGACAGCCCGCTCCAGAACAGCAAGCCCCAGCCGCACACAGGCGTGCCTCTGCTGACCTTCCTCGACTTCGCCGTCGGCGCTACAGAGTGTTTGGAGATTCTGCACCACGGCCATGAGATGGTCCACGGCGAGCTGCGCGCCGACGCTTTCCACTTTGCCGAGAATGGCCACGTCAAAATGATAAACTTTGGCAGCGGTGCGAGATCCTTTGAGAACGGGCTCACTTCTGCGGGCTGGAACACGCTGAGCCGCGAGACGGGCATCGAACTGAAGCTTGCCTTTATTGCTCCCGAGCAGACGGGCCGCATGCCTGCCGAACCAGATAGCCGGACAGACATCTACAGCCTGGGCATTCTGTTCTACACCATGCTCTGCGGGAACACTCCCTTCGACGGCGCAACAGCATTGGATGTCATGCAGAATGTTCTGAGCAAGCGCGTGCCCCCTGTCTCTTCCGGCCGCATAGACATCCCCGAGGCACTGTCCATGGTCATCCAGCGAATGACGCAGAGAAACATTGAAGAACGATACCACTCGACGTCGGGCCTCAAATTCGACCTCATCAGGATTCGCGAGATACTGTCTGAAGGCGACAGCGAGGGTCTCAAAACCTTCAAGATCGGGACCAAAGACATCAGCTGCTTCTTCATCCTGCCGATTCAACAGATTGGCCGCGACAAGGAACGCCAGACGATTATCAACGTGATTCAGCGCGTTGCCAAGCGTCGGCGAGGCGGCGTAAAAGTCGTAAACAGTCTAAGCTCCAACTCGTCATTCTCGGATGGCCAGCTCAACTTTCAGTACGACGACCTCGTGTCTGACACTTCTAGCTCCCGCGGCTCAGAAAGCCGCCTGAACAGCGTGTCCTCCGCGGCGCCCGTCCTCCCTGACCAAGCACGCACTCAACGATCGCCAGACAACCTGACTCAAACAAGAGACTCGGTCGCTGAGGAGAGCCCGCACCACCGACCGACTCTGGTGACGACACACCGAGGTCAGTCCAACAACACTGTTGAAGGCTCACCCTCCCTGTCCAGGTCTGCTCCATCGCACGACAGCGCACTCATGCGCAGCATGCCCAGCGCTCGGACACTGAGGCGGAAAGGTCGATGCGAGGTTGTTGCTGTTGGCGGAGCGACTGGGCTTGGCAAATCGCGCCTCGTGCAGAGCGTGCAGGGCACCGCGAGGAGTAGTGGTTACTTCGCGTCTGCAAAGTTTGAAAAAACAAAAAAGGCCCCATTCGATCCCATTTTGAAAGTCATGTCTTCCATGTTTCGACAGGTCTTCAGCGAAGCAGACGTGTCATCCGAGTTCCACAACAGCATAAGGAGCTTCCTCATGAACACAGGCGTATGGGCGACATTGCGCAGCTACCTGAACCTACCGGACTGGCTGCTCACAACAGGCGGGACGCCCAAGACCCCCCAGCAACGCGATACGGACCCATCAAGGCGAGCATCTTCTCCGGCCATACACTGCGGAAGTTCTGGGCATACAGCCGAAGCATGGCTGCGAAGCGGCGGTGCATCCAAATCAACAAAGTTCACGAGCGTCTTCATTGATGTCTTGCGACTCCTCGCTATGCAAAAGCTACTGATCTGGACCCTCGAAGACGTTCAGAACGCTGACTCGGAAAGTGCAGGTATGTGGTGCACAACCATAGCCTTGAGCCTCCCCGTGCGCTAACATCGAACCAGAGCTGATACATCACATCGTTCAGGCCAAAATCCCGCTTGTGCTGATACTGACCTACACTGATGAGGAAGGCATCCCTCGAGAGCTTCGACCTTCGATGCAGTCTGCCACAAGGGTGCAGCTGTCCCCATTCACCGAAGCGCAAACCGCCGATTACGTGGCCGAGACGCTCCATCGTGATCATCAGTACATTCTTCCCTTGGTCGCGGTCGTGCAAGAGAAGAGCAGAGGCAATATCTTCTACGTCAGAGAGATCTTGGACACGTGCTATCGCAAGCAATGCGTCTACTATTCATGGCGTGAGAACAACTGGCTGTTTGATCTCGACAAGGTCTTTGAAGTATTCGAGAGCACCGAGTATGGCTCTTCTATGACCAACGACTTCATCACGAAGAGGCTCCTTGAACTGCCTGCGGACACCCGCAAGCTGCTGGCTTGGGCCTCGTTGCTGGGGGGCGCCTTCTCCTACGACCTGGTCTCCAAGCTGCTGAATCCCAAGTATGCACCCGCAGATGCCGAGAGACTGCCGCTCTTTGGAGAGAAAGAGTGCATCGTGACAGCTCTGAACGGAGCTCTCAACGCTTACATCCTGATGCCTGCTGACAGCGAGTCGCGATTTCGTTTCAGTCACGACAGGTACCTGTTTGCAGCTGCGAGCCTGCTCGAAAAGGACTGGAACACCTCTATGATGCACTATGAGATTGCCCGGATCGTCAGCGCTGGTGGTGAGTGGCAAGATGATGCCATGGGTGACTCCAAGGCTCTCTACATGCGAAGCCGGCACATTTGCTTAGCCGTCGACCTCATCAAGGCCAGAGAAAGCAACCGCGCTCCCTTCCGCGACGTTCTGTATCAAGCCGGAGAGACAGCGGCTGAGTCGGGAGCACGATCTACAGCCATCTATTACTTCGCGCACTGCTTGATGCTCCTGCAAGACGACCCGTGGGATGATTCGAAACACGACGTCTCGTACCAGGAGACACTGCAACTCTTTGTCCGCTCAGCCGAGTGCTACTGGCATCAGAACATGCCCGTTGAAGCGCTCAGTCTCATTCGAACAACCTTCCAACATGCTCGCGATGCCTGCGACATGGCAGGCTCATTCATACTACAGTCTCGCGTGCACGCTGTGCGCGGAGATAGCTTCGGCGCCTTCCAAGCCTTGAAAGACTGCCTTTCTCTGCTGGGCTCTCCAATACCTCCTACGACCTGGGAAGAGTGCGATGCCGAGTTTCAGAAGCTCCACTCTCGTCTACAGCAAACCGACTCACAAGAACTTCTCGCCAAGAAACCTGCCAAAGATGATCGCGTGCTTCAGACCTTGGGCCCTGTGTTCATCGAGCTGCTCGGCGCAGCGTTTTGGTCGAATAGTCTACTGTTCTACCAAGCTACCCTGAAGCTGGTTAATATACATCTCGAGCAAGGAACAATATCCCAGGTTGCAATCGCTTACATTCACCTTGGGAGCATCGCAGGTGGTCGTTTCTCGATGCTGAAATTTGCGGCAGATATGGGTGCGATAGCTAAGCGACTCTTTGAGATGTTTCCGGACGACAGCTACACCCTTGGTCGCGGTCAAACTCTGCACCCGCTGTTTCTAGGACATCTTGAAGCGCCTGCTATGGACCTCATACTTCATCTTCAAGGTCAGTGCTCATACCCTCCACCATTACATGTTGTAGCGTCTTTACAATGTTCGTCAATGGTGCGCATGAGAAGCTAACATGAGCGAACAGTTGCATTGGACTCGGTTCTGATTGCGGGCGATCGCCTACTTGCTCTTCTCAACCTCGGTACACAGGCCCACTTCAAGGTCATTGCGTGCTACGACTGTGCTGAGATCGAAGCCTATGTCGATGAGATTCCTTTGGACCTGAAGAACTGGCAGCAAGATCTCAGGGGAGGTGTGCTTCTGATGGCATCTCGTCAGTACGCCAGAGCTCTTCAGGGCAAAACCGACATTCACGATGCTTCAACAGTGCTCACAGACGAAGCGCACGACTCAGCTGCCTACGTCGCATGGATCGAAACGACTGCTAGCAACCCGAAACGACCAAAGACGTATTACTATGCCAGCAAATTAGCTGTGTTGGTTCTGTACGGCTACTATGTAGAGGCCTGCGCTCTAGGAGAACTCCTGCTACCGATGCTGGGCAGTCTTTGGTGTCAGCGTCTCAGCTACTCTGTCATGTATTATCTCTCGTTGGCTTACCTGGCAGTGTTGCGTGATGAAAAGGAACACCCGAAGAAGGATCAGATGCTCAAGCACATCCTCACTACCATGAATCAACTGGAGGCTTGTTGTGCGATTTCAGACGTCAACTACCGGACTTGGATCCACTTGCTCGCTGCTGTGCTTGCAGAAGTCAACGAAAACCCAGGGACAGCACTGGTGAACTATGAGGCCGCCATGGACCACAGCGAGATTCACGGTTTCACATTAGACGAAGCCCACGCTCTAGAAATGTACGCAGAATGGTTGGTTCGAAAGAAGGCCAACAGACCGGCGCGTCATGCTCTCAAAGATTGCGTCTCCGTGTATCGAAGGATCTCCGCATATGGCAAGGCGAACCATGTGATTAGCAAGTATGAGTTCCTGCTACGAGGCACAGTCTCCCTGACCACTGTGGATGTGGCGGTACAGACGACCATAATCGACACAGGCAACACCACCTTCAGGCTCGAGCAAAACGAGGACCACGCACAGCTACTTGGTACCGAGACAGCAGTAGACCGGACGCAGAACTGGATCGTTCCCGAGACAGGAAGACGTCACGAATCTTCCAGCGACCTTCGCAACGGCTTCTCTGCAGTCGGTCTTGATATGCTCGATCTGTCATCTATTCTAGAGTCCTCTCAGGTTCTTTCGAGCGAATTGAAGGTCGACAAGCTGATGGCTAAGATGGCTTCCATCATCCTTGAATCGACCGGCGGTACCCTGTGTGGGATTGTCATCGAAGACGCACAGATCGAGTGGAGCATTGCCTGCGTAGCGTCCAGCGAGGCCAACAACGACCCTAATGCTCAGTCTGGTGTTACCTCTTTCCCAGCAGGCCAGCCCCTGGATACTGTAGATGACATGGTCGCGCGACAAGTAACGTTGTATGCTCTGCGCTTCAGAGAGAACGTTTTCGTGCAGAACCTGCTCGAAGACGATCGTTTTTCAAATGTCTCGGACTCGTATCTCAACCGAAACCCAGAGGGCAAAGCGGTGATTTGCATACCGATCATCCACTCTGACCACCTTCTTGGCAGCATTTACGTTGAAGGCCCGCCGAACTCCTTCACCGAGCGAAACACACAAGTCCTGCGTCTCCTCGTCAATCAGATCTCAATCTCCCTGGCCAACGCTCTGCTGTTCAAAGAGATCGAGCGAGTCAGTGCTAGCAACGTGGCAATGCTCGAGATGCAGAAGCGGGCGCTGGCGCAGGCAAGAGCGGCTGAGATCAAGGCTAAAGAAGCGGAGTCAATTGCAGTCAGGAACATGAAATTGAAGGAGGAGGCTGCTAAAGCCAAGAGTCTCTTCCTCGCCAACGTCTCTCACGAATTGCGAACACCCCTTAACGGAGTCATTGGCATGTCTGAACTCCTCAAGGCCAGTCTGCTGAATCCGGAGCAGCAAGGCTACGCCGACTCCATCCGGGTGTGTGGTGACACTCTTCTGTCGATTATCAACGATCTGCTCGACTATTCGAAGCTCGAGGCTGGCAAGATGAATGTCCAGGAGATGCCATTATCTCTCAACGAAACCATCACCGAGGTTGTGCGTGCTCTTGCATACACAAACGCCGAGCGAGGACTCAAGACCATCGAACAGCTGGAGGTGAATCCCGAAATGCTTGTCATGGGCGACCCTGTCCGATTGCATCAGATCTTGATGAACTTGTTGTCCAACAGTTACAAGTTCACCCCACGAGGCTCAGTTACCGTGCGCGCGGTTGTGGACCAGGAAGGACCAGACTGGGTCGACGTCACCTGCAGTGTCATTGACACCGGTATCGGTATCCCGGATGAGCAGAAGAAGAAGCTGTTCTTGCCATTTTCACAAGTGGAATCATCATCAGCGCGCAGCTACGGCGGCACAGGTCTTGGCTTGAGTATTGTCAAGGCGTTGATTGAGAATGTCATGCATGGCTCAGTGCGACTCGATTCGATACCCGGAGTTGGGACAACTGTCTCATTCTCCTTGCGCTTCACAAAAGTGAACATGCAAGGTCCTCTCGCACGGAACTACAGTCGAGATGTAGATCCCATGGCCAAGTTCTCCAGCCAAGAGAACAACGGCCACGAGCAGTCTGCTGGTACCTGTATCGACCTCTCGACCATACCCCGTGCAGACCTGCGCATCTGCATCGCAGAAGACAACCTCATCAACCAGCGCATCGCCATCTCGTTCGTGCAAAAGCTCGGCTTCAAATGCGATGCATACCTCGACGGCTTCAAAACCATCGACGCGCTCGAGCGCGCCTCCGACAACGGCCGCCCTTTCCACCTCGTGCTCATGGACGTCCAGATGCCGCACTGCGACGGCTATGAAGGTACGCCCTCTCTCCTCCTGCCCCTCTCACCTATGCTGACACTCCACAGCGACGAGACTCATCCGCAAACACCCCAACCCCGAAGTCCGCAACGTCCTCATCATCGCCATGACCGCGTCGGCCATCCAAGGCGACCGCGAAAAGTGCCTTGATTCGGGCATGAACAACTACCTCGCCAAGCCCGTGCGTGCGCAGACGCTCAAAGCGCTGCTCGAGAGCTACCTTAACAAAGACAGCCGCCCCAAGGAGATAGCGAACCTGCAGACCGAGGCGAAGAAGCTGGTCAAGGAGGCGCTGAACGAGGCGGGCGCGCATCAGCCGCTCAACGTCGCGAAGAACGAGGTCGATGGCTTAGCTGGCGATGGCGGGCAGAGGGCCAAGGGCGAGAGCCTCGAGAGGCCGAGGAGTGTGCGCATGAGTACGACGGTTCGGTGGCATGATGGTGCGCCCATGGAGGAGCCGCCGAGGATACAGAAGGAGGTGAGCAGGGATGGGGCGTAGGTCCGCGCTTTGGACGTTGTGTGCGCACGTTGGGGCTTGGTTGATCTGTTTGTTTCGTCGCTGGTTCGTACCTTAATACCCTGGGCTCCTGGGGCGCTGTGGGCTTTTGCATAGTGGGGCGTTGGGTCATGACTGCATGCGCGGCGCACGACAGGCGTTGGGATTCGAGCATCCACTCTCGTCACGCTATCTCAGCTCGATATCCATCCTATCCTTTCGTTCTCAACCGAGGATCCAATCTCAGCCGTCTCCATCTCATGTAAAGAAAAAAAAGGCTGCCTTGCACCTCATCCGCCATCACTCGCCTCAGCATCCTCAAATGCAGCCATACCCCGAATGCCCTCACAAGTCCAATCCCATCTTCACCCCCCGTTAAAAACGCCCCTTCACCTTCCGTCCACACTCACACCTCCTCCAGCCCCATCTCCACCTTAACCTTGCGCTCCCCCTCCTCGTCATCCTCATCTTTGACCGCAGCATCCTTCGCCCGTCGCCCCTTCTTTACCGGCCCGCCCTCGCCCTCGTTCTCATCCCGGCCCTTGCGCTTGCGCGGCACAGCACTCTTCCTAGCCGCCTTGCCAATACTGCTGTCACCCGGCATCCGCGCACCACCGGAAAGCGCATCCAGCTCGCTCTTCAGCGCGGTCTTCAGGCGGCCGAGCATGCGCTCGCACGCGATAAGCGTGCGGCCCGGGGGCAGCGGGGCGGTCTATGGCGTTAGAGTTTTTGATACTTCGTAGACGGAGAGGGGCGTACCTTGAAGTTGAACTTTGTGTCTGAGTGCGAAATCAGGCTGACAAGGTAGACGAGCTGCGCGGGTTAGTGTCGTATGCAGCTGGTGAGTTCGGGAGGGGTGACTTGCGCGTTCGTGGTCAGACCAGCCGGTGCGGGCTTTGCCTTTGGGAGTTTCGGTGTCGGACATTGTTTGTGTTTTTGTGTGGTGGCGTGGTGTTGAAGGAAAGGGACTTGAGCGGCGAGATGGTAAGAAGGTGGTAGTACGTTGGTTAGTTCGCGGGGGAATGAGGGTTATATGGAGCTGCCGCGCTGATGAGGTGGAGCTGGGGTGAAGGGGAGGACGAGCAGTTGCCATGGGGAGGTGAGAGGATATCTGCCGGTGAGCGGGGAGGGGACTGGTGAGCAGCACTGGCTGGTTGTGACGAGCACATTCGAGCCCTGTCCTTATGCGTAGAACGCTGATAGTCGTTAATGAACTAAAAACCTCGTCGCAGGCCTTCTGGCTTGCTCGAGAATGTCAAAACTCCGCATGTATGACCATCGCTAAGAGAAATCTTGCTCAACGCCATGACGCAAAATATCCCCCTCTACACCTCCCATCTCGTGTAAAACCATCAGACATCCTCCTCGATCTCCTCGGCTCCACCCACGCCCTCAGATCTCAGGCGCGGCCTCCTGCTTGACTAGGAGCTCAGGCTCAGCCGCCTTCTTAGGATGACCGCGACCGCGCTTCTTGAGCGGCTGCTCCTCCTCGACATCGTCAGCGCCACGCTTGCCTTTGGACTTCGCAGCACTGCCCCTGACCTTAACATTGCTGACTGGCGACCCGTTCTTGATCGCGTCCATCTCATTCCGGAGCGCCTTCTTCAGCCTCATGATCTTCTGGGCGCAGCCTGAGCCGGTGCGTCCAGCAGGCACTGGAGCGTTCTGGATTTAGTCATTATAGCTGTAGTGGGTGGTGGTGATGCATCACCGAGTTTTCGGGACAGCTTACGTTGTAGTCGGGCTTGAGGTTGGAGTATTCCATTGCAGTGAGGATGTACACGAGCTGGTTAGGTTCAGTTACTGCAGTCACCGCTGATGTCGATAAGCGTACCAACTCATGGTCATTCCAGTGACTAGAGTCAGACATGGTGTAGTGGTTTGTACTTGTTGTTTGGGATGTAGCTGGAAGAGGATGTTGGGTAGACAGCAAAGAAATATCAATGGAGCTGGAGTTTTGGAGCTGGGAGTGAGGATGTAAGAAGGATGAAATACGTTTGGTGATCGGGGGTTTTGTATATCAAGATCACAGGCGCTCTATTTCACCTTGAAGGTTGAAGCGCAAAACAAGATAACGGTGAAGGTGAATGCAGATACGGGAGGTGAGAGCAAGATCGTGAAAACTGCAATGTCAATCTGCACCAGGCGCTACGCACAAGCTGGCCTTACATTCCGCACAGAGCCATTCAGAACACGCATATCGAACGAGTTGGCTTGTCGAGCGAGTTGGCATATCGAGCGAGTTGGCATGTCGAGCGTGGTGGACTATAAGTGAAAAAGGAAAAAGCAATCAACAGCACCCAAAACTAGGAGCTGCAGACACGGAGACGCAGCACGTCCATCGCGACATCCTAAAACTCCCTCTCAATATACGCGCCCTCAAAACTCGGAAGTGCTCCCCATATAGTCTCCATCCCCTCGGCTTCAAGTCTGACACCGAGCAGTGTAGGCCATCAACACCACAGCAGCTCACGCCAGCACGAGATAACAAAGAAAGAAGCAGCCCAGATCAAGGAACACACAAGCTCCATCCAAAGCTCCAAAACTCGGTTCATCGACATCATAACCTCACCAGCCACACCTGCTCGCGCTAGTCCATCTCGCAGCTCCTGCAGCTCCTGACCGGACCCTCCCACCGCCAACCTCGGCTGTACCTTCACGTCAACGTCCCAGCGCTCCACCCCGCTCCGCTCTCCCCATCATATGTGCGTGCTAGCCTCCGCCCACATCTTCACATGTAAGTCAAAGCTTATGGCGATCCGATCCGCCGCACAGACCTCACATGAATGTGAAGCTCGGGTGGGTCCGGGGTAGCAGATTCCATGCACGCATGCACCTGCGGGAAGCTTAAGTCAACGGACGCGTAAATTAGCTCCATGTACATACCATGGGAGCCGAAATTGCCGCGGCAACACGATGACTGTGTTGCGCTCCCGCGGGAGCGACGGCTGCGGAGTACACGGAGTACAGCATGGGCTGATCTCGCTGGGCCACCCACAGGTCGCAATCTGTACCGCATTGAGGACGAGCTAGATAACGTTGACATTGATATCGACGACGGAGACTGTGGGGCTGGGTTGCGACATGCGAAGTGCTGTTGACCGTTGGTGTGCGGAGCCGAGGCTGGATGGGCGAGAATGTGAGCCCGGGATAGATTGTAAAACTGAGTGCAAGGCTGACAGTGATGCTGTGATGTGCAAGGCTGTTCGACATAGAGGAGATTGACGAAATACGTGGTGGACTGTTCGTATGGTTATGGATTGCCGTCACCAATGTACAGGCTTGCAGTCATAGGGAAGAGGGCAGTGTGTAAATCTCCAAAATTATTATTCTCCAATCCAGACTGGATGTCAGTGCATCACTGCGCATCTCCAAGCTAGTATCTACCTAAGCATATTCGAAAAGGGAGGATTTGTAGCAGGGTATCGAATCATCCATCCCAAGAGTCCATAGCCGAACCCGTTTTTATGGCCGAAAAGTGTGATGGCCGAACATGAGGACTTTGTCCCAGAAACAACCCAAGCGCCGAGAATGAGATTCAAGAACAGGAAGCTTTTACAAGTGCGCACTCGCAACACCGTTGGTGATGCCATTGACACCATTTGACTGAGTCTGAGTAACGAGGTTTGCAACCTCCTCGCCGAGCTGCTCACCGTCCTTGAAGGGGTTGTACATGCTGTCGACAATGTAGGCATCGAGCTCCTCATCAGAGTAGTTGCGGAGTTCGACGGCGCGGTCGACACCGTTCTGCTGAGCAGCGCGGATGACGCCACGGGTGACGATAACAGAGACTTCGCGGATGCGGCGGATGTCCGGGTACAGCCAGCCGTCTGCGACTTCCTGCTCGTTCAGGGATGTAGAGAGGGACTCGGCGGAGGCGTAGATCATGTCCTGTGTAACGGATGTGGCCTTGGAAAGGATGGCTCCGAGACCGATACCCGGGAACACGTACATGTTGTTGCCTTGACCGGGTGTAAGAAGCTTGCCGTTGTACTCCATGGAGGGGAATGGCGAGCCGGAAGCGAACAGGCAGCGGCCTTCAGTGTTGAGGACGGCCTCCTCGAACGTGCACTCAGACTTGCTAGAGGGGTTGGACAAGGGGAAGATGACAGGGTGATTGTTCAGCTTAGCCATCTTCTGAAGGATCTCCTTGTTGAAAGCACCGCCAATGGTGGACAGACCCATCAGAATAGTGGGCTGGACGTAGTCGATCAGGCGGGCGAGGGACTGGTACTGGCGACCGTTGTTGTCGTCACGGGCGAAATAGACCTTGTGGTCGGCAAGCTTGTCACCACGGTCCAGGGTAACGAGACCATTCGAGTCGACGAACCAAAATTTGCGGCGGGCCTCCTCCTCTGTCAGACCTTCCTTCTTAAAGAACTCGACGATCTGCTTGGCAACACCGACACCAGCAGAGCCGGCGCCGAGGAAGATGGCCTTGTGGTCCTTGACAGGGACGCCAGAAGCCTTGACGGCGTTGATGAATCCACCAACAATGACGGCACCAGTACCCTGGACATCGTCGTTGAACATGCTGTAGGTGTTCTGGTAGCGTTCGAGGGCGGGGAAGGGGTTCTTGAAGTCCTCGAACTGGATAACAATGCTGTCACGCGATCAGTTGCTGCTTTTGGCAATTGCAGTGGGGTACTCACTTGGGCCACTTGTCGGTCAGGGCAGCCATGAGCTCGTCGAGGAACACCTTCTCCTCCTCAGCAGTGACCTTGGGCACCCTTGAGCCCATGTACAGAGGGTCCTCACGGAGAGCCTTGTTGTTTGTGCCCAAGTCGATGGTGAGAGGAAGGGTGGCCTCGGGACGGATACCAGCGCAGGCAGTGTACAGAGACAGCTTGCCAACGGGGATTCCCATGCCGTTCACACCAAGATCTCCCAGACCCAGAATACGGGAGCCGTCTGTGAGGACGGTGATCTCGACATCGTGGGGCCAGTTGTCGAGGATCGCGCGGAGGTGGCCGCGGTCGCTAAAGGAGATGTACATGCCCTCAGGCTGTGTGTAGATTTCGTGCCATCTTACGCAGGCCTCGCCGACGGTGGGAGTGTAAATGAGTGGAGTCAATTCCTGAGCTGCTGTCAGCTGCAAGCTCGACCGATTTTCGATAGGCGAGTCGTACCTTAATGTTCTGCGAGAGCAGCCTGTAGAACAGGTGCACGTTTGTTGCCTTAAGGTGAACGAGGTACTGGAACTTTTCAATGGGAGTAGGCTTCATAGCAAGGAGCCTAAGGCCTGCGAAGTTTGTCAGTACATGCAATGGTGAGTTTCAGGCAACATTTGCATGACGCACATCGCTGGGCCTGGACCTCGAAGCTCTCGATGGCAGGAGGGTGGAGACCATATGTTCCAAGGTACTTGCGGACATCTGGCGTGTTAGACTGACAGAAGTCGCCGCTCCTACAATTTCAGTTAGCTGTGTGCCCTGCTATAAGTGATGCAGTGGCAGCGTACGTTGTGGTCAATTGCCGGGTGGCCAAGGGCCTTTGTGTGGTGGAGGTTGATTGAGCCATTTCTGAAGTTATCGAGGCCATACACCGGAACTGAGAGAGTCTGGGGAAACGGAATGCAGTTTGGGCGCCTCGCGAGGGAAGGGCGCCTTTTAACAGCGAAGCAACACGCACGGTATGCATTGGCGTCCGAAGCTGACAGGATTCTACGACCGCGGCATATAAAAAGAGAAAGAGGAAAGACGGTCCGCCAGGGAACGGTGTTTGAGAGTGGCAGCAACGACCTATCGGATGGCCTCGATTCCTGTCATAGAGGAGAGCCGGCGACCTTCATCATTCCGCCTGGGACTTTTTTTGAGCACAGGCCAGGAACCGGGGCGCGGACGCCCGCTGTTAGCGAGTCAGAGGTTCTGCGGACTGCCTAGGGCCACGATGCGTCGGGAAGACTCGGGAGTCCGAAGCTGAGCGCAGTGCAGAGGAGCGCTCGGCGGTGGCAGAGCCCGCAATTCCCAACGCTTCTCGCCCCTACGATGACACACGAAGCTGTCACGCTGGTGCTCGACATCGAGACGAGACCGCAAACCCCTGGCGGCGGATAGACTAACTCCGAACTGCCCATTCACAGGGTTGCCGAAGGATTCCATCAGGCATCAAGAGGCATTTTCTGGGTAGTCAAAGCGTCAGGGCGGCGCAAACATACGATGCGGATATTGTTGCTGGCTGCGCCTTGTGCGTGCTCTCTTCGTGTCATGAAGGCCGTCTCGGAGTACTCAGCGAGGTCCCAAAAAGGCTTGAATTCGCAGGGAGAAGCAGGTCACGGCCAGAGCACGAGCAGGTCTATTCAAGATCGTGAGCTTTCAAACGACATCTTGTCCTTCTTGAAACACGAGTACTCTGCTGCTGTTCACGATACGCCGCGAGCACGAGACGCGCATGCATCACTGCGTGAAGTTTCTGGACGGTGGACTACCTACCCTTGCAGCATCCGCTAGAGGACCGATGATCCGAAAGAAAACCCTGTGCTGTGCGACAAAAATGGGGGATGCATTTGTAACGTATGGAAAGGGGTCAACGGCACCGCGTTCCCGTCCGCAAACTCCGAGACAACTCGACGTACGCTTTCTCATGCTCCCGTCGATATCCCGCTCAGAAGCATAGAACCTCTCCGAGTGTCGTCTGCAGGCGCATCGGGAAGCAGACGAGGCTAAAAATTACTGGAGAGCGGTAGGGCTCCCGCTCCGACAGTCGCTGATCTCCCTAAGCTCTTCTGGGCGTGTGGGGTGGTCTAGCTGCACCCACATGGCAATGAGAAAATAAGTCGGAGGCTATCAGACGTCGATGCAACCCAATCATGAAACGACAGCTGAACGACAGGAGCACGCGAGCACTGTACGACCTTGTGATTGCCTTCACGATGCTTGTCACAGCCTTGCGAAAAGCGCAGGCATCACGACCAAGCGGGTCTACGACGCTGCAATTTGTGCTCCCTCCCCAGAGTCTTAGAACCCTTCTGCGCGGCGGGAAACTCAAGTGGATCAGAAGCTGTAAGTACGACAACGGGTCCGATTGCGGCAGTTGAAGAAGGGCTACTACGCAAGGGGCCAAGTCGGAGTCCGACGAGGCTAGAATGTCGGAGGAAGGTCCTTACGAAGGCGTTACAGTGATCGCTGCCGCACAATTGAGGGCGACGCTGTTCTCGAGTTATGGCGCAATGCCTTGAATACTTCAAAGCGCAGCGACATCTCATCTTAGGTCTGAAGATCACACACTTTGTGGATCAGAGCTGCTGCGAACTGCTGTCAACTGTCACAGCGCTGCGACGTTCTGTTGACGTGCTTGGCCTGGGGAAAGCCGTGGCTGGGCATGGAGACCGCGGTGGAGAGACGCTTGACCTCTAACGTGTTCTATCAGTAAGCTGCGCATATCAGTATCCTGCGCACCCCACCAAAACGCGCTCAACTCAGCGTGCAATTGCTCCACAACCACAT